ATACACAGGCGTATACACAGATACACAACACAGGTGTACGCGTCAGTGATAGCTTCTCTGCCTAGCTGCCCTGCTCCCGCGCTCACGTGGCGTGTGATGACGCAGCTGTCGCAGGAGTACTGTGCGCCGACTTTGTAGTCCTTAGCGTTGACGGCCCTCACCACGGCATCCATCGTGCCCCCATCCCACATCCCCACCATGGAGTTCTTGACGTGCTCCACTCTGTCCACCACCACAACAGGGGCAGGGCAGGCCTCCAGACGCTCGGCGAGCAGCAGGTCCCGAACCGCTTTGGCCTCGTCCGACTCGTCGATGTCGGCCGGCAGCGATGCGCTGGGGATGCCGATGTCCTGTCGCACCTCCTCCTGCACACACAGACGCATAGATGCGTGTGGAGAGGAGGCACGAGAGACCCTACGTACCTCGTCTTCAACTGCCTCGTCATCTGCGGACTGCCCAGCCTGCCCCTCAGCAACGCGTCCTGCACACAGCACAGCCAACGAGCTGCGCAGTGTCGAACCGTTCGTTTCTCTCCCGATTCCTCCTTGTACCTCTCTTGCGCTGGCGCTCAGCGGCCTCCTTCAACTGTCGCTCCATCTCGTCGTACGTCTGCTCCCAGTCGGCCTTGGGCTCGTCCGACGCCGCCTGTGCAGGCGCCTCAGCGCAGGCTGCGTGCGACTGCCAGCGAGACACAGACAGACACACCCACCAACATGTGACATCCCCTCACCACTTACTGAGAGACACCTCCCTAGCTGCCATCTCCTTACTCGCTTGAGGCGCTGCTGGTGTAGTCCCTTGCGCACGGCGCTGCTTGAAGCCGCCAACTCTCCTAGCAGCTGCGCGCCTCGCTCCGACGCCCAGGCCAGCGCCTTGCTGCGCTGGTTCATGCAGGGACGGACCTTATCGATCTCCTCAGCGAGTCGACACACCTGCAGGACACACACCTCACACACCAGCACTTGCCTCCCTCCGAATGGTGTTCGGGTTCCGTGGTCCGCTCACCCCTGCCAGGTCATCACAGCGCACTGCCCGGTTATAGTCGCTGATCAGCGCCGCCAGCTGCTCCAGGTCCTCACCACCAGCTCCTTCTGCCACTTCTTTTGCGGCCTTCTCTGGGCTCTTCTGGTCACTCATGACTGCCGACAGATCTCAAGAAATCTTGGCGAAGCTCAGAATCACAGTCACAGCCGAGACAGGCGTTCCTCGGCAGAAAAACAGCCACAGGCGTGCAGCGAGCAAGTCCCAATGATTCAGTGAAAGACTGCCGCCTCGATTCTCGACACCTGAACACACACACACCAGGAAATCATACTTCCCATAAAACCACACCTCTGCTCTATCCCCTTTTGCTGTTTTTCGCGCCTGCCTGCCCGAAGGGCAGGCACTCACGCCACTTGTCCTTCAGGAAACCGCTCTCCCCCTTCCATGAAACCGCCGCCTCTCTGTCTTCCAATCGCCTGTTTCCCCTGTTTGAACCGATTCAGGTGCGCGGAGGGGACTCCGAGGCGGAGAGGTTCGAGGGCACAGTGTACGACACTGTGTGTTGTTCTGTGTGCTTTCCAGGACATCTTCCTCCTTCGCTGATGTCGGTACAAGGGAAGACTGACTCGACACATCACAGGCTCATTGAGGTGCGAATGGGTGCACAGCGATAGAGAGGGCAGGAACCCCCTTTTGGTGTACTGTGTATGCAGGCCGCCTGAGTGATGGCTGCCAGTGCGCCAACCCAGCTGCCTGATGGCTGGCTGCGGCTCGATGACATCGACATCATACACAGTGAGGGCGGAACGGCATCGTCAGGAACCAGACAGCTGGCTGACGGCATCATTCGTCGGACCTTCACTCACCCACAGCAAGTGACGGATCTCATGGAAGAAAGATTCTCAAATCAATTCTTCGATCTCATGCGGCATCGTGCCGACCCGAATGCCGAGCTCTGCCTGTGTGTGCGGGGGGACAGCGTCCATTATGGGCTGACGTATCGGCTGCTACAGCTCGCCATCGACAATTTCAGCGACAACGCCATCTCCACCGTCCACGTGAGGGACGGCAGCTATAATTGGCATCCTGTGGCCTTGCCTCATTGGTCATCGCCGGAGCTCGAGACGGCCATCTTGAATGCCCTCATCGACGGCGGCGCCAACGTGGATGAGCCGATCTCTACGGACGACCGGCCCATCAGGATGGCAGTCCGTGGGGGCAATGTGAGCGCTGTGGAGGTCTTGTTGGCGCGCGGTGCTGCGGTGCGCCGTCCCCATAGCCCTACTTTCGTCATGGAGCTGCCCAGGCTCGTCACCGGCCGAGTCGGCATACAGGTGTCCCCGGGCTATGAGGAGCGGCTGCTGTCGATATATCGACGGCTTCTCCAGCGTGACGGCACACTCGCCACCGAAGGAGACCAACGTGGCCTTCTGATCCACAGTGCAGCCAACAGCGAGCGAGGAAGCTACTCGCAGGAATTCATCGATTCATATCTCGACCTGCTGGTGGAAAACGGGGCCGACGTGACGGCGGTGGATTGGTCTGGATGGACGCCTCTGCACAATGCGGCACGTGCCGGCTCTTCCCGTGTGGCGGACTTCCTCGGCCGCCACGTGCCAGCAGCCGACATCAACAGAGGGACGACGGGCCACCCCAACACGACGCCCCTGAAAGAGGCTGCCTCACAGCTCGACGACGCGATTCGGCGTTCGCAGGACGCCAGCAATTCGCAGCACTTAAGAGACCGAGCCACCAGTGAGATCCCCCCTTATGAGGCCATCATCCGCAGCTTGCTGCGAAGCGGAGCGGACGTCAGCCGTATCCCCAGACCCAGAGCCCCCGTATGGCGGCTGCGGCGCCGTTGCCGCGAGCTGGTGCTGACCCGTTACACGACAATGCTCAACACCGACGTGCACACGGGGGCGATGGCGGCCGTGAATGCGGCCCTCGCCCCTCAGCGGTCGCTGGCGGCCTTCCTCATGAGGTCCCTCCCGACCCTCCTCCCCCACCTGCTACAGCCCCCGGGCACACCTGCGGCTGATCCGCCCCCCGCCCCCAATGGGTACGGCCCACACGAGGCAGAGGCCATCGGCTGGAAGATCGCCGCCATGTGCTTCGACTGGGATGCCGCTGTGACGACCATAAGCGGCAGCATCGGCCTCCGCAACAGTGCCCTCGCTCGTCGCATCACCGCAGCAGCGGAGCACTTCGTCAAGTCGGCTGTGTTCGAGGCGAGCAGCAACAGGGAGGTGGTGGGCGGGACGAGGCAGCAGCAGCAGCAGCAGGGCAACAAGCGCGTCAAGGTCATCGTGCCCCGGCTGCAGTGCTTCGCCGTCAACGGAGGGCAGCATGGCACACACAGGCGGCTGGGGCTCAGTGAGGTGGTCCACAGGGCGCGGCTGGACGAGGCGGCCCGACACGGCATGGAGGAGGGGGCCATCACTCATCTGGGCGCTGCCGACTGTGAGTTTGGTGGGTGGCAGCAGCTGGGCCGCATCGACGAGCGGGGGCAGTGGGTGACCCTCGGCATCAACTGAGAGGGAGGGAGAGGGAGGGCTGTGGGCTGGCTGGGGGGCGTTTTACGCTGCCGAGCGGTCATTATGGACCAGAGAGGGACTGATGGAGGGAGTCATTTATGCGTGTGAGCGGATAGCTGAGGAAATTGATGACAGTTTGACGTTTTCGTGCGGCAGTGTGATCGGATTCATTGCTGCGTGCCGATATTCAAGCGTTTCCCAGCGTCATTCTGGTGGTGAATAGTCCGTTTCTGATGGTGGAAGGCATCGTGCATTGCCCCACACGCATTCACGCATCTGATGGATACGTTACACACATGACTGAATGGATGGATGGACACGCCACACGGAGGAAGGAACGGACAGACAGACAGATGGCTAAAAAACTCGGCAGCTGTCAATCGGTCGATATCCACCAAGCCCAAACAAAACACCAAAACAGACATTCAGACAGACAGACAGACAGGCACTGACAGACACGGAGACAAAAACCCCTTCAGCCATCAGCCACGCTGCATATGCCATGATCATGTACTCGTGTGCGCTGTGCTGTGCTCTGCCGCAACACCACGCCCCACTTCATTTCTCAGTCGAAAACGGCACACATGGCAGGCACCAGCACGAAAAAGCCATGTGCAGGCAGGCAGACAGCCAGGCCCCATCAACGATGCACTCACTGCACAGCACAGCACACCACTCGCACATCTGTCCGTCCGTGTGTCGTGTGTGTGGTTGAGGGGGAGGGTGTGGGTGGACCGTTGGCTGCTTCATCGGGTCATTGGGTCGGGCCGTTCAGGGTTCCGAGATGCCGAGTTTGGACCGGACGAACGTCTTGAGTTTGTCGAGGTCCTTGTTGAAGTTGCGGATGCCCTCGGCGAGCTTGTCGTTGGCCATGGCGTCCTCGTTCAACATCCAACTAACCACACACATAGCACAGAGAGAGAGAGAGAGAGAGAGAGAAGGTATGTGTTGGGGAGAGAGAGGGAGGGGGGGGAGTGCATCTGCGGCTCACCGGAATGTCTTTTCGTCCATTTTGATCTTGGGGATGTCCTCATCGTCGACCATGTCTTCGTAGAGCTTCTTCTCGAAGTGCCGCTTGGTGCTGTGCAGCTCCTCCAGCAACTTGGGGGAAATCGTCAGCTTGTCGCAGCCTGCTCACACGACAGACACACAACGAGACACCCACGTGTTTGTGTGTGTGTGTGTGGATGGATGGATGGATGGACAACGCACAGGATACATACCGGCAAGGAAGATGATCTCTTCGATGTTTCTGAAGGACGCGCCCATGACGATGGTCTTGTGGCCGTGCTTCTTGTAGTACTTGTATATCTTGGTCACGCTCTGCACACCGGGGTCCTCGTCGCCAGCGTACTCCGTCTTGTCCTTGTTGTTGGCCTTGTGCCACTTAAGCCATCCATCCATCCATCCATCCACACACACACAGAGAGAGAGAGAGAGATGCATCCGTCCACTGGACGCGTCTGTGTGCTCTCTGCCTCACGTCGAGGATGCGTCCGACGAAGGGCGAGATGAGTGTGGCTTTGGCCTCGGCGCACGCAACGGCCTGGCCGAAGCCGAAGAGCAGAGTCATGTTGCAGTGGATGCCCTCCTGCACGTACACACACACACACACAGACACAGAAGGAGAGAGAAGGAGAGAGAGAGAGAGAGAGAGAGCATTGTGCAACACACAAAAGGGTTGCCTTGGTAACCATGACTGACCGCTTCGAGTTTCTCGCACGCCTTGATGCCCTCCCACGTCGAGGCCATCTTGATCAAAATGCGCTCCTTCTCAATGCCTTCCTCCTTGTACAGCTACACACATAGCCACACACACACACACACACACACACACATATGCTCACATCCGCGCTTCTCTCGCGATGGATCAGTGGAGAAAGGAGCGGACCTTGATGAAGTTCTTGGCCTTCTTGATGGAGGCGTCCTTGTCGAAGGACAGGCAGGCGTCGACCTCTGTTGACACCAGGCCCGGCACTATCTTCAGGATCTCGCAGCCAAACTTGACCGACAGCCGGTCGCACACCTGCACTCACAGCACAGCCACAATCACACGAGGGAGTGCAGTGCATCAGTCCACACCACAGTACCCACAGCACACGCAGAGGCTCTTGAATGACATTGTGTGGTTGCCCTTGGTTGCCCACCGACCTCGCTGACGAGGTCTTCGCCCTTCTTGTTGGTCTTCTTGGCGCCAGCCATGGCCGCGTCCAGCAAATGGGCGTACTCGGGCATCTGCGCGGCCTGAAACCACAAAAAAGGCCCAGACACAAGACGCATTCTCTTCTCTCTCTTTCCCTCTCGTTGCCGATGGCACCTACCTGGAACAGGAGGGTGGGGTTGGTGGTGGCGTCCTGTGGTTTGTATTTCTTGAGTTGGTTGAAGTCTCCCGTGTCGGCCACCACAATGGTCATCTGCTTGAGCCGCTCCAGCGCCGGCATGTCCGCCCGCTTGGCGGGAGACCCTCCCTTGCTCGGAGAACCCGCGCGCTTCGACATTGCTGCAGACTAACGGGATTAATGGGCTGGGCTGTGGCCGGGCAACACGAAGTCAGGGCGCTGTTGTGGGAGAGAGTCTGTGCCAAAACAACAAAGCTCGCAGAAAAGCTCGCAACAGTTTTATCGCCAAATGGGACGCTTACCATCGCCAAAGTAGCTGGAGTATTCGCCGTCTCGCCAGCTTCATCATCGACGTGGTGACTGAGGTGTGGTGAGTTGAGTTGAGTAGCGCCGAGCATGGGCAGCCTGCTGCAGCCCAAGACTCTTTTTAGCATCCTGACGGTCGTGGCGCTCGTGTGGAGCGTGCCCGAGACCGGCAGACTGATCAGACACATACGCGAGAGGGACAAGGGGCCGCCGCCACCGCGGCTGCCGGATGAGGACGCCACGTATCCGGAATACGGAGATCTGTGGTGGTGCTGCGGTGTGGCGGCGCTGCTCATCGTCGTGAGGCTGGCCACCATCTACTTGCTCAAGCCGCTCGGCGAAAAACTGATACCAAAGGGGTGAGATGAGAGTGACTGAGGGCGGAGAAAGATCACTCCGGGAAAGATGCTGCTACTCCCGTACCTGTGTGTCTGCTTAGGCGGTGGTCGGACCGTGTTCGTGATATGAAGGTCGAGCGGTTCGGCTCAGCTGCCTTCAAGACCACCTACTTCGTCTGCGTCGTGGCCTTCGGCTACCGAGCGGTTCGCCACACAGACTGGCTGCCGGCCTCTCTGGGCGGCAGCGGGGCCACCATCCACTTCTGGAGCGCCGATTACGTGCCAGCCGCTGTCAAGTGGTACTACGTGGTCAACATGGGATACTACCTTCACTCGTTTGTCTACGACATGGCCATGTCGCCGCGCCGCCCCGATTTCGCCGAGAACACGCTGCACCACATCGTGATCCTGCTGCTGATGGTGTTCTCCTTCCTCTACCGCTCGTGGGTGCGTGTGGGCAGCGCGGTGATGCTCCTGCATGACGCCTGCGACGTGCTCGTGTACCTCTGCCGCACTTTGGTCGACACACGGTTCACGCGCGTGACGTTTGGCTTCTTCCTGGCCCTGCTGGGGGCGTCGTTCTACCTGCGGCTGTATGTGTTCAAGTGGCACGTGCTCGACAGCATCATCTACGAGATGGCCGTCGAGAGGCGACATGGCGACGGGGTGGCCTGGCTGGCCTACCTCCTCGCCACATTAGGCCTGCTACACGTATATTGGTTGGTACTCACACACACACAGGCAGACTCCTTTGGTGCTCACTGTCTGTGCATTCTCCCCCACTGTGTCCGTGCGTGTGTGTGTGTGGGCTCACCAGGTACACTCTGATGGTCAAGATGTTTTGCGTGTACGTGCAGTCGGGCGAGACCACCGACCTGCCCGCCAAGCTCACGGACGTGCAGCCCGTCTACAGTGAGGACGACCGCCCCCTGATGCCCCCTCCCAGCGACAACAGCAGCCTGGCCTTCCACCTGTCCGCCAACACCACCACCAAGAGGCGAGAGGCACCACCGCACGACAACAGCAGCAGCAGCAGCCAGGGGTTCTCGCGGATCAGCACGAACGAGGGCAGCAACGGCAATGGCGTCGTAGCAGCTGGAGCGGGACCAGGGGGCAATGACGACAAACACATGTGACAGTGGGATGGCGTATCTGTGTGGGCGGGGTGGTGGGTGGGGTGGTGGGTGTATAGGGGTACTTGGGTAGAAGTACGGTCTGTCAGACGCACAAGAGAGAGAGAGAGAGAGAGGAAAGGGGCGAGGGGGGCACATAGATACGCAACTAAAGTACCTCCGTCTGTCTGTATCAGTATGTCTCAATGCGGCTGACTGTTTTGCTGTGTGTTCGTTTCTGTCCCTGCTGCTGCTGCTGTTTCTGCGGTGTGTGATGTGGTATGGTGTATGTGTGATGAGACAGACAGACGGACGGGCTGCTTCTCCGTTTTGCTGATGGACTGATGGAGAGCGCACGTGTGTGTAAATAAACCTATGCCGCCAAGTCTCTTCATTCAAAGTCTCATTCGCTCACCCATCAGTGTACCCATCAGCGTCCGTCGTGTGCGACCAGAAACTAACCACTAAATGCAGTCAATGGACCGTCACCCCTTCCACCCACACCCACATCCACACCCACACATACGAATCTGTCAACCAACTCAATAATAATTGAGAAATATGGGAAACGAGAAATACGCCGAGACCGAGAGAGACGCCACCTCAAACCTCAAACCTCGCTGTCTTGTCGACGTCTTTCCCCTCCACATGCGAATCGCGTGTGCCATCAGGTACGTATGGTGAATGGATGCATCAGCAAGGAGCCTGTCTGTCTGCCTGTCTGTCTGTCTGGCTCATCTAGATCATGACGACAGACGAGCTCTGGGGCGAGCCATGGGTCTCCGTGAGCGTCAGACAAACGGTGTCTGGTGGCCCTTGTGCGTGTGCGGCCCCTGCCCCTGCCAGCAATTGAAACACCTCCTCTACACCTGTAAGCACAACACACACACACTCATTCATGGACGTACGGATGAATCGATGGACGGACTGATGGATGCGCCCACCGATCCCGTGGTGGTCGAGCTCAAGCCTCATGAGCGGCGTCAGGAGCCCGTTCATCACCTCCACACTCAGACCCTCCTCCCCTCCCTCCCTCTGGCCCACCTGCACACACACACCCGACCACACACACCTGATGCGCCGGTCCACGCAAGGCAAGCAGACACAAACAACGTCCGTACCATCCGTCGCAGCTGCCCAACCACCCGCCTCAGAGCCTGCTCACGCTCGCCGACAGCCTCAGGGGGCTTAGCGGCCACAGCGTTGTCAGCATCGCCGTCGCTGTCGTGTGAAGATGACGATTCTAGCACTGGTGGCATGGCTGGAGTGTGTGTCTTGAGTGGGACGCAGTAGTGGTACTGGATCTTGTAGGCGGGCTCGTTGTTGTGGAGGGTGTCGGGGGGCGAGCATGGGACGGACAGCAGCCGCTTGACGAAAAAACGAGGGTGGCTGTCCAGGAACTGACCCACGTCTGCACGAACGAACGACACCGCACGCACCACACAGCGCCGCACAGAGTGAGGTGGCAGGCAGGCAGGCAGGAGACCGACGGACCTACCTACCTTGGTGTAGACTCTTGAGGGTTTCAGACAGGGCGGGGGAGCTGCTCACAATGCCTTCAAGCTGCGGAAGAGTGAAGCCTGCACGCACACACACACACACACGCTCTTCCACACACAAACATCCTGGTGGACGGATGGACGGCCTGCCTCACCCTGCCGCGACGCTCCGACGAGGAACAGCAAGTGTGACAGCAGAGCGGCTTCCAGCTCTTGAGGGTCCTCATCGGCAGCAGTGCCCTCCTCTAGGAGTTCCGTTTCGCGTGGGACCACCGCCCGGCCACCGTGCAGCAGCGCCTGTCCGAACTGATGCGGCGACGTCTGCGGGGTGCCATTACCTGCACACACACCCGGGCACACCACACACGTGTGTGGCAACAAGGCAGTGTGTGTACTTACTTCTGGCTCCTTTCTTCCTCTGGTCGGCCACCAGCCTCCTCAAGTCGTTGACGTTGGCCAGCTGCAGATGCTCTACATCCTCAGCGCCATGCACCAGCCCCATCATGCCGTCCACGCCATGCTCGTCGACATGGTCATGGTCATGGTCATGCTCGTCGCCCACCACATCCAGCAGCCGATACGCCTGTCGGCCGTCGCCGCGCCGATTCCTCCCATGCGAAGAGGAGACCATCATCGACCTGTGCGCACCACCAGGTGCACTGTCGTCCTTCTTGCGCAGGAATGGCAGGCAGGGAGCGCACAGGCATCTGCAGAAAGCCAGCGCCATGAGGCGGGAACGGCAGGAGGCGCCACGAGGAGGGCTCCGCGGTCGACCTCTGCTCAGCGGTCGTCTGCTCTTGAGGGTGGTGTCTGACTCATCGCGTGAAGGGGCGGCAGTGTGGTTGTTTTGGCTCGGTCGGCCGACGAGTGCTGAAGCATGAACAAGATCTCTTGGTTGACGAGTGCTCTTGACACTGAGATGCATCACGCCTCCTCTTCCCCCTCCCATTCGAGCGAGGGCGGTTTCACATAATGTCCTAAGATCTGCGAGCTAAGCTTGGGAGAAGAGGGAGAGCTGTCTGTCTCCAACGTCCTTCGCCGCATCTCCAGGCCCGGAGGCTCCAGAAGGCAGACAAAATCTACAGATTAGCCGGCTGCAGGCGGCGCTTCAAGGCAGGATGGTCTCAGCGCGGCTTGCTGCGGAGAAGAAGCACCATGTGCGTGGCGACGCACAAGAGGGGCATAAACGCGGTATGCGATGGACGCCTGAAAAGATGACATGTGCAATTCCCGCGGCAGTGCCATGCGCTTATTTGTGTGTCCAGCAGCGATGAGCCATCGTCGTTGTGAAGGTGTAGATCTGCCTGTAACAGTCCCTGCCATCGATGGAGATGCGCTCTCCCAGTCGGTCGACTCGCTTTCATCTGATTCCGACTCCCCGACGGCGAAAGTCGGCACAACTTCAGGCGTCAGGTGGGGCTTGATGGTGCTTGAACTGCGGCCTGGCTGGCACGTGCAGCTGGTGGACTATCCGGCGGAGCACTTCTTGTGGATATTTGGGCTCGTGGCTGTCATCTCAGCTTACTTTCTTGGCAGTTTATTCGGCCTGATGCCCTCTAACTTTCCCTGGAGCGCATTTGGGTGGTCTTCGGTGTGGGTGTGGTACCTGCTCTTCACCCTGCCCCCGTGTCTGGTGACGCTCATGGGCCTGCTCACCCTCTGTGTGCCGTCTAACGCCTGGCTGATGCGCATCCTCAAGAACTGCATCCTCACAGGCAGCTTCCTATTGTGGTACCTCCTCTACCTGAGCTGTCGGCAGGTCGATACGCTTTATGAAGACTGCATTCCGGCGCGCAGAGACGACGACCTGTGCGAGAAGCTCGAGCAGTGGCCTGGCCTGCCGGGATGGCAGAGCGTCCTGGTGTGCCTGTGGTTGCTCGGAGCGTCGTGGCTGAATGTCCTACTGAACACAGTACTGAATCAACCGCGAGTGGTCTCTGAGGATGGCTGGAGGACCCCTTCATCGTTCTGTGGCTTGCCGGTCCATGTGCACCGCACTGCACGCGCAGAGAGCATCGGCACAGAGCGGTTGGAGCAGAACGGTTTCTACACCTATCTGGTGAAGAAACGCCTGTGGCCTGATTGTTGGGACTATCTCTGGTTTGTGCGGCATCTGAAGGTGGTTATTCTGACGTGCGGCGCGATGGATTTTTTCTCTGACTGGCTGGTGGCCTTCGATCTCATGTTCGTCCCCCAGGAAGACCCAGAGTGGCGGTCGTCTTTCGCAGTGGCGCACATATGGAAGCCGCGGCCCACTTTTGCTGTGGGATTGAGCATCATGGTCTTGTCGATCTGCGATCTCATCTTCATCAACATACACGACAGTGTCGGGGAGCTCTCTCTGAGGCAGCGGGTCTTCGTCCTGGCGATCACGGCTGGGGAGGCAGTCATCTTCGTCTTGACGGTCATCTTTGCCCAAGACAAGAGCATGTGGGTCTATGTCGTCTCTGCCCTCATAACCCTCGCGACGGTGCTGATTCGGATCGTCAATTTCACTATCGACTTCCCTCGGCTGACGCAGAAAGGTAAACCATCAGTCGGCAAGAGGGAGGGGGTGACTCGCATCATCTGTTCTTGGCGTGCATGTCTTCCAGGCCGAAGCAGCCCGCGTGGCGCGCCATCACCTCGTTGCGCATTCTCGTGGCCAAGGCTGGTGCGCAGGCAGCCGAAGCGCCATCCGTCCCTTGCCACCATGCCCACCACGTCGACGCGGTGCTCAGAAACCGATCTCTCAGCAGGCGACAGAGAGAAGGGGGCCGAGGGGAGACGTCAGGATGGTCATGATGGGGAAGCGGGTGGGGGCATTGGTTAGGTCAGTTAGTTATCGTCCTTAGCGGCTCGGTTCGTAGCGGTAGCAATCAGCTTACGTACGAATAAGCGTGGCTTGAGAGCATTTGTCTGTCTGTCTGTCTGGTCCTTTCGGCTGCATTGCATCGTCCTTTGGTTGTCTTGTCGTGTGGTGAGGCAGAGGCAGAGAGGCTGCCTGGTAGCGTATGGGTGCATGTCAGTCAGTGTTGCTGGCAGTTTTGGGTGGGTTTTATGTGTCGGTAGCGTAGCTGTGTAGTCGTAGGATGCTCAGCTCATTTCGATCTGAACATGACTCGATCCAGGTGTGCATTCGGCAGCACGGTAGGGCCTAAACGATATGGTCTTCATGACGCGGAAGGTGTCACCCGTTTACTCAATCGTGCATCCACAAGCAATCGTCTACTTTGTCTGTCTGCATCTCGCACACACGGTAGCTAAGCGACGTCCGTTAGCAGTGAGTGAGTCAGCTCCCATATGCACATCCACACATAAGTAAGGCACCATGCGCCATCTCTTGTCTCTCGCTCTTTCTGCCCTTGTCTATCCATCCATCCATCCACCCTATCATCTGGGAATCTTGCCCTCGACGGCCTTGAGTGCCTTGCCCGTCAGCCCCAGGTGCGCCTTGATGGCGCCAATCAGGTCGCCCACAAACCCACACAAAGGCCCGTAGATCAGCGACAAGGGCGACAGCGTCTGGTAGAGGTACACCACATCGAAGGCATAGCGCTCGGGCGGCGACGGCAGGTTTGGCACTGCTGAAGGGGGCTGGGGGGACTGTGCCTGCTGCTGCTGCTGCTGCTGTGTGCCGCTGGGAGAGGGGAGGGGGGACGGCTGTTGGCCACTGAGGTGGCGATCAAAGCGCTCTGAAATGTCATGGAATGAGCGGGCGAAGATCTTCTTGGTGTGCTCCGGATCGAGCACCTTGACCAACACCTGCACCGTCCATCCACCCACCCATCCACAGGTGTGTCAACTTGTCTGTCTCTGTGTCTGTCCCACCTTGTAGAGCGCATTGACGTCCTTTGCGAAGGCCGCGACGGCCTCGTGTGGCGGCATCACCTTGCCCTCATCGGACGCGGTGATGTCGCCCGGCTCCCCTCCCTCTCCCTCCCGATCAGCCTCACTCTCGCTCTCTTCGTCGTCGTCTTCGCTCTCATCCCGATCGCTGTCCCGCGCGTGCGGCCATGAGAACCACTTCTGGGCATGGAAAGTGTACCTCTCAGTGAGGATGTCGCCCAGCTTCTGGAAGACCTTGGAGCGGTGCTCCAGGAACTCGCCATTGATCTGGTGCAGCTCGCTCAGCAAAGACGGGCCGGCCTCCTGCATCGCCGATGTGGTCGTGCTGGTGCTGGCGACGGTCTTGGTGAGCCGCTCGTGGAGCCTCGGGAGCACTGCGGCGATGCAGCCGAGCGTCTGTGCGGTGAGAGCCAGGTTGAGGGCTGTGATCTTCTTGAGTGACTTCTTGGTGGTGGCCGCCTGGCCGCCCAGCACCAGGGCGAGCGTCTGGCGGTTGAAGAGCTTGACCGTGTGGCACAGCCGCTGCACCACCTCTAGCCCGACCACCGGCAGCCTCTCACACACATCCACATACTCGTGACACACCTGCAGCAGCACCAGGCACGACGCCACAACAGGGTAGGAGGCCCCGTCGATGACCAGCGACTTTGCCGACGTCTGGGCCGGTGTCCCATTGGCTGCCACAGAGCCGTTCTCCATCGCGGCATCGTCAGCAGGCACCAGCCGCCTCACGACGCTCTTGACGAAGTCGTCCTGGACGTCCGCGCGCTCCCACCGCTCGTTTTCGAGGATGACGTTAACCTGGGCCACCTTGCTCTGGTGGAACTCCTCAATGATGCCCTTTGCCTGCTGGTACAGAATCGCCCGCACAGTGCCGCCCATCGCCCCCGCAAGAGCCGGCTGCAGCCCACCACCCTCCTGGCTGCCCACTGCCTGCGCCACTCGCTCGCGCGTCTCGTCGTGTAGGCGTGTCGCCGTGTCTAGCGCGCCGATGGCCGTGACGTATATCGGCTGAAAGAGGGCGGGCGAGAGGGCATAGTGAAGGTCGCTTCTGCTCTGCAGCAGCACGCCACTCTTGGCCAAGAGGGTCGACAGGGTGACCTCGGCCAGACGGACCAGATCGGCAGCGACCGTCACGAGCTGCTCTCTCGTGTGCACTGGGGTGGAGGGGGCTCCCCCCTCGCCCTCTTGCTGCTGCTGCTGCTGCTGCTGCTGTTGGGGCGATTGCCCGTCAGCTGCCGCTTGAGCGAGCTGGCGGTTGATGGCGTGAAGGATGAGCAGGGAGAGGACCTGCACGCGCCGGCCGACGGTGAGGCAGAAGCCGAGTATGGCCCGCCAGAAGACGCAGAAGACGTCGTGAGAGAGCTGCTCCACCTGGTCACCCAGCAACACCCGATCCTTCCCACCTGTGTGCCACACAGGCCAGGCTATGAGTGCTCTCGTTGTATCGCTTCGCATGGGTGTGGACGTGATGTACCTGATGCTTCGCTCTCCTCATCAGGTTCATTCTCGTCTCCGTCCGTCTGTGCGGCGATGGCCTCGTCGGCCCTCTTCCTGCTCTCCCCGGCCGCCAGCACGGCCTCGGCAGACGCCACCACACGCAGCGCCTTCTTGGTCTGCTTCAACAGCACGTCGCGCAGCGAATGCACGGCTTGCTGCAGCAGCTGCCGTCTCAGCAACGTCCCAACCAAGGTGTCGATCTTGGCGTGCTGGTGGCTGACGGTGTCTGTCAGGGTGTCCGCGGGAGATGCGGACTGCCAGCCATAGGCCCATCTGGGGGTGCCTTCTGACGGCAGGGGGGAGGGGCTGAGGAGAATCTCGATGGCCGACGTGACGAAATCTGCCTCGAGCATTCTGTCGATTGACGAGAGGAGGTCTGAGAGCTGGGCGGAGACGTGTTTGGTGGCGTGGACCCGGGAGAGCTGCGTGGTCAGGACCTTCTGGGTGGACTCGATCAGGTCAACTGAATCAAGGGAGCCAGCCGTATACATCTCCCTCTGTGCGTGGCTGTGCATCCGATGTGTGCCTTCACCTGCTGTTGAGAAGTCTTGGACCGACAGGAGCATCTGTAGGGAAGGGTGTGTCTGCCTGATGGAGCTGAGCAGCTCCATTAACCGCACCAGCTCAAGCAGCCGGCCCTTCTTCTCCGTCAGACGCAACACCTACACATAACCACACAACCACATTCATTCAGACACCCATCCACTCTGTTTGTTGTGACTTCTTTGCCCACCTCGAGGCCAGGTGCAACATCCCTCTCCCTCAGTGACGCCAAATCGCCCCTCAGCGAGCGCAGAGAGTCAACCGCTGACCTGAAGCCCAGACAGACAGCCGGACCCATTCATCGGTGTGTGTGTGGCACGTGTGGGTGCGGTGAGCGTATCGGTACCTGAGGTCCTCCTGGACGCTCTCCAGATTGTTGAGTGCCGAGAAGAACGACTGGAACCGCGACCTTATCTGGTCGAACAGACTCACCTCGACAACATCCAGATAATTCGACAGCTTCTCCTACACAGACACACGAAGGAAAAGGCGTCAGGATGCCGGCCGTCCGATCTGTCATGATTGCATCGGTGCCGTCCCCACCCACCCCACCTGCATGGCCATGCTCGTGTGCAGGGACTGTCTGAAAATCTGGTGCTTGGCCAGCTGGAAGTCGCTCTGGAAGTACATCTGCGGGACGATCCGAAAGCACCGCGAGAAGTCCTGCACGCGATGCAGGCTCCCCCTATCACCGCCCGCCGCATCACTCCCCCGCCGCCTCTCCCCCCTGTGAGCATGCTCCCGCAGCTGCTGCCGTATGCCGTCCAAATACGGCCGGAAATCCTCCGCTTTGACTTCAGGGATCGGACTCAATGGCGGCGGGGGAGCCTCCCTCTCTCCCCTGATGGTCAACGCTTCCACCACCTCTGACCACAGGGATTCGCTCTCGGGGTTGTTGAGCACCGACGAGAGGCTCTGCGTGGTCCGCAGCTCCCGATAGACGTCGGAATAGTCATTTGGTGGGCGCGCAGATGCTGCTGATGCTGCTGCGGATGAACCAGCTCGTCTTGGCGAGCGAGGGGAAGAGGGAGAGGGGCCGTCTGCCGCCATTGGCTGCGAGTGTTGCCTTCTCGTCTCGGGAGCTGCTCGGGTACCCTCCATGCGAGACGCCGGGGCAATGGCTGCGCGGCGAAGGCTTGCTCAAACGAGTGTGTGACGCCCGACGAAGATGACGGTGTCTATCGTTACGCTCACGTACACAAATGGGAGAACGCACATGCCAGCTTAGCTCGCGAGCAGAGGCCAGGGTAAGACGATGACCGCGGCGGCAGTCAGAAGCAGAAAATCTTTGGAATGCTTCGAAATGCTCTTGTGTGACCGCAGATCTTGCAGCGCACCACGTTGATGGCGTGTTGAATCATGATAGAGGGCCTGCTTGTCATCGGTGATGGACCTGCCGCGAAAACAGACAGACGACGGCGTCGATATGATGTCATTGATTGAGTTCTGTATCCAGTTCTGCTTGTATTCACCCAAGTGGCGGCCATGGCTGATCATGGCGCTGCAGCTTCTGCGGGTGACGGCCGTCAGGTGAGGCTGCAGGACGGCGGGATGTCGGCTCATCGTCCACCATTTGTACGTGTATCGTTGCAGACCAGACGCCTCGGTCATCGTCAGCACCTGCCGCCGGTGGTGAAGAGTGGCGACGCGCAGAGCGGGAGAGGGACCTGAGGAGAAAGTCTCAGACATGGTGAGTGAGGGAAACGCGCAGACAGAACCGTGTAATGCTTCACTGACTGTCGCTCGCTGTCTTGTTTGCCCTGCAGCCTGGTCTTCGCACATGTATCACAGCCTTCCTGCCCCTCTGTCCACCTCGCCGTCGGCAGCAGAGGCAGAGAGGATCGGTCGTTTTGGCAGCGTGTCCAGCTCGATCTCGTCACCGAATTGGCCAAGAGGCTCACATAGCTGACGGCAATCACACTCTGCTATCCCGTGGGCGTCTCCCTCTGGCGCATTGATCTGTTCATCACCGTGGTTGAGGGCCAGGGGGGCGACCGACATGGATGGGAGCACGCTGAGGACAGTCAGATTCAAGGCGGCTCAGCTCAGCTGCCGTCGATCTCTCACGCGAATGGACTTCAGCCACTGAGCGCACTTCGACATCAGTGTACTCGCCTTCGTGCAGTCGCTCGAGTGGCTGACCGGCACTTGCTCCCGACCCGACGCCAAGCCATCCCTCCCGGGCTGGCCTTCGACCTATCTCTCTTCTGCAGTGGCGATTTCCCTTCCCAGCCCTCGCCCCTCTTCAAGCAGACCATGCAGCAGCTGGCGCGGCAGGCCACCTTTGTGGCTTACTGACTGACGCCACACGACCTCAAGCCATCCAGCGATGCGGCCATCGAGCTCGCGTCGAGCATCTCCTTTGATCGCTTTGCGGACGACCTTCTGATGGCCACATGCGTCGAACCCGCCGCTCCCCTCCGGCATCCCCACATCCCCCTCCTACCCCACCATCGTCAAGCATCTGCGTCCATTCCCAAAGACGACCGAGATCCGAATCGCTGTTGATGCGATGGGGGCGTTGGCGGGGGTGGAGAGGGTAAGGGAGTCCGACGTGCGAGAGGTGGAGATCAGGATAGGCGGCCTGATGGGCGCGGCGGAGGTCATAGCAGCTGCTGCCAAGCTCACCAACTGCCGACGATAAGCCAGCTGCGCTTCTTCATTGAAGAGGGTGGGTGAACAATACACAGACTACACATCCATCCGCCAGTTCATTTCTTCTCTCTCTGTCTGTCTGTCTGTCTGTCTGTCTGTCCGCCTGTGTGCGTGCTGTTCATCCGTCGGTCAGTGTCAGAGGATATGCGGCGATGACATGGGTGCCATCTTCTCAACCGTATTTCTCTCGGCCCTTCCATAACATCCCAGGGCTGCAGCGTCCCAGCTGTCGCCGCCATCCGTGCCGCCTTCCCCGACAGCACGACGGTCGGACACTTCTGCGTGGGCATAGAGACGCATGCCGCTTGGTGAGCTTGCTGGTGTCACAGTGGGCCGACCTGGACACAGTGTCTGTCTGTCTGTCTGTCGTTTATGGGAGGAAGGAGGCCATAGCTGCGGTCGGTCGCTGTGTAGATATCTGAGCGGCTGCCGACGGACGTACGGCGAGTAGTGTCTGCTGTGGCTTAGCCTGCCTGTGCTGTTGGGTGGGTAAACCCAGTAGATTGATGCGTCTTTCAGTGACACACCCGTCAACCAAACATTCAGGTCTGCGCACACAGATAAATTTCATCGCCACGCACGAATGAGGCAAATGTCAACACGCACACTCACACACACATCATATCAAGCAGTCGACCCGATGACAAAATAGATGGATGATGCACTCTCTCCGATCCCATCTCTCTCTGTCAGAAGCACACGGCAGCACTCGGCAGCTGAATAGCCCCCAACCCACACACACACACACCGCCCTCCCTCCCTCTCCCTCTCAGTTGATGCCGAGTGTCACCCACTGCCCCCGCTCGTCGATGCGGCGCAGCTGCTGCCACCCACCAAACTCACAGTCGTCATTGCCCAAATGGTCGTTGAAGCCCTTGTTGATGGCCCCCTCCTCTATGCCGTGTCGGGCCGCCTCGTCCAGCCGGGCCCTCTGCACCACCTCACGCACACCCACACGGCCCCGTGTGTGGACCACCTGGTGTGGGCGGCTGTCGGCCAAAATGGCGAAGCACTGCAGCGGCACCCGCACCGTCACGCCACCCACATTGGCCGTCCCGCCCACCACCTCCCTGTTGCTGCTGGCATACAAGGCCGACTGGATGAAGTGGTGGACGGCCGCACACACACGGCGGGCAATGTCGCTGTTGCGGATGGTCAGTGTGCTTGTGATGGTCTGTTTGGCGGCCTGCATGTCGAAGCACATGGCGGCGATGCGCCAGCCGATGGCCTCTGCCTCGTGTGGGCCGTATCCAGCGGGGGCGGGGGGCGGACTGGCCGCAGGTGTGCCAGGGGGCTGCAGCAGATGGGGTAGGAGGGTGGGGAGGGACCTCATAAGGAAGGCCGCCAGCGACCTCTGGGGGGCGAGTGCCGCATTGACGGCCGCCATCGCCCCCGTGTGGATGTCGTTGAGGACTGTCCTGCATTGGGTCAAGACCAGCTGGCGACGACGGCGCCGCTCTGGGGTGTCTGTGGGCATGCGGCCGATGTCCGCCCCGTTTCGCAGCAAGCTGCGGATGGTGGCCTCGCGGAGCGGAGTCTGACTGGCGGCTCGGTCCCTGCCGAACTGCGGCCTGTTGACGTCCTGCGAGGCGTCAATTCCTGTTTCGAGCTCTATGGCGGCCGAGTACAGCGGGGATCTCCTTCCTCTGTTGATGTCCCCTTCTGGCACGTGGCGGCCCAGGTAGTCGACCACACAGGGAGAGCTCCACTGTGCCGCCACGTGCAGCGGCGTCAAATTCAACGCCAGTGCATTAAGGTCGGCCCCGTTAGCCACCAGCAGGTCCATGTAGGCATCGATGAAGGCCTGGGAATAGTGCGCTCGCTCGCTGCGGGCCGCCAAGTGGACCGGAGTGTTACCGTTCTCGTCTGGTTGCGTGGCGAGTGTGGCGTCATGATCGATGAGCCGCCGGTACATCGATCGACAGCAGCCGCTGCTCGTAGCCGGGGGACACCTGATAGACGATTCTGCCGGTGACGGACCTGGGCAGCTCCATGCCAAGCCCATGATCATCATGCACCGCAGCGCTGGGCGCCAACAAGACGGTCACAGCGCTCTCATTGCCCCCACAGATGGCCATCCTGATGGGCCGGTCGTCCGTAGAGGTCGGCTCGTTGACGTGGGCGCCGCCGTCGATGAGGGCATTCAAGATGTCCGCCTCAAGCTCAGGAGACGACCAGTGAGGCAAGAAGAGAGGCCGCCGACTGTAGAGGCTGGCCTGTGTGGTTTGCAGGGTGCCGTCACTGAGGTTGTCAATGGCAAGCGATAGCAGTCGATACGGCCGCCCATGGCCGCCGCTGCCTCGCACCCGCAGCCGGGCCGCACTGTTCGGGTCAGCACCATCCTGTATGAGGTCCGTCACCTGCTGCGGATCAGTGAAGGTCCGACGGACGATGCCGTCAGCCAGCCGTCTGGTCGCATCGTTGGTGTGCCCGATTTCGATGTCCTCGAGCTGTAGCCATTCTTCGGGCTGCTGTGGTGGCGCACTGGAGGTCATCGGTCGCCTCACGCCATCATTTTAAGCTGCATGCATCGTCACGCACAAACAGCAGAAAATCACACACGGGATTCCTCCCTCTCTCTCTCTTTCCATCCATTCGCACCTTAACGAGTGTGTGATGCGTCGAGTCCTCCTTGCCGTCAGTCACCGACATCAGCGCACATCAGCGAAGAAGGAAGCACCATCGACAGACGCATTGGCGTCCTGCAAAACACATACAACACAACACAGTGCATCAATGCTCTGGGCTTCCCTCTCGCACCTCAATTGGACTAAAAAGACACCCGCATTCCCTGCTGCCACGCTGCTGGGGTTCAGGGTTTAGGGCTCGAACCCTGCGTCCAGGCACCCTAATTGCAACAGCCCGAGGAAGGGGATCTTCCCAGCGGATGGCGTGGTTTCGTAGCCCGTTGGCGCTCCTCTGTGACTTCCTGTTCATTGCCTGCTCCTTCTTGCTGCTGTTTCCACTCGACAAAAACATCACGCTCACGTCCTTCCGCCAGATCCCTCCCGGCAATGAGACCACACGCATTGCTGACAGCAACTGCACTCGGTACAATGCCAGATTCCCTTCAAAAGGAGAGGTACGACAAGCAATCGACACATTCATGAATGGGCTTGTCTGTCTGTTGGAATAAGTGGATGGTTGGCTGCAGGTGCTGCATGCCTGGGTGTATGTGCCGGACGGCCGGGGCGAGGCCGGACTGCCGGTCATACTCACTGCCACCGGCCTGGGCTCACAAAAGGTGACTCCAGATTGTTTGTGGTGCACGCACACACACGACGTACACATCTGTTCTGTGTCTGTCTGTGTGTGCAGGATTTGGGTTTAGAGCCACTGGCAGAGGCCCTGTGCGGCGGCGGCCTCGTGGCATTCGTCTTCGACTATCGCTACTTCGGCGGATCGGTACGCTGGGAAATCGCGCAAAGACCCCGAGCAGGGCGCCTCACCTGTGTCTGCGCTTATGTGTGTGTGATTGCAGACTGGCTCGCCGCGGCACGTGACTCTTCCGTGGCTGCAAATAGAGGACTGGATATCCACTCTCACCTACGTGACATCAGTGGACCCCTCAAAGCATCCTCAGGAGAACTCCTGGCAGGCGGCCATCGACCCTTCGCGTGTGGTGCTGTTCGGCAGCAGCTACGGGGGGGCGCATGTGCTTTCGGTCGGGGGGAAGGTCAACGGCACGGTGGCGGGCAAGGCCGTCAAGGGAATCCTCGCTCAGGTGTGCTGTGCTTGTGTGTAATGGATGCACGGCTGTCACGCATCTGTGTGGATCGGTGTGTGTCTACACAGGTGCCTTTGCTGGACGGTCGAGTGAGTTCTCGGCGGGCGCTGAAGAACCGCAGTGCACTCACGAGTGTGCGCATGTTGTGGGCGTTGCTGGCGGACCTGGCGAGGTGAGCAAGCCCCTTGCACAGACACTGCAGTGCGTCGCACAAACAAATCAATAATACGTTTGTTCAGGTGGCTGGTGGGGATGAATCCTGCGAGCATCCCGGTGGCCGCAAAGGTGTCTGAGGGGGGCATGGCCGCAATGGCACTCAGCGACGAGGTACGGCCGCATAGCATACACGACCACACGCCCTGTCTGTCTCAATTTGTGACTGTGTCTGTTTGTCAATCAATCAGGATTACGCCTTGTGGCGTGGAAAGATTCCCACTCGGCCGCTGGGCGGCTGGCAGAACGAACTGCCGGCCAGAGTGCTCATCGGACCCATGGCGTACCGACCCATTCGTAAGTGAACCGCTATACACACACATGGATGGATGGATGGATGTGTGTGCGTCTGCTTGCGATTGATCAGAGCATCTGGGTGAGAATCCCTACCCCACTCTGATCGTATCGGCGACGCAGGACTTCATGCACGATGCGTCGCTGCCGAGGGAGGCCGTCAAGCTGCTGCCGCAGGGGGTGTTGCACGAGGAGGACTGCACACACTTCGACGTGTACACGGATGCAGTCAGACAGAGAGTGATACAGCGAATGATGGCTTTTGTGGCGGAACACACTTGATCGACTGAGTCGTCTGCTGTAGCAGTTTTTGTGTAGTGGGGCTGCTCGACGCTTGTGCCGGTTTTTGCTTGTCTGCCTAGGTTGGGTGACCTTCGGGTTGTTTAGTGAATAGCTTCATTGTCACCTGCTGGGTGCGCTGTGCGGCGTGACATTTGACGATAAGCCGTAGGCTGTTAAAAATCCATAAAATGTCAACACAGACTCGACATGCATAGCTTCTTATTGGTCCAAAGCTCTTGTCAAAGTGCAAGCAACATGCAAACGAAGAGACATAGCTCATTACTGACTTTTCAGCCCGTTGACGACAAGGCAGACCGATATGTACTGAAACTGCCACTCGGCCTCTTGGTTGCCTCCCCACATTTGATACGGTGCTCTGATAAACGCAGAGTGCCCAGGCCTTCACACCGGAAAAACGTAACTCACGTGTGTTTTGTCAACTCGACACAGCAAAGCGTCCGAATCGCTTTCATCGCCCTCAGCATATTGCTATCGCACAGAGCAGGAAAAGAAAAGCGTGTATGTTGCTCTGCCTAGTTAGCCAAAGACATACCCGAATTATCTGCGCATCGGCTAGGAAGTTTCTCCAATTCCCGATGGCTTGATCTCTCTTCTTCGAGATGACGTTCTTCTTTCTCTGGGCCTTCTCCTCTTCGCTTTCCTCTCGACCTTCTTCCTCCATCTTCCACAGCCTTCTTCTTTCATAGTAGTCATAGCCGCCGCTGTCAAAGCGCTCCTCGACTTCTGAACGAAAGTTATCTTCCCAATACTTGCGCAGGACGGCATCTTTCTCCTCGTCGCTAATGTCCGCTGTCCCTGTCCGCAGGACGTCCGCACCCGCCTCGCCGATCAACGAATATGACGCCGGGTCATCAAACCACTTGTACTCGTTCAGCATCTCGAAGCTCACATTGAAGTCCCGCGCTAGCAGTTGGTACAAGGCTGCGTCGGTGCCCTTGAGAAAGTCAGGGCCCACCGACGATGGGGTGTAGTCATGCTCAAGCCGGAAGACAAAGCGGCTGGCCCTTTTCTTCTAGAAAACCCAAACACATGGAAGCAATCCTCACTTCGTCCATCATCTCCTTAGACCGCCCGTGGACATTGTCTTACGTCTTTCGTCGGTTTGAAGTGTTCCCTCAGCATGTCGACTAAGTCTTGCAATGAAGTGGGCAGCGGCCCGAGCCTCTCCCTCTCCTGATCTGCAATTCTCTCCCGCCGCAGATTGTACGACAGAACGAGCCGATGGCCCGACTCAACGGGCATCACACGATGAGGGATGTCTGCTAAGAACGTTAGCCATCGACATTGGCCGCTTTCGAGTGCAACTCGCGTCTCGTTGTTGAATCTCTCGCCATCGAAGGCATCCCCGTCGTGGAGCAGAAAGTCGCCCCCGCTGTAATCCGTTGGGAGAAAGACCAGCAGAGACCCGAACATCTCTTTGTTCCGCTGTGTGTCCTTGTGAATGCGAAAATGGTCGCCCTCAGCATAGATAAGCGCCTTGTAGAAGTCTGCGCTCACTCGGTAGCCCGGCGTCATCTCGTGCTCAACCACACGACAGATTCCATCAATGACATTCTCCCATCGGCCACCCTGACTTCTCACAGACACTTGGTCAGCATGCACTTCGCGACTGTTTCGGACGTCGGGATCAACCACCGTCTTGTCTTTCACGCCAAAGGGCGACTGGCTGGCATGCTTCTCGTACACATCCTGCAGGTCGGCGGGCGAGAAGGGAGCACCTGGCAGCTGGAAGTTGGGCTGAAGAGACCACTGAGCAGACGTGTTGTCGCGAGAGATGATCGAGGGGACCAGATCACTTGTACCTAAACACACACACACACACACAGACGACACAACACATCCATCCATCCATCCATCCATTTATCTGTCTGTGTGTGTGTAGGTGACCCGAAACGAAGGGCCTCGGCGTTTCGTGCTTCTTGAGATAGCCCAGGGCGGCATCCACCACTCCACCGGCCCTCTCATGGCTCACTTGCATCGACACAGACACGCCGGAATGTCGCCGCTTGTCAGCCAAACGGATGAATCGATGCGGTTGATGAGAAGCTGGCTGTAAGGGGACGAAGCCGCTCTGCTTGGTGAGTGCTCCCTCAGTGGATGGCAGGCTCGTCGCAGACAGAACAAGCCGCAGGGCGACAGACAGGACCACAGGAAGGACGCAGACGAGAGAGATCCGGCCACAATCTCCTCGGGCCATCGCTGGGCTACGCATAGTGCAACGCAAGACCGTCTGAGATGGTTGAAAAAAGTGCGAGCCTGAAATCGCGAGCCCTAGATCGCGCAATTGAGATCGCGAGCTTAGATTGCATGCCAGTCTCGTCTTCCAGCCCCCGGAAGAGAGGCGGGGAACGAGGGTTCAGTCAGATCCACCGCTATCCTTCTTTGTGAGATCAAAAGACTCATGTCCCACTGGCTCATGTTTGAGACTGACTGTCACACTGTCGTACCATGAGTGCCTGGTAAGAGACGGTAAGTGCAGAGGAAGGGGCACTCTCTGTGTGTGTACTCTTGTCTTCAGGGATTTTGAAGATGCCTTTGCGCTGGCCGCAGCGTCCGCGCCCCTCTCCTCATCGTCATCGTCCGCGGAACTACGCCGGCCACAGGTACACATATGAGATGAATTATCCGTGTCCATTTGTGTCTGACAGTGTTTCATTCACTCTTTTCGATTGTAAGGAGACACCAGGATTGGTGCCATTATCCTGTCGGGTGTCTCGTCGCTAACAAGAGGGCACTCGGGTGTGGATGGTGACGGATAAAAGGCCACAGGGTGAGCAGAAGTGGGTGACGGCCGAGGTGTATCGCACTGAGGAGACCGATGGCGGGGTGAGTGCACATCAAAGAGGTCGGCGGCTGTGAGGAGTTCCATGTATTGGTGCCGCACGAGCCGGAGACATCACCGCATACCCAACAACAGGTACACGTCGGTGCATCCAGTGCTATACCTTGCGTCTTTCTTGTGTGTGTGTGTGTGTGTGTGTGTGTTCAGGGTTCTTCCACCGGCGGGCCGCGTGCTGATCATGGTGGTAGCTCTCGTGATCTTCTACAGAAGATTCAGCTGGTGAGCCGGGAAAAGATCTCCGCATATGCAGCAGAAGTGATGTTGCCGGGCTTGTGTCTTGTTTGCAGATTGCTTCTCAGATTGCCTTTGACGCGGAGAGGGCCCAGCACATGATAGCCCCAAATACCAACAACAATACATCGGTCCGCACAGACATCATGCAGTCAAGGTGGAGCACTGATTATTCATCTCTCTGTCGTGGCAGGATCCTCAATTTCTGGCCGGCAACCTGTCTACCATTCTGGGCACTCTCACTGACGCCCACTCGGCCCTCAGCAACCACTACAAGAACATACACATAAGGATTTCGGGACGCCACGCAGTGGCTTCTACATCTCTACATCTCTCATGACGCTCAGGTGCCTCCTGGTGTCGGCTGCAAGCATAAACACGTGGCCACCTCCGCGCCGGCTGCTGCTGCTGCTGGTGCTGCTGGTGCTGGTGCTGATGCTGGTGCAGGTAGAGGAGGTATCATGAACCGAGACACACACGTGCACGCTAAAAAATTGCGGACATCTTGGTGGCCATGTTGTGTTGTGTGCTCCGTTTAGGTGCTTCGCGTGTCTTCAGGTCGTTCGATGTGCCTGGTGCTGAAACGTCCACGCTTCAGCATTACCGGCAGACGGTATACAGCCGGGCAAGACACGAACCGGCCCTCTATTGGTTTCCTTTGCGCTTCAGGCCCGCAAGCAGTCTCCTGTGTTTAGTGTGCCGAAGGAGGTCGAAGAGGAGGTCCTGTTTCCCCTACTTTGGGGCGGTTTGGCCATCAGCCTCGCCAGCCTCCGCAGCAGCTGCCGCCTCGGTCGACAGCGGGTCTCAGCAGACTCACTCAGATTCCAAATTGACGCGCAGTTGACCACCAAGTACATTGACCACATCATTATCTATGATCTCAACTCGGTCAGCCTCCTGCTGCGGCTCCTCTACATCATTGAAAACAGCGGCGAGTGGGTGGGGTGGGAACCAATCATGAGGGTGGCGATGCATCAGGGGCGGGGGCCGGGGCGGTTGCCCATAGAGCTGGGCAGTGCTGCTATGGAGGGTGTCGACAGTCGACAGGTCTTCGACGGGCGGTGCGAGGCGCTTCGTCAGCTCTCACTCATCTGCCGCCACCTCAACAGCCCTGGCCGCCGCAACGACATGAGGCTGCAGCGAGTCAACAACGAGGAGCGGCTGGGCAGATGTCCGTTGTACATCAACACGCTGCAGTCCCTGCCTCCGAACTGTCCCTTCCGCGATGAATTCGACCAGAACAACCCCGTGTGTGAGCATCCCGGTGAGGAGTGGAGGGTGACAGAGGGAGAGCTGTGGGCGCTGTGTCCTTTGCAGATGACTATTGCGCTTCGATTCAAGACGCTGTGCTGTTCGAGTAGACAGATGGGCAGAACAGAGACACATTCTTGTTAACACTCTGGTATGACTTGTTTGGTCAGGATGGATGGACCGGTGTTCCATGTGCCAGAATTCCAGCCCCGCGCAATGCCATCGGTCAGAGACAGAGAGACCGACACACATAGATACACACATACAGACGGACGGACGGACGGACAGACAGACAGCCATGTTCCTTCAGATCATGGACCTCGTCAAGCAGCAGCCGCCACTGTGGAACAGCTGCTACACTGTTGCCACGCGCCAATCGCCAGAAGGCTACCTCCGGCGCGTCGTTATTGTATTGACAGGGGATCAGCCTCAGGACACATTCGAGGTCCACCTGTATATCAACAGCAAGTTCCCCCCCCTGGGCCTGTCGGCTGCTCGCACAAAGTTGTGCACGACGGAGCGCCCCGTGACTGGCAAGCAGGGTGCGGCGGCGTTCCCGCTGACAGTGAGGGTGGTGCGCGAAGTGATGGGGGCCGACGCGGAGGGGGCGTTCGACCATCAGCCGGCTTTGTAGACAACTCGTGGCCACCTGCAACCGTGGCCGTGGACAAATTGACTCGCCTCTGTCTGTTTGCCCTAGTAATACCACCGATGGCAGGCAGCCATACGCGGAAGACCGGCGGACATATGTGTGTTGTCATAGCATGTTGCGACCTCGAATGTGGAGACAGTAATGGAGCACGAAAACAGTCATCCTCAACATGCGGATGTGTGTCTCGCGTGCGAGACACCCTCAGAGAGAGAGAGAGAGTCTCAGAGAGAGAGAGAGAGAGAGAGAGAGAGAATGCGATCTGATCAACGGCCGGCATCCGACCGACACACACACACAGAGCGTGTATGGAGGTATGGTCGTTCCACTCGTTCGTCTCGACGGTCTCGCTGTCTGTATATGCATTTGCTCGCGGCGATGGTGGGTGTAGCATTGTCTGTCTCGGGATGTCTGCAGCATCAAATCATCTCAAATCATGCGTCGAGCCGAGCTTGATCATGAATGAGCATTTTTGTTTCATGATTGGTCACGTATGTCTTGTCGCCATACAGAGCAGGAAATCAGGACACAAACGAAATACAGTAGATGACGGAAGATCCTTCTTGCCACATTTCTGATCTTCCGTGGCAGGAAGGAAGAGAGACCGAGGCTGCGAGCTGAGTTGCCCCAGTCTCAGGTCGACCGAGGCTCGAGCATGGCTCATAGAGTCAGAATGAGAGGAATCATAGGAAGAAGGTGAGCAAGATCCCACATGAGTACGATCACACATTCGCCCATTCGTACACATGTTCGTTTCATCCATCAGCCTTGAGACTGGGGGCTTAGAGACTCGGCCCCCAGTCTCAAAGGGCTGAGCGGCCGGCCTGAGGATAAACTCCAGTGAAAGAGGTATGGCAGCTTCATCACCGTCGCCTGCTGCTGGCAGTGCAGACTTGCGCCGACCACAGGTGCGTGTACGTATCGCGTGCGTCTCTCATTATGATCCTCAAGCTTATTCTTCGTTGGGTCATTCGCATTTTCTGCAGCGGTCGAGCGCCGACGAAGAGGACAAGATGGACACGACGACGGCGCTAACAACGACGAGTGGAGAGACTTGTCCGCTCGGTGTTGAAACGGTCCCTCACATCAGCAACGACGAGGACCGCATCAGCGACGACATGGAATGCGTGCGGAGCGACTTGCGTCGATTTTTGTGTCAATGGAATGACCAATTCCTCTACGGGTGCGTTCAGATGTCGCCGCCATTATTCTTCCATGCGGCTCGTCGGTACCAAGAGGGCACTCGTGTGTGGATGGTGACGGATAAGAGGCCACCGGGCGAACAGAAGTGGGTGACGGCCGAGGTGTATCGCACTGAGGAGACCGATGGCGGGGTGAGACTTTTCATGAGGGAGGTGGACGGCCGCCATGAGAAGTTCGAGGCGCTGGTGCCTTACCAGGCCGATCTATCGCTGCATGACCAGCGGGTACATATGGAGACATCCCTGCATTCACACAGCCATTCACTGAATTATCCCTTGTGTATGTGATGCTTTGTGTGTGTAGGAGCATGAGAGCTTCAGATTCGTCTGCAAGGCGCCTGTCAAGAGGCCCCGGCTGCCATCGTGCTTTCCGTCGTGTATGTCTGCACCTTTTCCGGCCCCTTCTACTTCCTTGGCAAGCGCGGCGTTGGCTCCAGGGTGACGGCTCCAGGGTACACACAGCACAGCCACACGGAAGACACACAAAAACAAAGTGCCTTCTCCTACCTTCTCTCTTTTGTTGTCATTTCGGTTCAGGCCGGCTGGCAGCATCCTCTCTTCAACGTGCCGCAGGATGTCCAGAGAGAGGTCCTCTTCCCTCTGCTCGGCGATGACCTGGCCATCAGCCTCGCTCACCTCCGCCGCACATGCCGTCTTGGCAATCAGCGGGTCTCAGCCGACATCTCATCGATCATCGACCACCAGCTCATCGACAAGGGCATCCAGCGCATCATCAGCTACGACCTGACAGCTACCAACCTACTGCTGCGGCTGCTATGCTTTATCGACAACGGCAGCGACTGGGCGGTTTGGGGGCCTATCATTAATGTGGCCAAGCATCACGGGCGGGTGAGGGACCTGCCGATGACCGTGACCAGCAATGATGTGGAGGGTGTGGGCAGCCGGAGGCTCTTTGACAGCCGAATCGAGGCCCTTCGACAGCTGTCCCTCATCGGTCGGCACCTCTACCAATCGGACAACAGCAGCCTGAGGGTGGAGCGCATCGACAATGAGGAGCGCTTGAGTGGACGGCCCCTCCCTATCCGCGCAGTGCGGACGTTGGGTGAGGCCAAGGGAATAAACGGGGGCGCCCACCGGGCGGCTGGAGTGGTCGTGTGTGTGATTGTGCCCCTGCATGTGTGTTTTCTGATAGATTTCGAGTATGCTTCGGTCCACGACGCTGTGCTCCACAGGTACAAGAAAGGACGAGTGAAATACACAGACTCGCACAGATACACAGCTGTGTGGGTCTGACCAGGACGTGTCACGGAGGTCCAGGAATGTCGATGGTCGCCTCCAAGTCATCACACGATTTCAGAAATGTCCGACACTACACTCGTATGGTCAGTCAGCCAGCCACCATTATAATATTCACCCGCGGGTTGCCCCACCCTCTTTCTCTCCATCTCCCTCTCCCTCTCCCTCTCCTCTCTCTCAGTGGGTGCTCGCCACGCAGCCGCCGCCCATATGGAATCGGCACACGGTCAGCACGGGCAGCCATACGGCATTTGGCTACTCTCACCGTATGATTGTGCTGCACGGCGACCAGCCCGACGACCACTTCGAGGCGCACATCATCGTCCACCGATACGACAGCTACACTAGCGCCACCCTTTTCAGCACCGAGCGTCCAGTGGAGGGCAGGGAGGGGGCCGCCAGGTTCCCGCTGACGGTGCAAGTGGCGCGGGAGGTGATGGGGGCCGATGCTCAAGTGGTGTTTGGCAATCAGCTAGCTGTGTTTTGATGAACACGGGGTGGCATGAGGATGTCTGTGATGACTGACAGGTGTGTGTGAGGGGAGCGAGCATGTCTGGATGGATGCTAGACTGACTGCATCTCTGTGGCGTTTTGTCCGTCAATGAATGCGATGACACGAAAGCCCATCCACACCATACACGAGCACCTAAGTGCACCCACGATCAATGGTACATGGACATCGACCGACAGAGACACGACTAGCAAATACAAAATGTAGGCAACGATGCCTGTCAGCCCCTCCTCTGCACCTCGCTCATCACTCACATAAAGTCACGCAGGAGCGTAATCGACCAGTCAGTCAACCAATGCCATGCGGTCACTGCCGTGTGTTTCTTAGGGCGGGGGACTTGGCCGAATCGATGACTGCACATGGTTAGCCAGCCGAACATAGTCATGACGTCCGCACCAGACGAGCACCAGGCAGTGCGGGAGTAGTGAAACGGTCGGACAGATATGAAATGTGGACAGCGATGGAGGAGAGCTGCACAAACACACAGGACAAAACAAAGCCGCGTGGGCAAACAATCAACTGAGGACTCGGCGACCCTTTGTTTTTCTCACCTTTTCTCCGCCTTCAGTCACTTGTTCTGTCAGTCGGCCTTCCCCTCCTTTCTCCTCTCGTCCGTATGCTTGGCTGGCTGCTCTGCATCAATCATTTCTCTCTGCCTCACTTGAGTCTTCTCCCCACCTCTCCTCACTGAGCTGATGTGTTGTGTCGGATTGCCCCTACTGATCGACAGTGCCGTGCGCCACCGATGACCGGCAAACACCCGCGGCGACCCTCTCACACCGAAGGAAATACGCTTTAGGGCCGACTTTGGGTGCGCAGCGACACGCAAGACATCACTCAGTGGGGAGAGGGGCTGCAGCCCCGCCCCCTCCCACAACGATCTGATCCCCACGCAGTGGGGCTGCCGGGCAGCAGCAGCACAAGAGAGTGGCAATGGCCTCCCAGATTGTAGGCTGCCTCTTTGCCTGCGACACACATGAGACACATCGATGGTCAGATGAAGACTGAGAGCTTGGCTTTCCCTACCGCCGCCTCAGCCGCCGCCTCGGCCCGCCTCGCCCTCTCCGTGGCCTCCTTTTTCTTGTGCCGTGCTGCCAAACGCGTCAAGAAGGCCATCATGAAGGTGCACAAAGCGCTGAGAAGGAAGGCGATGCCTTAGGCTCCCGCCCCGGCCGGACGACTTGCGCCGAGAGGACGTGCGCCGAGACTTATTCGTTCTCTCCTCGATCAGAGCCCACCTGTCGGCAAAGGCACTTCCTCAACATTACTCAATTCTGAGTCTTTCTTCTGTGTCACCAAACTCACATATTGGTCCGGTAGGTGTCGACGAGGGCGTTTTTGACAACGTCCTTGTTTTCGATGGCCGTCTGGAGGTCTGCTATCCTGCTTTTGAGGGCCTGCACATGAACGATGCATTCCTTTTCGCTAGTACTTGCGTGGTCTGGTCTTCCATGGCCTCCTCCTGACTGCCCTCACTGATGGCCTCCCGGCCCCCCAGCGAGTCGGTCTTGTAGGCCCTGTGTGCCTTGATGGGGTTGTGTGATTGCATGATCAAGGCCACCTCGGACTTGTGCGCCCTTTCGGCCACTCTGTTGGACGGCATTGCCTGCATTGCAAACAGGCACAGAGGAGACAGAGACGGCAGGTCTGAGTGTCCACTGCAATGCCTCTCGGCCCGGCTCACCTGTCACCCATCCATCTCACCTTCATTCTGAGCTCATCTCTGACGATCTGGTGACGTACCCTTTCGCCAACTCCTCCCGACGCTTCGCCATCCAAGCAGGCTCTGCGTTGCTGCTCATCGGACTCATCTTTCAGCAGCATAGCCATCGAACAAGTTGGCGAAAAAGCCTGACTTCTCCGGCTAAGGGCACGACACACAGACACACAGACACACAGACAGAGACACAGACAGACAGACAGACAGACAGACATCGGGTGTGGGCGTCTGCGTGAATGAGATTGAAGTGCCTACCAGGCTGGCACCCTCTTCTCTGACCAGTCCACCGTCTTCCTCCCGTAGTGGTCGGTGCAGACCGATACTTGCGTCGGCGGCTCGTGGCGCTCCACATGCACAACACGCCAGCCCCCCTTGCCGTCGGGCACCTTGGTGCGCGTCTCGACATGGAAGCCGACTGTTGGCGGGGTCGACGGACAGAAGCAGGTGGGCTTGCAGTGCTTGGCCATAGCAGGAGGGGCAAAGTGGGCGTAGGGGAGGGGGTGGGGGCCGACAAATGGCTGAGGGGGTGGGGGTGGTGGGGAGAATGGCTGAGGGGGAGGGGGGAGGCAGCTACAGCACTCTCAGCCTCCTCTCTCTCTCATGCAGCCACCAGTGCGACGCCGCCTCGCCGGCTGTTTGTTTGCGCACAGACAGACAGAGAGACAGACATCGGGTGTGGGCGTCTGCGTGGATGCGATTGAACTGCCTACCAGGTGGTCTGTGGACAGGATCGTAATCCATGAGCTCCTTGGTGAGTTTGACAGCGCCCTCCCATTTCCTGTCAACTTCCGCAAAAGTGGGGGGGTGCTGAAAAGAAAAAGAAGGAGCGAATTCACGTATGAGCGTGTGGGCTTGGGCCCGTCCCCCTCCCGTGCGTGTGTGTGTGCGCTGTTGATGTGGTGGTGGCGCTCTTCCCTGTCCGTGATGCCCTTCAATTCAGGGAAAGGAAGGTCCTTATAGAGCAAAGCTTGCCTGCACACACAACAACAACAGCAACAGCAATTCCACCCACACGATGTCGGTCAAGTGCAGGTGTCCTTTGTACAACATGACCCCAACTGCCCATAGATCGGTCTCCGCTGTGTAGCCGGTCAAGTGCTCCTCGGGCGCCTGCTCACACCACACAGAGCAGCACACATAGGAGTTTTCCCTCTCCCCCCGCCCCACTTGCCTCTTGCATGCATCACACTTACAGTGTATTCGCGCGTGCCGCCGCGGTCCTGATTGCCTGCGATGCGCCATGCCTTGAGGGCCCTCTCTGTGGCACACAGCTGGTAGTCGACCAGCTTGAGGCATGTTCCATCGAACAGGCAGTTGTCGGCCTTTATGTCGGCATGAACCAGCTGAGTGAGTGGAGAAGGGACACACCCGGCCACACATCAAATGAATGGCTTTGGCCAGTGAATACCCACCTTGCTGGCATGCATCCGATTGACAGGGAGCAGCAACTGCATGACGATGGACCGGCGGGCGTCGAGGCTGAGGCCGCCCTCCGCCCACCACTCAGGCAGGGGCACGCCGTGGCACCTCTCCATCACGACATACACGCATTCTGGCATCCTCTTGTCGCGTGGCTTTGCGGACCAGTCCACCGTCTTGCTCCCGTGGTGGTCGGTGTGGACCGATACTCGCGTTGGCGGCTCGTGGCGCTCCATATGCACGACGCACCTTCGTGCGCGTCTTGAGATGGAATCGCCCACGTCTCGCGAAAGACGTCGATTATCTTCGCGAGTTTGGGATGGTCCGTGACGTTGAGAAGATAGGCGTGTGCCTCCGACATCTGGTGACTGTGAATGACAGACAGCACAAGCGAAAGAGCACGCAATGCCTGCACAGCATCGCGGCCACCATCTAGCTCTCACGTCCACCGCCCGATGGCCTTCAGCCCGTCCTGATGTCCACGGTCTCGTGGACGCTTGAGCTAATTGCAAGGCTGAAAGTACGCAGGTCGGATGAGCCGAAAGGTCCCCAAGCAGATATAAAAAGTAGACAGCGATGATGAGGGCTGCGGCACGACAGTCAACTCATCCAAGGCACCTCGCGGGAGGATTTGTGTGTGAAGGTGCTACCGTGTTGCTTTGGGTGCCCCTGTCGGCGGCAGATTCCTGAGGCGGCTACAAGCGCACAACAAGAGACACCAGCAGACAGACGGATCAGGGCACGGCACGGCACTCAAGCTTTGGGGGGAGGGCAGTGTTCTGTATATGCGTACCTTCTGAATCTGAGTGGTCTTGTCGTTCTTCTCCTTGGTGTCGGCCTGCCTTTTTCTGTGGGCAAAGGAAATTGGCAGGTGTGTGTGCATGATGTCTCATGGATGTGTGTCCGTGTACTTGGCGGCCCCGTGCTGCTCCAGCTTCTGGTCGGGCAGGGAACAGGGAGGGAGACATGAGTGGGAGAGATATGCGACTCATTAATCGGGCCTCACCTTGTGGATGCCGTCCATTCGTTTGGTGACCTCCTTCAGGCCGCTTGTCATGCTCACCTGCGGGAAGGCAAGGCTAGATGGGTCCCCCACCTAATTATGGTGATGTCTCCCTGTCTCCCTCCTCGATACCCACCCTCAGGCCGCTTCCCACGGGGGTGGTGTCCTCTTTCTTGGCCCCAGGAGGACGGCGCTTGACGGCACCACCACCACCGGCAGCAGCGGCAGCAGCGGCAGCGGGCTCCGCATCCTGTCGGACAGTCGGCACGCAGCCGTGCAAGACTCAGGGTGATACACATCCACACAAGAGTCTCTTCCCCATTTCCTTGGTGGTCACCATCTCCGTCTCGTACAGTTCCTCGTCCATATTCAACCAACCTGTGGCGCCGCCAGCAGCGGCAGCGGCAGCGGCAGGCTCCTCAAAGAGGGTCTGCACCACACACACGGAGACTCAGCAAGGACCCAGGGGGTCTATCAGGTTCTGTCTCTCTCCCACAGGCAACATAGTCCCTCGGCCGTTGAATGTCCCTCGGCTCTCCCTCTCCCTGCCCCCTCGGGCCCTCCCCTCCCGCCGACGTCCCAGGCTCTCGTCAGCGCGGCGGCACCTTTCGAGGTACGCCTGGATCTCCCTGGGGGACGTCGGCGGCGAGGGGTTGGGGTACCCCCCATTCCATTTCCACGCGGCCGGCTCGCTGCTCACACACAGACACACAAGACAGACACGGCGAGACAGCCTGACAGACAGCTGGCACAGCCTTCTCCCTCTCTCCCTTATGTGGCCTTTGGTCGGAGGGCAAGGCTCTGCATCATGATCTGCACCGTCGGCAAGCAGCGCAAAGGCCAGCGGTTCGACCGGAATTCGATCTCTTTTCCCTCACACCACACAAGACAAACCTCTCCCGTCTTTCAGGGCTTGTGGTTTTGGGTATCCTCCTTCTTACCGGCGTCTCTGTCGCCTGGCTGCGCTCATAGAGCGCAATATCGTCGAGGGGCGGATGCCGCTCGACCTTCTCCTGCAACTCTGCTGGCCACTCAAAATGCGTCACCTGCTGTTGGTCTGATAGCCAGGGGATCTCGAGGAGGTCATCCACCAGGCAGTGCAGAACGGGAAGAAGATGAGAAAAGGCCAGGCAGATATAAAATGTAGACGGCGATGAGGGCTGCAAGGCCAACTTGTTGAACCGACTGCGCACACATACAGATACACACACACACCACAGTGTTAAGCTGTGCCATTGATGCGCCCCAACCACCCCTCCCTCTGTGGTCGCTTACGTGTTGGCCTGCTTGATGACTCCCCGGCCCATTCATTCACGCAGTCATGGTTGTGTCCTCTCTTGGTGTGCACCTGGCTGGTCTGCTGGCCTTGCCCATTTCGAGGAGGGAGCACCACACGGCAGGGCCGACATTCAGTGCGCAACGACACACACACATCACTCAGTGGGGAGAGGGGGGGAAGCCCTCAGCCCCGCCCATCCCCACAACGATCTCTGGCTCGTGCAGTGGAGTGGAGGCAGCAGCAGCAGGTGGTGAAGGCGGTCGTGATGCTAGTGTACAACTTGGCGAGCCAGCTGGGCTTCGGAGGCTGCAGGGACACAACAGAGAGAGACATGTGATATGACACGATGCGCCAGCAAGCACAGGCAGCTCGCCAGAGGCCCAGTGTGTGTTTGTGTGTATACTGTGTCTGTTTGTGTGGATTTGTGCCGCAGGTTGGCAAGTTTCTCCAAGCCCTTCTGCCACGCTTCAGCCACCTCCCGCCTAAAGTGGGAGACAGGTGGGGTGTGGTGAAGTAGAGAGGGGAGGGCTTTGGTGTGCATGATGTTCCACCCACGGCTTGTCAGTGTACCTCCTTCTCTCATCAATGTAGTCGCGGTCGAACTTCTGCTCACACCGACAGACAGACAGACAGACAGACAGAGATGGCTGATTTATGCGATCTGCTCGCTCAGTGGCGCCTACCCGGTGCGCTGGCTCCGGCCGAGGCACCGTAGTCGTCACAACATACGCAGGGGCCTGTGACGACAAGAAGTTCGCGTCGATGGTTGCCCAGAAGTGGTCGTGTCCCCCTCTCTCTGATGCTCACGGCCTTGGGTTTGGGCTGCGCAGCTGGCGCCAGGTCTTCCGTCTCTGCCCCCGGTGGCAGCACCTTGATGGCAGCGGCGGCGGGACCATCCATGCAACGCACCGCCTGCACAGCACACGCAATGCAGACGAAGGCATGTAGAACTCAGCTGTCATTGGCTTACTGGCCCGACAAAACGCACCTGGGGGAGACGCGGCCTGCACACACAGCACAGCAAATAGGTGGATGAGCCCATCCTTCGTCAAAGCCATGCCGTGTTGGCTCTTACCACTGCTTTTAGCTGCGGCACCTTGGGGTTCGGCCGGCAGCCGCCTGTTGAAGTCAATCTGCCTCCGCGAAGAGCGGGGCGATGTGGGCGGCGAGAGTTCGCGATGTCCCAGTTCCATTTCCAAGGGGCGGGACTCCTGCTCGCACAATAAACAGGACAGGCAGAATCCGATGCACACTGACTGCTTGCCCAGCTGCCCGTCTCCCGCTCGCCATTTTCGAGTCTCACGTGTCCTTTCCGCGAAGCGCGGGGCCCTGACCGTGGTCGTCTTGCATCATCTTTCGCAGCTGGGAGGCACTGGTGCAAACACCGTAGATATCGCAGCAGAAGAAGCAGACGTGGGCTGAGACTGCCGGGCTCTGCTCACACAGCAAACACAAAATAGGCAGTAAGGTAGACACACGACTGGCTGCGTGGTTGTCTTCCTCTCGTCCTTTGCGAGTCTCACGTAGATGGAGTAAGCCTCCTGCATCATGTGCACGTCGCGGGGTGGGAAAGATGCAAGCAGATATAAAATGTAGACACCGATGCGGGCCACCTGGCTGAGCAAGGCCAAGCTTGGCTCGCCACGTGGCCTCTCCATCATCCTTGGTCTCGCCGTCTGACTCGTCGCTGTCGATGAAGACGGAGAATTGGTTGCCCGCCAGTTTCTTCTTGCCCTTGGTGGGTGAGGCCGCGTAGGGGGAGCGAATTGGGGGCCACCCAGCCGTCAGCGTTCGCAGCACGCTCGCGCCGGGCCATCTGCACACGCGCACCAGCAGGCCAGACACACAGACAATTAGTCAGGCGTCCATGTGGTCGTGTGTGTGTGTCCATGCCTACCAGATTGACACAGGCTCCGCTGCGGATGGTATCCTCCTTGAGGAAGGGCAGCGGTATCAGCACAGGCATGTGGATCCGGATCTCCCACTTGGTGATAGCTTCAAAGGAGGGAAGGTGGCCCTTTATGAAGGGAATCTTGGGGCCCTTGAAGTCCGACGGCAGCTTTGCCCACCTGACGTAGTCCTCTGCCTGCGACTTGCCACTCTCCCACGTGCCGTGGCAGCTCTCTGAACGAAACAGGGAGGTGAAGTTGCGCGATTCTCTGCACACACGCACACACATGAAGAGGCAGATGACAGCCGGTAAAGCAGACCGAACAGTGCTACCTTGGCACTTCCCGAAGGTAGGTGGTGAGCTCATCCATCGCGGCCTGCATCCCCTGCCCACCGACGGATGCACTGGCACGCACACAACCTGACAGCATGGTGAGGGAGCATGGCCACAGAGGCAAACAGACATATGATGACGGCATCAGAAGCTGACCTCAGCTATCTCTGGCGTGAGGAGAGGGCCTCTTGTCACGGCAATACGATAGCAGAAATTGTCACCATTCCGCCCACTGCGGGCAGCAACAGCAAAACAAGGCCGTCATGGCCTCCCACACGGTGGGCTTATTCTTTGCCTGTGGCACACATGAGACACATCCAGTGGTGGGTCAATAGTCGCAGCTTTGCTTTCCCTACCGCCGCGTCGGCTCTGGCCTCGGCCTTTCTGGCCTTTTACTTTGCTGCCGCCAAGGCTCGCCTACACAAACGTACACACAGCAAGGTACGGCACTCCTGTCTCTTCTCAATCTGTCTGTCTGTCCCCCACTCACTTCTTCGCCCAATATTGGCCTTCAACGGCGTCCAGTGTGGCATCCTTGCCGGCAATGACGCCGTCCTTCTGGGCAATGGTCGCCTTGAGGTCAGCAATGGTGTCTTCCAGGGCCTGCATGGCAACCGAGAGAAGCCAACGAATGCATGGCATCTTGCCTTGGTTGCTGAGGTGTGGGTCAGTCACCTTGATTTCGGCCTCCTTCCTCGCGAGATAACTGGGGGGCTTCTCCACCCTCTCCCCGTTCCAGCCCTCCGCCTGCATTGCAACGAGGCAGACAAACGACAAAAGGCACTTACTCAGTCTCCGTGAGCTGGAGGGAAGGTGGTCGTGTCTGATTATGTGTCTAATTCGGGCCTTCCTTACCCCAAACTCCGTACAAATGAGGTACTGCCTGCAGCATACCAGCAGCGCAGCACACAGGAAGGAGGCCAGTCGCGAGTCTCCACCACTGTCTGTACGTGTGCAGACAGTCACTCCGAAGCCGCTCACCCGTCAATGAAGTCCGGGGGCAGAACGTAGTGGCGGTCTTCAAGTGCCATCTCGTCACACCACAATGGACACGCAGCAGGGCAGGGGCGCTCAGTGTGTGTCCGCTGCGCAAACGAGGATTCATCAAGAGGACAGCAAAAAGTGTTTGTCCGTCTCCGTTCTCGACGGCACTTGGAATTCTAGAAGGTCGCTTGTTCGCCCAGTATTGGCCTTCTACGGCGTTAATGTGGCGTCTTTCCGAGCGATGACGCCGTTCTGGCGGGCAGTGGTGGCGTTGAGCTCCGCAATGTGTCCTCGAGGGCCTGCAGGGGCAGCAGGGTAATGAGGAAAGCCAATATCTTGCCACGACTGCTGGAATATCACTCAGTCACCTTCGTCTCGGCCTCCTTTCTTGCCAGGTACCTCAGTGGCTCCTCCACCGTCTGCCCGTTCCACCCTGCCCACATGACAACAGACCAGAGATAAGAACTTCTTTCTCCACCGTCTCCATCCATAACACTTACCCATCGGGATGAAGGCATGAGCAGAACACGTCGCGAACAATGGGCACACACTGGCAGAGGGCACCGGCGAGTGCACCCCACGCGTGGGCGTTTCTGGGGCCCGGCCAAGGTCGTCCTCACCGGCCAGACTGTGTTGGGTGAAGAGGCGCTGTGTTGGGTGATAATATGATGTGTAATTGGTCTGACGATGTCGAAAGGCAATTGCGGCTTGATGCGGCGAATTACAAAAGAAAGAGGAAACCGAAAAAGGCTCCGCGTCTCCAGCCTCCGTTCTCGACAGGATTTACTGGAGAGATTGCTCTGTGTCTTGCCTCCTCTTGCCCTCTCCCCGTTCCGTCCCTCCTCCTGCACCTGCCTGCATCACAAGAAGCCAAAGAGCAGAAGACGAGAGCACTCACGCAGTTGGCGTGAGGTGGAAGGAAGGCATCTGTCGCCAGTTTCCGTACCGCGATACAGCTTCCTCACCGCGAATCCCGTACACATGAGGTGGCTCATCAATGAAGTCCTGATGCAGGACTCGTCAGAAAGCAATGGGCACACAGAAGGGCAGCGGTGGACGAGTGCGGGCGCTTGGGGAGCCGGCCAAGGTCGTCAGTGCCGGCCAAGACTGCTGCCGTCGGCCAGGCTGAGCGATGCCGTGTTCGGGTGATGAGACTAATAGCCACTGGTGGTCAGCAGGCCAGAGAGATGACCAGACGCTGTAGAATGGCGATCGTCGGCGAGTTGCGGCTTGACGCGAAAACAAACAGAAAAAAAGCCGTCTCCGTCTCCGAATCTCGCCGGGATTCATTTGGTTCTAACAGCCGCTGCGTGCAATGGGGTGTGACACGTACATCGATGTATTGAGGAGAAAAATCCCTTGCAACACCGAGAAACAGTCAATAAAGCGATCATGAATCAATAAAGCCACAGAGAAAGTTCTCCCCTATACACACATGCCCGCCCATAGAATGAATGCAACCAAGTGCGACCACCACTGTGTGTGCGTCGCTCACGCGCCCGTTCGCACCTGAGCACGCCATGCATACCCACATCGTCTGTCTGTCTGTCTCTCTGCGACAACAAATACAATGTGCATCCTTCATCATCCATTCATCGCTCCACAAACTTAGTGCCTCCCTGTCTGTCTGTCCATGCACTAGTGATAAAGAGACACGTACATGCACCATGCACCCACACAGGCCAGGCGCAGGCATGCCTCACCTGTGCCACCGGTGGCAGCACGTCTAGATATCAGCCATCCATCCATCCATCCATCCACAAACCCATAAAGCGCACCAAATCAGCACGGTAGGTTGATAGATGTCAAAAAACGACTTGCTGCCACCCACACGCACCTGAACAAAACGGTGACCGACCTCCCCACCCACGCTGCCACTCAATCACACGCACCGAGGGAATACGCCATCGTGTGCTGCGTGTACCAATTCACCCATCCGCCATGGCTCCATCCATCCGCCATCCAAATGACAGTCACCAGAATAGTGGCCATTTCCTCCGTGGCGACAGGTTGTTGATGAGCAGGCCGACGACGCCCAGCACCACCCAGCCGATGAAGAAGGAGAACAACCACATCGACAGCTCCACCTTGGGCGTCGCCGCCACAAAAGCCACGGCCGCACTCGCCGCTGGCGGACAGGTGATGCCTGTAGGTGAAAAGCATACCCGGGTTGGCGTGTCTGTGTCCGTGTCTTCTGTGAGTACCGAAGAAGGCCATTCCTGCGATGATGATAGTCATGGTGAGGCTCACGCCCAGCCAGTAGGGCAAGAAGGCTGGCAAGACAAACGTGTCACCTGATTCGATTTCACGTGCGCATCAAAACACCCACACACATGACATGAGTGGTGGACAAACCGACATACGACCTCACGAGCTGAGCGTGTCTGTCAGTGTGCGCACCTTCGTCACCGGTAAGCAGCACTTCCAGCGGTTCGTCGCGATGCGGCCCGATGCCGTGGGTGAAGAAGGCAAACACCGACGCAACCGTCAAGGCATACCTGCACACACACACACACACACATATTTCTGTCTGTCTGTGTGTCTGTCTGTGTTGAGGACACCCAAACACTTACAGTGTTGAAAGCAGCAGGATCCGTGGCTGGCCAAATGGAGACGACGGCGCCGTGAAATACATGGTCGCCTGCGAGCCCGCATCAGCAGACAGGTACACACATCCACCTGTGTCCCTCCCTCGCAGCCTGTGTCAGTCTCACCATGGCTCCAAACGGCCCAATCAGGTGGAAGGAGCTCTCGTCGATGAACGCCCCCTTGATGACGGCCGTCAGCAGGCTGAACGTGACGAAGACCTCCAGTGCAGCCAGCAGGCAGTGCCCCCCATCCAGCGGCCTCGCCCGCTGCCCCTTGCCGCCCCGCCATTTCTTGATGTATCGCCGGCAGTAGGCCCGCGGGTGTGCCGACAGCTTCCTGTACCGCTCCCTGATGTAGTCCGCCCAGCTCAGCTGCTGGGTCCGCGCCTCCCAGCTGAGCAGCCGCTGTGCCGACTTCGCTGACTCATCCAGCGTGGGTTTTCTGGTCGGGGGGACAGTAGATGTGGAGGGTGCGGGCGCGGGCAGGGCGGTGGGGTGCTGCGCCTCCTGCTCCCGCAGCTCTTGCAGCCTCCTCGTGTGCCAGACGATGTGGTGCAGCTTCCGCCACCCATAAGACACCACTGCCGCCCGATGCCGCCTCAGTGCCGTCCTGGCAGCGCACATCCGCAGCTCCCACTGGAGGGCTCGCAGGGCGGTGTCGAGGTAGGCCTCGACCATGGGGCTCTTGACGCCCACTTTGTCCTCGTCGACGCGCCACTCCTTGCGGGTGTAGAAGACGAACACGGCCACGAGGGCCCGCTTGTCCTCAAACACGGGGAGGCTGTCGTAGTGGAAGTGGCTGGCCATCAGCAGCGGGCTGTTTGCCGCCATCTCCCGCTCCAGCTGCTCCATCCCCGAGATGCGCGGACCACTGGTGTTGTTGTTTGACCCCGCCGTAACGCCCAGCCGCCTGCGCATCGAGAAGATGGGGACGGCCAGGCTTGTGTGGAAGAGCTCGCCCGCGAGAGTGTCCATGGGCGTGGAGGGGTTCTCGGGGTCATCGAACAGCCTGTCGAGTATGCACCACTCCCTGGTGCCCTGCTGCCATGCCCGGCCGGCGGGGCCCTGGCCAACGGTGAGGGTGACGTCTTTGTCCTGCGGCATTGACGCGAAGGCCTGGAGCTTCTCTGGGTCGTCCCCAGCGCCGCTGTTGTGCCGGATGACCACACTGTTGGGTGCCTGCCGCAACGCACCGGGCTGCTCATGATCGGGCTGCCACATCTCGCCGTAGATAAAGCCGCAGTCGTGCAGGATATTCTCAAGCTGCACCTGCAGGCACCGTTGAACCTGATCACACACACACACACACAGGCACGAACACAAGTATAGTGTCTGAGTGGTGAGACCACCCCAGCGCGTCTACCTGTGTCACGTCATCTTTGCCGACCGCCTCATTGGACGCGCAGCCGAGAGAGGGGTGTGAGGGCAGCCTTGGGCTGGAGGGCGGATCACGCGGCGAGTCGACTTCGTTGACTGTGAGCACAAAGGGCTGAGATGGCGGTGGCGGGATGTCGGGGTCAGACAGCAGGGGCGTCGTGATGCTGCCACTGGACAAGGTCGACGCGCTGCCTGTGGAGAAGGCCACTGACGCAAATTCCGTCGTTCGGCTTCTGAGCATGAGGACTGTGTGACAAAATGGGCGGATCTGAGCATTCAGTGATCCGTCCCACGCCCTCGGTGACCTGCGTCTGCCGTTGAAACACCTGAAGTGCGTCACATTCGTTTTGACGCCGATCCGAGCTCGGGCAAGGCGCGAAACGCTGCTGCCCCTCAAGCTCGCATTTCGAGAGGAAGAAAAGTAGAGAAGGGAGGGCGTCATAGGGGTGCCTGAGGCCGCCAGGCCATGGATCCAGCTGAAAACCCCGCAGGTAGCGAAGTACAAAGCGCCTTTCGACAATTTGCCGCGTTTGACCGCTGCGTGCTCTTTGTTGCTCAGGAGCCGGGCAGGGTGGCGGCCCGTCGCTGCTCGAGCGCCTGCGAGAGACGCTCGCCAAGATCCACTCGGTGAGACCAAGTATTTCATTTCAGGCAAGGCGAATGCATGTCTGTGCCGTCAGGTTGCGTCATGTGTAGAGGAGGCCGAGAAGGTCATCACAGATACCATTAATGCAGGTGTCAGGCAGAGAAAACACCGGGCACGTCATGCCATTGTGTATGCGTGTGAGCATGTGTGTGTGTGTGTATGCAGGAGTGTGTGTTGCCGGCCGGCCGTCTGTCGGCTCTCCAGACCACTGTGAGCGATGCCCAGACGTCACTCAATGACGCTGCGGCTCAGCTGTCCACTCTATCGCCCCCACACACAGACGCCGACACACACGTATGGGCGGCCCCCGGCACTTGCACACGGATGTTGGTGACTGACTTCCATTGCTGTGTGTTTGTGCTCATTCAGCGATTTGATGGTGACGGCAAGTTGTTTCGGTGCATTCATCGGGCCAGCAGGTCGGTCAGTTCGAATGAGACCGCAAAGGCGGCACAGCAAACAAGGGCAGTAAGTGCATCCCTCCTTTGCCAATCACCACACAAGGGGGCTCGCTCACACAAGGATGTCCTTTCTGTTGATGTGACGGATGTGTCTCAGGTGTCCACAGGCGATGGGAAACGTGCACGTGTGACCACAGGCCCTCCGGCTGCTGCTGCTGCTGCTGCCGCTGGTGCTGCTGCTGGAGGTCCGCACATACAGCAACGCACCCACACGCTCACACAGATCGACCATCGTATTCTGTGTCGTCTTCAGGTGGCTCGGCTGGTGTAGCCGGTGCTGTGGCAGAGGAAGTGGAGAAGAAGACCACCACTATCGCTAAGGTAGACGACCTCCCCCAGACGCCACACACGCACGCACCTGTCGGTCACCGTGCCCATTCTCCTGCTGTATGTCAAAAGTACGGCCGCCCGTGTCTGCCGGGTCTGCCTGAGGCCGTCATGGGCTACATGGGCTCCTTCGTCACCACCAAGACGGCAATTCGGCTGTCCAAGGTCAACAAGGAGACCCACCAGAAGGCCACCGACGAGACATTCGGGGTATTCCGCTTCTTCTCTGTCGACACACATGAGAGCCACGCATACGCCAAGATCAAGAAACTCCAAGATGTCAAACGTCTGGTGAGGGAAGGGCAGCAAAGGGAATGCACTCACACCCTTCTCTCTGTATGGTGCAGGGGAAGATCCACACAGCGCGCGTTGATCTGCACGCACCGAGTGTGTTGCCCTGTGTGGCACAGTGCCTTGAGGCGTCCAGGGCGACTCTGACGGAGCTCCGCTGCTTCTACGTGTCGTCCTCCTTCAACTCGCCGACCCCTGCCGCCCCTGGCGCCCCGGGCATGTGCATTGACTTCCCGAAGCTGACGCACATAGAGGCCTTGTCAGTGGAGTGGCTCAAATACTTCAGGTACGTATACCCGAACCGAGAAGGGCATGTGGGTATCCATCCGTTGACGCCGTTTCTCTGTCGCAGCACGCGGCGGTGGCGGTTTCCCGCCCTGACGACCCTGGAAATCGGCCATGAAGGCCATCAGGCGCCCAATTCCGTCGTGCAGCTGCTCAAGGCTTCGCCCAACATTCGACATCTCTCTTTGAGCCGGGCCAACCTGCACGAGGACAGCACATGGGCCGGCTTCATCGCGGCCCTCAAGAACTGCCCTCACATCACCACCATCACCGGCCTGGAGCTGGAAATCGACAGCACCGACCGCGTCAGCCAGCTGATGGATGCTCTGAGCCACTGGAAGAAGCCGGAGAACAAAGGTGAGGTTGTCTCCACGCCGACGGCCTGATGCGGCATCATGCTGGTCCTGTCCTGTCATGTGCTGCATGGTCTCAGATGTGCGTAAGCAGCTGGTTCTCTGCTCGCGAGACCCGCTCATCAACTGGGAGTACGGCCAGGAGGGGCCGGCCCCAGCCGACATCAACAAGTGGGCGGCCGAGGTCGGCTGCGACATCTGCTGGTCTGCCTACTCGGTGACGGTCGACTGCAGCTTCACCCCCGAGACTGCCCACCCCGCACCCGACAACGTCATTGGCCAGGTCACAAAGGAGCTGGCAGAAGGGGCGCAGGTGGTGAGGGAGGGAGGGAGGGAGGGAGGGAGGGAGGACAGGTGTGAGGCCGCTCCATCAGACAAGGAATCCGCCCTTCTCTGTCTGTCTGAGTGCTTTGTGTTTCAGGTTGAGGTGAATCTCGGCGGCACACCTCTGCACGAGAGTTGGCGTGACAAGCTCGTCTTCCCGAACGCCGAGTCGCTCAGGATACGCGCTGAGCAACCAGCAGTGCTGGATAGCATCCCAGGCTGGCTCGTCGACGACGAGGGGGCAGTGAGCCGGCGCTTCCCGGCAGTCGAGAGTCTGGATGTTTCTCTGGATTCCCCCACCTTCGCTGACATGCCTGCTGCCCCCAGCAAGCTCAGCGTGCTGTTCGGGGGCCTGACCTCAGTCAGAGAGCTCAGTTTCAGAAGTTTGCATAGCCTAGCTGTCGCCTGCGAGGTCCTGTCCTATCTCTCTGTCAAACAGCTAGAGCGTGTCAGTTTTGACGAGCAAGCTGAGATGGAATCCACCGAGTGGCCTGCTGCTGTGCCTGAGCAGTGGGCCCTCAGCTGCCCCCACATAGACAGCCTGTGGGTAGGCCGACTAGCCAGCAAGGTAGCCGTGCGGTCGTTCATCAAGCTGATTTTGACCCTGCGGCCAGCACAGGCAAAGCTCTATGCGTGTCTGCCTTCTGACGAGTTGGAGGGCCCTGACGGGCTCACAGCCATCCGCGCCTTCGCGTGGGAGTGCTATGAGCAAGTGCAGGCACACTACTCGATGAAAGAAGACAGTCGACGTGCCGGTTACTGGTACGGAGCATCCAACAGGGCTGAGATGCAGTGTTGGGGCACCGACGGCCATCTCGACCTGAATCTGGTGCGTATGTCCTAGTGAAGTAGCAACTTGAAGCAATAGTGACTAGCTATGGCCAGCTCTTCGCTGATTACGCTTCTTTGGCTCCATTCGTATTCGTGTTGCTCAAGTCGATGTGCATACGTGTATTGGATGGATGGGGATCGTCGGGCTATGTCTGCCTTTCACGCAGAAACGTGTACCTGCGCAAACTCTGTCCACTTGTGTGTCCGTCGCCACAGGGACAATGAACGAGCCAAACGAAAACACACTAAATGGCCAACCACGCGGCCGCCTTTCCCCGCAGCTGTACATTCCATGCACCATGGCCGATGCTGACAGGCTCATGTTCAGTCAGTCTCTCTCATAGAGACAGAGTCACTGTTGGCTGGCGGACTGCCGGACGGCATTGTCTTGCCGGTGCAGCCGCGACATGTTACAGAACTTGGAGCCTATCAAAGGAGGCCTCAGCTGATGACCACACGCAGCGGCAGACACACACACAACATACTGATCTCTGGTCTCTCTGTGTGTGCCTGACTGTACCTGAGGGAGCCGCGGATTGCCCAGCCTTGTGAGCTCCTCAGGCCTGCACACACACACACACACAGGCAGGCAGACAGACAGACCGACATGCAGAAGGCACTCCAAGACAGCGAACACTCAGTGCGACCATACCGTTTCGACTTGATGCCCACGTAAGGCGTCCTCACCATCCACCGGTGCAGACACCACCGAATGCGCGGCTTCGGCCGATGGATGCGCAAACTGCACCGTGGCAACCACACACAGAACCGACAGAGCAAAGATTCGCATGCGTGTGCGTGGCTGTCGCGCGCTGTGCGTCTGCCTGGTCACTCACCTTTTGCAGAATGTGCCTCTGTAGTTGGGATGAGGGCCGAGAAGCGCCAAACTCAGCCGCATCGGGAGGAAGCACAAATATCAGCACAGATCTCTCACAGACCTCGGCCTCTGGCTCCTCCGGCAGAGCCTGCTGCTGCAGGAGGGAGGATCGCTTTTGCGAGCTGAAAAAGGGCGAGCTTGAAAGAAGGCAGCTACGCGTTGATCCCCTTCCGATGGCCGATGCACAAGAGACACGTCGCGCGTTTCACGTGCAGCGTAGGAACCGGCAAGACGTGGTGGTGGACGACCTGGGCAGAGAGATCATTCCTTTCCAGAGCGGCATCTCCACATCGGACCTGAAGCGTCTCATCAAAGACCGCTTTACCCGCTCCCTTGCTGATGTGAAAATTGCTTCTCTGCGCTTCGACCCTGACATCGGCCTTCAGTGGCATGTGACTGACGAGACCTTTCCCGACCATGGAAGGGAGGGCCAGCAGCCTATCGTCGTCTGGGCTGTGGATCCGTCAAAGGGAGAATGCTCCTTTATCGCAGCGGCTACACAACACTACACAACCATGAGGTGAGGCAGGCGATCCGATACATGTGCATCCCATCAATCTGCTGCTTCTGCGTGTGTATGTTTATGTATGTGCGCCTTCAGGACAGCAACCACTGCGGCAGTTGAGGGCTTCTCTGCGTCCTGGCGTTCGTTGCGTGGGTTATTCTCGGGGTCTTCAAGCAGCACTCCTTCGCAGGCTACATCCTCTCCCTCATTCCATCCACCCTCGCAGGGGCCCTCTCGATCGGCGCCTTCAAGAGGCACTTCGTCCAGCGGTGCTGCAGCGAGCAGCCTTGATTGTTCTGAGAAGAGTACCAGGGTGCCATTGCTCGCGGACGTGCATTGACATGCTCGTGACACATGGAGATGATCAACGAAGGTTTGTTTTGTAGTGGTGTCCTTGGGCGGAGGGAGAAAGGGACGATAGGGTGTGTATGACGATGCGTGTACAGTACGTTTTGGGGGCAATCGGTGGAGGCATGGTGACTGGTGACGTAGCCGCATGTGGATTGGGTTTATCGTTTGTGTTGATCTGAATGTTCTGTGGCTTCGTGTGTGGTATAGACGACTGCTCTGTCTCTCCTGCCAATCAATGTGTCATTTTTCTGCAGCACAGACGCATGCGCGCAGCTCAGAGACGCAGAAGAATGTCTACGAATGTGCCTCTGCAGTTGGGATGAGGGCCGAGAAGCGCCAAACTCAGACGCCTCTGTGATAAGATGAAAGCAGCAACATAAATCTCAGCTCGGATCTCTCACAGCAGTCAACCCTGGCTCTGACCTCACACAGACCCTTTCTTGCGTATCCCTTCGGGGGGCCGGGGGGCAACTTTCAAGGTCCCCGTGAGGTTAACGAACGAACGAAGGACCCCCCGATCCCTTTTGCGAGCTGGAAAAAGGTAAGAGGAAACAGCGAAAAACAGTTTTGAAGGGCGAGGGAACATTGAAATAGCGAAGAGAAGCTTCTCATCACTTCCCAGCCACAGGGATGCAAGATCTGGCGCAGCGGCTCGGCAACCGCGGTGCGGCTTTCTTGGGTGAGAAGCTCGATTTCGTCAAGAAGCAGATAGCCAAGATCCAGAAGCCCGGAGAGGGCGAACTGGGAGCAGACGGCTTCGAGGGCTCTTTTGGCTCGTCGGGCGGCGAGGACTCGCCCACCGCGCCCATCATGATCACATATCTCCTGCAAAACGTTGATGGCGAGGACGAGGAGAACGTCTTCTGTGTGCCGGACGCTTCGTCGGCCTCGCGAGTGACGCTCGACAAGATCAGGCGGCGGTTCCCCGTGCCGGGCCACTTCTGGTTTCGATTCAAGACGGCATACGTGGCGGATGGCGGTGGCGACGGCGACTATCTGTGGCTGGATCCTATCTACCCAAGCGAGCCGGTGCCCACCTACAAGGGCCAGATAGTCATGAAGGTCCTCTCTGTCCCGGCAGACGTCCTCCCTCCCCCACCACCACCCGCACCCACACCCATTTCAACCCACCCACACCATCTGGCATCAGCAGAAGGGTCACCACCAGCAGTGGTCAGACGCCGGGCGCACACACCCGGCCCATCGCGGGACGGCGCTGCGACATCTCCCCGGCGGACGCTGTCGAGCAACGAACAGGCGAGGGAGTCTGTGAGCGAGACGCCCGGCGTCATCATGGGAGGGGGCGGGGAGCGCATGAGGCACCACGGTGTGCGTGGGGGCGGCAGCGAGAATCTGTCGGCGGGAGGGGCCAAGTCGCACCCGGCGAGCCCATTGCAGCCGTCAATCAGCCCCTCGATGGAGCACGACGACCTCCTTGACTTCGGCGCCGGTCAGTGAGCCGGGATCTGCATGGCTGCATCGTTTATCTGCACACACTGATTGTGTGTGCAGGTGAGAGGGATGACGATAATCTGCCTGCGAGTGCGGCTGGTGGTGTGCCAGTGCAGCAGCTCGACCGTGACGAGCTGGTTCGGAAGAGGCTCGAGGCCAAGCACCAGAGAGTCGCTGAGGTCTACACCGAACACAATGGTGAGCGTGAGCGGGCTCATCTGCTGTGTGTGTGTGTGTCGACACGTCCACTTGACATGAGTGGTGTCATTGATGCTCAGAGCGTCGGCAAAAGGAGGCCACCAAGTTGCAGGAGAAGATCGAAGCTGGATGTGAGTGTACCATGCACCGCACTCAACCACACTGACACACACACTGATGTGCTGCGCATGCGCGTGGCTGTGCGGCTGTCTGGGTGGCTGCCTGCGATGCTTGTTTGTGATGTGAATGTGAGCAGCTGAGCTGTCGGGTCAGATGGACAAGTGGGCCAAGACATCCGACGGCTCTTACAAGGACATACGCAGCCTCCTCAGCACACTCCAAGACGTAAGCAATCACGCCAACAGACCAGACAGAGACAGCCGCACACACACACCTTGTGCCGTGCAGACAGACCTTCATGTGTGCTGTGCGTTGGGTTCGATGGATGTGTGTGCAGGTGTTGTGGGAGGGCCACGACTGGAAGCCCATCTCGCTGTCGACTCTCATGATGAGCTCAGCCGAAGTCAAAAAGGCCTACAGGTTAGTGACGAACCGCACACAGCACAGCACAGCACAGCACAGCACAGCGCAGCGCAGCGCAGCACAGCACAGCCCCGTGTGAATGCGTAGCCTGTGTGTGTGTTGGGCCACATCAGGCTGGCGTTGATATTGGCTCATCCAGACAGACACCAGCACGCATCGGCCGACCAGCAGGTGCTCACACTCGCCCACACCGGCAGTGACACACACACGCCCGGACACGCACTTGTTTGTGTTGGTGTGTTTGATGGATGGATCAGTATCGCGCTGAGAGGGTCTTCCAGGCCATCAACGCGGCGTGGAAGAACAAACAAAACTGACTGACAACGAAGGTAGCGTCGGCACACACACCGTGTGCATCAGACAGGCCATCCACAGCACAATGGCTGCCTGCCAGTGATGAGAACACACCTTTGTTGTTGACTGAGTTGACACAGTGAGGTCAATCAACACTCCTTATCTATCTTAGCTGAGCGGCCAGCCAGCCCGAACGACAGACAGACAGACTGTCGCATGATAGCATGAGGGCGCGATGATGAAGGTTTGTGTGCATTGGCACCTCTATCTATCTGCTGCTGTCGTTTGTGTGTGCGTCAAGGCGTCGCCCGGTGCTGTCCATCCGGCCATCGCACGTCTGGGTGCATCTGCGTGTTCCTGCATGACATTGTGTACCGGACAGCGCGACAATCGACATCGGTGTGTTCTGACGCAATGTGTCTTGCATGTTCCCTCACACCAGCCAGCGCCGCGCCGAGATCGCTTCAGCCTTTCTTTCCAGTTGTGAAATGCGCAGATCCGCTGGCTTTTCCACAAGTCAGTCACCTCCGATTGGCATGCTTGGCAATGCACAAGATTTCAGTTCATTCATCACCTTGGGCCTGTCGCAACACACGAACTGCCGAGCTTGACCGTGGATCTATGGACGTACCATCTCTAGGCATCTCTACGCTATGGGCTGCAATCGTCGAGCGCCAGCATTGAGGGTGGACAGCAGCCGGGGCAGAAGTGTGGGCAGCTTCCGCAAGGGCACCTGCAGTGCATATGGAAGTTACGGATGGGGGAGGTGAGACTTCATATGAGCCATGCAAATGTGACATACCTGCCGGCAGAGACCACCCAGGTCACGTGAGGAATCCATCTACGCTCTTCAACACCAGTGTACTATCCCGGCCAAGTGGCCTGCAGACTGGGGTCCACGAGTCTCAGCCCGCAGCCTTTTCCAGCACAGCACACCTTTCCTTCGTTGCGAGAAGAACAATCGGCTTCAGTGACACGATGTCCCACCCGCCGAAGCCCACGTAAGGCTTGAAAGACTGGAGAGGGAGACCAATTGAGGGAGACGGCTACATCGGCTGTCTGTCTGCCTGTCTGTCGTGTGTGTCTGTGAGCAGCGAGCCAGTTGCGTGGAAGTGGAACGACGGGTACGCCACCCCACGCCGCCGACGTCCCCCAGGCAGATCCGAGCGTACATCGAAGCATGCGGCCGCGTCAGCCAGAGCCTGGGGCGTCGGCGGGAGGGGCGGGCCCGAGGGGAGAGGGAGAGGGAAAGCCGTGGGACGTTCAACAGTGGCCGGCAGACGCTGACGCACGCGACTACGTTGCCTGTGAGGGAGAGAGACAGAACCTGATACAAGCCCTGGGTCCTTGCTGAGTCTCCGTGTGTGGGGTGCAGACCCTCCTTGAGGAGCCTGCCGCTGCCGCTGCTGTCGATGTTGCCGGCTGGTTGCATGTGGACGAGGAGCTGTACGAGAAACACATGGTGATCACCAAGGTAACGAGGGACTCATGTGTGGATGTGTATCACCCTGAGTCTTGCGCGTGTGCGTGTCGACTGCCCGCTGCCGCTGCTGCCGCTGTTGGTGGTGGTGAAAGTGGCTTCAAGCGGCCCTCTCCCGGCGCCAAGCCAGAGGACACCAGACAATCAGGAGGCGCCGTGGATGTGGGTATCGAGGAGAGAGACAGAGAGGGAGACATCACCATAATTAATGAGTCGCATCTCTGCCTCACTCCTGTCTCCGTCCCTGTTCCCTGCCCGACCAGAAATTGGAGCAGCACCTCGCCGCTAAGTACACTGGCGCACATCCATGAGAGGTCATGTACACAAAGCTGCATATTTCCTCTGCCCACCATCAGAAAGAAGCAGGCCGAGACCAAGGAGAAGAACCACAAGGCCACCCAGACCAAGAAGGTAGGCACATGCATAATCTTGACTAGCCCCTCCCCCACACCTTGAACCCCTGGCGAGCTGCCTGTGGTCACTTGCACCTGGTGTTTGCTGTCATTGCCTTGTAGGTGCTGCAGCAACCTACTCTCAACAAGGCCAGCCAGACCAACACGGTGAGTACTTCCACATACAAATCTCTGCCGCGGTGCCTGAATGGCTTGACTGTCGGTCTGCGTGGTGTTTCTTGTTGTGCGCTTGTAACCGCCGCAGCGACCTGCCATCGACATGGCCACCCAAACCAACACGGTAAGCACCTCCGCACACAAGTCCTCCGGCGAGGTGGCTTGAATCGCCTGACTATCGTGTCTTGCCTCCCTCCCTCCCTCCCTGCCTCCCTCCTTCTCTCCCTCTGTGTGTGTGTGTGTCTGTGTGTGTCTTCCCATCATAGCAGCCGAAGCCAGGCTTTTTTGCCAGCCTGTACATGAATGTCATGAGTGCATGCTCATTGTGGTTACGGATAGCGCTCCTACTGAGGTGCTGCAAAAACTCTCCAGAAAGCCCAGTAGGAGCGACTTATCGCTGCATCATCACGTGGAAAGAACCGATGTGTGCTCGCTGGCGGCACTCGATTCACGCAGACTGGAGTGGAGGGGAGAAACGAACCGGAAAAGCAAACTAAAAGCCGCAGCGAAAAAAGTAGGGCTTTTGGGGTTTCGTCTCAATTCTCGAAGCGGGAGGAAAGACAAGAATGACGGGAATGAAGCGGCGTGTGTTTCCTAGCATTGATCTCACACAAGATGCGTCTGCTGAAGACCCGCTTGATCTCACCCAGCAGGACGATGCGGCCGATGCGGCTGACCAAGCAGAGCCCGCTCCCAAGAAGGCGAGGGTGAGTAACGCTGCGTGGCTGTGGCGGTGCCAGCCCTTCTACCTCAACGCGATAGTCGATTACGGGCGCGATAGCGAGGGCAACGAGAGCTGTTTGAGCATTCGGGACATCGTCGATGGGCCTGTGCAGGAGGTGAGTGGTGTCAAATGAGCCTTTGGGCGTTGGTGCAATGGGCTGCTTGACGTGTTTGTTGTCTTTTGCAGATGCTGCTTGCCGGCATGAGGTTTGACTTGGTCGGTGAGATGAGGAGAGGAGAGGAGAGGAGAGGAGAGCAGTCTGTACTACACAGAACACACACATACATTGGCTCTTGCCGTCTTGATGTGTCAGCCGTGGCTGGTGGCCGAGTGTCCAGTGATGAAGACAATGAAGCGCATCACCATACTCATCGGCGACCCACTCAACAAACCCGAAAAGAAAGGTGCTTGGCTGACCAAGTGAGGCAAAGATGATCCATTTCTGTGTGTGGCTCCGTGTGTGTGTTGTGTGTGTGCAGTGGCCAGGGTGAAGGCCCTTCGGCAGGCTGCTGGTGATCTTGAATTGCATGGGCCGACGGTGACGGTGGATCTTGCCCCCCTGGGTGACGCCTTCGCCACGTTCCACCCCAAGCTGTTTTTGCTGACGTACGCTGACCGCATCCGTGTGTGCATCTCGTCTGCCAACTTCACATACGGCGGCTGGTACGTGGATGGGTCAGAAAGGGGGTGGGCAGACGCACAGGGCGTATGCAGCGTCGGCTTATTGAGCAGGTGGCGGAAGAACCAGGCCATCTATGTGCAGGACTTCCCCCGCAAGCAGCCCCAGCAGGGCAGTCAGCCACCAACAGACATGGAGATGGAGGGTGAGAGAGATATACCAAGCAAATGCTCCATGCTCTCTTGTGTGCGTGTTGGTGTGCTGGTGTGTGTCAGATGAGCTGGTGGCCTTTCTTCGCGCCACGACCAAGGCCGGCGACTGGTGCGACAAGATCCGCCAGTTCGACTACTCCACCGCCATTGGCAAGATAGTCGCATCAGTGCCGGTGAGCGTCAGCCAAACAGAGAGGCCGTATTCGTGGTCCATCGGCTTGTGCTCTATGATGTGAGTTACACACAGGGCACTCACGCGGGCCCGGATCTCCATTGCTGGGGCCACATGCGGATGCGCCGCCTGCTTGAGAGCCAGCCAGACCCACAGGGCCTGCAGGAGTGAGGAGACTGCATGGTGGCTGCACCACTGTGATGTCCGCTTGTGCCGAATTTTGTTTGTGTCGTTCGTCTGTCAGTCAGGCTGTGGTGTGTCAAGTGGCGTCGCTCGGCAGCCTCGATGAGGACTGGATAGAAGAGTTCATCGGTGAGCGGTGCGTTTGTGTCACGTGTATCCGTCTGACGTCTCGCTGATTGATGGATCGCAGGTAGCCTGTGTGTGAGTCCGTCCCATCCTGAGATAGCGGCAGACATCGACTGGAAGCTCATCCTGCCCACAGTAGATGAGGTATGCACACCGAAGACAGAAACGTGGGTGGACGCTCGGACAAGCGCATGACTGACTGCGTGCAGGTGCGAACTCACTGGAGGGATGGGCGGCCGGCGAGTGAGCATCCATGAGAGAAGAGCGAGAGGGCTGATAGACGCGCTACATCCCATTCTATCGGTGTCCTTTTCTTTTATTCAGGGCGATTCACGTCACGAGCAAGGAGCTGATGATTGCCGACAAGGAGGACGGCACCAAGTCGCCCATGCCACGGGGCATCCTGCAGAGGTGGGGCTATCACAAAGCCAACGGCGAGCCGGCGTGCCGCGGCGCCACCATCCCTCGCCCGCCCAACAGGACGTCGGCGTGCCCCCACCTCAAGACGTTCCTCAAGTGAGGGAGCTGCACACACACATACACAATGGCAGCCAATGGCAGCCAATGTATTTCGCTGCAGGTATGGCCGTCGGTCGGGTGACGTCAGCAAGCGCCGGGAGGTGGCGTGGATATACGTCGGCAGCCACAACATCAGCAAAGTGAGTGAGCCGAGAGAGCTGGTGCGACCATTCAGTCGCTCTGTCCATCTGTGTGTCTGGACCAGGTGGCGTGGGGCCAGCTGAGCAACCACGACTCGCAGCTATACATCCGGTCGTACGAGCTGGGCATCCTCATCTCACCACACACACTTCGCGGCCTCATCCCTCTGACCCCACCCCATACCACCCCACACACACCGCCGACCGGCTCATCGTCTTCCAGCAGCAGCAGCAGCGGCGCCGCCACGCCAATGCGGTCCTTCATGTGGCACAAGCGCGATGACGCAGGTCGGTCGACACAGACGCAGCGCGGCTATCGCGTCTTGCTTATGTGACGTGTGTGTGTCGGCCTGCCTGTGTGCACCTCAGGGCCCTCTCCCCTTCCCCGTATGTATGCGGCCACAGCACGGTGCCCGAGCGGTCCGCCTGGTGTGCCACTTGTTGGTGTGCCTCTGCCCTACCCCCTGCCACCGGTGCCCTACGGCCCATCGGATGCGGTGTGGACCAAGGACGGCACGCATACAGGGCGGGACAGCCTTGGGCGGGCGTATGATGCCGACCAGAAGAGTGTGCGGGAGGGCTTTTCGCGGGCTGACTTCTGAGTCAGGGCAGATACATTCACACATACATCCAGCAATCAGTTGTATGGGTGCGAGTGCAACTGAGTCGGTCTGTGTGGCTCTGTTCGTCTGGCTTGCAAGTTTCTCAATCCTTTTGTGTCTGGCCTCGGCAGCCTCCCGTGGTGCAGTAGAAAGGGAACGGCCTTGGTATGCATGATGCTCCACGCACGACTTGTCAGTGTACCTTCGCCGCTCATCAATGTTATCCCTGTCAAACATCTTTTCACCACCCGACGGGTGCGGCGAAAAGCTGGACAGACACTCACAAAGCCAACCAGTGGCTTTGGACAAGCAGAAAATTCCCGATGCGTGTTTGGGAATAGACAGTGCTCGTTCGTGATGAGTTGCGGTACACCACACACACACTGCAGCCAGCCATTCAACTTTAGATGTCTGTGAGTCCATTTGCGAGTCATTCTACGCGCGCAAACAAACCGACAGCCAAAAAGTCCCGGCCAGCTTCCACCACACAAGAAACCACGCACCTTAAGGTAGCCCCCCACACACACCAACCGGCCCTCCCTCCCTCCCTCCCTCTCCCTCTCACTTGATGCCGAGTGTCACCCACTGGCCCCGCTCGTCGATGCGGCCCAGCTGCTGCCACCCACCAAACTGACAGTCGTCATTGCCCAAATGGTCGTTGAAGCTCTTGTTGATGGCCCCCTCCTCTATGCCGTGTCGGGCCGCCTCGGCCAGCCGGGCCCTCTGCACCACCTCACGCACACCCACACGGCCCCGTGTGTGGACCACCTGGTGTGGGCGGCTGTCGGCCCTGATGGCGAAGCACTGCAGCGGCACCCGCACCGTCACGCCGCCCACATTGGCCGTCCCGCCCACCACCTCCCTGTTGCTGCTGGCATACAGCGCCGACTTGATGAAATGGTCGACGGCCGCACACACACGGCGGGCCATGTCGCTGTGCCGGATGACGATGTTGGCAGCGATGGCCTCATTGGCGGCGTCTTGGTCGAAGCACATGGCGGCAATCCGCCAGCCGATGGCCTCTGCCTCGTGTGGGCCGTAGCCATTGGGGGCGGGGAGGGCGGTGGGGGACGGACTGACCAGAGGTGTGCCGGGGGGCTGCAGCAGGTGGGGGATGAGAGTGGGAAGGGACCTCATCAGGAAGGCCGCCAGCGACCGCTGAGGGGCGAGGGCCGCATTGACGGCCGCCATCGCCCCGGTGTGGATGTCGTTGAGCACTGTTGTGCACTGGGGCAGCACCAGCTGGCGGCAACGGCGGTCCTGCTCAGTGGCTGTGGACATCCGGCCGATGTCGGCACCGCTTCGCAGCAAGATGCGGATGGTAGCCTCGCCAGGGGGCATCCTGCGGATGGCTCGGTCCCTGGCGTCTTGCGGCTCGGTGACGTCTTGCGATGCCTGAATCAATCCATAGAGATTGCAGGCGGCCACAACCAGCGGCGTCTCGTTGGGGTTGACCGTCGGCCCTCTGTTGATGTCCGCTGCTGGCAGGTGGCGGCCGAGGTAGTCGGTCACACACGGAGAGCCCTGAGATGCCGCCTCGTGCAGAGGGGTGAAATAGTTGCCACTCACTGCCGTCAGACTCGCCCCGTTGTTCACGAGCAGCTCGAGATACGAATCGATGAAGGCCTGCGAATAGCTTCCTCCCTCGCTGCGGGCTGCACCGTGGATCAGATTGCCGTTCAAGTATTGTTCGGTTGCGAGTGTGGCGTCATACCGAATGAGCCGCCGGTAGATCGACAGCAGCCGCTCCTCATAGGCGGGAGACACGATTCTGCCGGTAAAGTAAAGGGACCAGGGCAGCTCCATGACAGCGAGCATTCCATGACGGCGCACCGCAGCGCCGCGTGCCAATAAGACCCTCACGGCACTCTCGTTGCCGCACCAGACTGCCACCTTGATGGGCAAAGACCACTCGTCAAAGATCAGTGGCGTGTTTATGGCGGCACCTCCGTCGATGAGGGCGTTAATGATGTCCGCCTCGAGCTCACGAGACGACCAATGAGGAAAACGGACGGGCCGCGGAGGACCGCTGCTGTCTGCTTTGTGGGTCGACAGAGTGCCGTCGCTCAGATTGTCGACAGCGAGCGAAAGCAGCCGATACGGCCGTCCACGAGCGTCGCTGCCGCATACACGCAGCCGGGGAATACTGTCCGGGTCAGCACCATCCTGTATGAGTTGCGTGACCTGCTGCGGGTGAGTGAAGGTCCGATGAGCGATGCCCTCAGCCAGCCGTCGGGTCGCACCGCTGGTGCCGTTCACGTGCCCGATCTCGATGTCCTCGAGCCGCAGACAGTCATCAAGCTGCTGGCTTTGCGCACTGGAGGCCATCCCTCACGCCATCATTCTAAGCTGCATGCATTGTCACACACGAACAGCACACAGTGCCTCCCTCCTCTCTCTCTCTCTCTCTCTGTCCATCCATCCATCCATCCATTCGCACCTCATCAGTGAGTGGGCGATGCGTCGAGGCAGTCTTCCTTGCCGTCGGTGAAGGGACACGTCGCATAAGCGAGATCGCCTGCAGAGCACACAGAACAACACACACAGCGTCATCCATGCCTCTGCCCTCGTCCCTCTCTGCGTCCCTTCTCGCACCTCAATCAACTGGTCGGAATGGCGTCCCTCAGAGATGGGGATGTCGCAGATGGCTCATCTCGGCAGCACCTGGCTCATCAGGCCTCACGGGAAAGCAATTACCGGGAAGCAGATAAACACACCAAGCCCCCTCACCGAGCCCTATCCACCAACGGGCCGGTCCTCCCTCTCATTGCGAGCTTGGATGAGATCACCAAGAGCTTCCCAAAGCATTGCGGGACCAGCAGGGCTGTGCCAGTGCATCACCCCATCCGGGTAAGCTCAGATCTGACACATGCACACACACCTGCCTTGTTGATGATCTCAGTCTTCTCGCTTTCTTCCCGGGTGGCTGGTTCAGGCCGCCTTATCGGACATTCGTCGGAGCGCGGGGCTTCCCTCACGCCCATGTGTTGGCCGGTGTGACTGATTTATTCATCAGCAGCAGCCGAAGCCGCTCTCAATGGATGGCATCGTATGGATCAGCTGTGCTATCGTGACGTTCGTCGGTGCGGCCTTCTCGGCGGGGGGAGGCATCGGCGGCGGGGCCATCTACATCCCCACTTATATGGTCATCTTCGGGACGGCGCATTTGGCGGTGCCGCTGAGCAAGGTGACCATATTCGGGCTGGCGCTGGCCTCCAACTTGTTCAATGTGCATCAGAGGCACCCGAAGAGGGACAGGTGAGAGAGGGAGGGAAAGAAATGGTCCTGATGCACTGTGTGTGTGGTGTGCCTGTTTGTGTGCCAGGCCGTTGATCAACTACGAGATGTGTATCATGCTGGAGCCTGCAACTCTCATCGGTGCGTCAGCATTGCCGGCCTTCCTGCATTTACTCTGGATGGGTGCTGTAGGTGCGATGATCGGCGTCTACCTGAACGTGGTGATGACGTCGATCGAGATCCTCGGCTGCCTCGTGGTGGTCCTCTCCATCACTTCCTACAAGACCTTTGTCAAGGGCGTCAAGCAGTACCGGCAGGAGTCCCTCACACACACACGGATACCCCACACAGAACTGCCGGCCATCGCCGTCCACCCACACACGCAAGACACTATGAGGACTGACCAGGCCGACCAGCCAGAAGACACACAAGACCGAGAGGGAGGCAAGATGCCCCTGATTGTGACGTCGACCGACCCCCTGCTGGCCTCCCTCCCTCCCAGCCATGGCGGCCATGGCGACGTTTCCCCCGCCGGCGTGAGCACCGGCATGCCCAGCGACACCTCCCCCCTCTCTCTGCGCATGGCAGACGTCAAGACACCAGGCGGCAGAAGCCACCAAGTACAACAGCAAGAGCACCAGGAGAGTGAGAAAGCGGCTCTGCTGCCGCGAGGGAGAGAGGGACAGGGGGAGGAGGGGAGGGGTCGGCAGCCGCTGGAGATAGAAGAGGAAGTTGGTGACGAGAAGAACACAGACGAGGTGCGGCGGTACCACAGGTGGGATGCGTGTGTGCCGTGGGGGTGGCTGGGTGTGCTGGTGGTGTGCTGGGCCGTCAACTGCGCGGCACTCGTCTATGCGGGCGGGCCGACCGGCATTCTCTGCGGTCAGTGAGGCAGCAAGGCAGAGAAAGGGAAATGGGATTATGTGTGTTGTGTTGTGCAGGCGATTTGCTGCAGAAGATTGCTCTGTTGACACTGATTGTGGTGCTGGCGTCGTTCACATTATGGTTCCGCCAAGTGCTGCTCGCATACAGAGTGGGTGGGAAGGAGCATGTGCACCGCCACCTTGCTCATCGTTTCTCTATCTGTCTGTCTGTCGATCGATCAGCGTGACCGTGAGGTGTGCGGCTTCCACACACACGCCATCGACGAGGGCGGATTCGGATGGATCACCGCCAGAAACACACGTACCTTTGCACACACACACACGATGCCTTCACTCCATCCATCCATCCTGTTGCTGTGTCAGTGGTGTACCCGTTTTGGTCGATGGTGGCTGGCGTGGCGGCGGGGTGCCTCGGTAGGCATCTATGTGTTTGTTGGTGTGTTGGGGGTGCTCGGTGGTCATTCATGCCGTCAGTGCAGTGAGGATGTGACCTTATCGCAAGCAGCGACTGGCCTGTCTGTCTTGCTGGCCGTCGCGATGAGCTTTGCAAAATTCCAATTGATACTTCTGAACCAAAGAGGCAGACAGACAGACAGACAGCATAGCTGCCCATTTCATTGTCCATGGCCAGATTTGTTTGCTGTGTGTGTGTGTGTGTGTGTGTGCAGGTATTGGTGGTGGTCTTGTGAAGGGCCCCTTGATGCTTGAGATAGGTAACTGGGAGAGAGAGAGAGAGAGAGAGAGAGAGCGACGACGCAGTTCGTTCATTCGCACGTTGGTCTCTCTCAGGTCTGCTCCCCCACTCGGCCGTCGTCTCGTGAGCAACACGCCACTCCTACACACACACACACACACACACAGGCGTGTGTGTGTGTGGTGCAGTGCGACGTTCATGATCCTGTTCACCTCGTCGAGCACCTCGCTGCAATTCGGCCTCATGGGTGGGTCGGTGGACAACCAACCAACCAAACAAACCATACGCTCATTCTGGCATTCTGTCATTGTCGTGATGCGTGTCACACAGGCCGCCTCGAGATTGTTTCGTCCCTCATCTTCTCGCTGTGCGCCTTCTGCGGAGCGGTGAGCGGACAAACAGCCAACCAGCCCAAAAGAGCTGTGTGTTTGTCACACCAATCAGCTGGTGGGGGTCAAGCTGGTGTCTGCCGCCGTGCGGCGGTTCAAGCACGGCCAATCGGGGGTCACCTTCCTCCTCGGCACACTCATCCTTGTTAGGTAACCCCACCAACCCCTCACACACACACACGAAATGGCTGAATGCTCTCCCTCTCTCTCTCTCTCTCTGTGTGTGTGTGTGTGTCAGTATGTGTTGCATGGTGGGTGTGAGCATCCACGAGGAGCTGCACGGGGTGAGGAAGCGGCCGCCCTTCTCTGTGAAGAACCTGTGTGAGGCCCTGCACAAACACCCACAGACCCCCGAGCTGCCACAGATGTTCTCCTGGCACAAGTGGCAGAAATGGCACCACTGACTTACGAACAGAGAGGGAGGGAGGGAGGGAGGACTGAGTGTGCGGGTGCGTGGGGGTGGGGTGTACAGAAAGATCGAGGTCCTTTTTCATATGAATGAAAGTGTTCTGTTGAGAGGAATGAGTGTGTGCTGAGTCTGATGTCTGCATGGGAGGTGGGGGGCGGAGGGGTGCACACACATTCTTTGTTCCCATGATTCATTCGAGTCGTCCTTGATAGATATGGATGTCCTTTATGAGTATCGACCGGCCGTCGCACGTGTGTGCGTGTAGACAGATACTGGCATGCATGCGTCACGACAAAGCTCTAAACCCGCTGAAAAAGGGGTGATCTGCCGCCCCCTTCGGCGCCTTCTCCACCACCCACTCAGCCACCCATTTACACTCTATCTCCATCTGCACATAGCCGTCTGCCCCACACAGTGCGATTCGTATCACTCGCTGCCCCCTGCCTCCTGCCCCATATCACCCCGCCCGCAATCGGCCGCTCCCTCGCTGCATGAAGGACGGCTGCTGCTGCTGTGGCTGTGGCTGTGGCTGTGTAGGCGGCTGTGCTGGTGGTGGTGTTGGGGGTGGGGGTGTGTGTGGTTGTCCGATAGGCTGTCCGCAGTAGACGGCCTTGTAGGCGGGCTCGGTGAGGACGTAGTGCTCGCACTCGTCGTATGAGTGGAACAGCTGCTGGCCCGTCTCGTTGTCCTCGTGCAGGGACCACCTGCACCCATCCATCCATCCATGCGCACACACACACACACACACAGAGAGATCAGGGTGCGTGTATGTGTGTCTCATGATTCAGTCACTCAGCTCACATGGAGAAATCCAGCTCACAGCCTTCAGCAGCATCTGAAAAGGATCACACCACCAATCTCTGTCCGCCTCTCTGTTGTGTCTCATTCGCCGCCTCTTACTCGGTAGTTCTAGCGGCATGAACAGCTCCCTGACAGCACTTGCGATGCTCTCGTTGCCCCTCACCGCCGCCACACACCCCTCCACCGTGTTATTCCAGTAGGCACCGAACACCTTCCACACCGGGGCATTCGCACACGTGCGCGCCACCTGGTGCGCCAGCTTCTCGGCACACTTTTCCGCCATTGCACCTCCTGCAGTTGCAGTGGCATTAGTGCCAGCCCCCGGCACATTTGCCCCCGGTGCGAATGTGGGCACGTGTGTATGTGTGTGGTGGAGCGGCTTTGGCGTCACGAACGACGTGTCGCCGCTGCTGGTGTTGGTGTTGGTGGGAGGGAGAGGGGGCGGGGGAGGTGACTGGCCTGGTGCTGGTGATGGCGGCCCTGGTGGCTGGGAGAATGGCTGAGGCGGCATGCCGGGCGGTGGCGGTGGGGTTGAAGACATAGATGGACCTGGCACTGCACACAAACAGAGGCATGGGTGAGTCCGAGAGTTGGGACCATTGTCGCTGCTCACTTGGGGGATTATTCTGCATAGGGCCAGGTGGTGGTGGTGGTGGTGAGCCTGGTGACCCCGACGGCCCATCAGGGAGAGGAGGCCCCATAGGTGCCATAGGTGGCGCATGGGACGTGATATTTCCATCATGAATCGGCGGCGCCATGCTGTCCACGGGCGGTCCGGGAGGGCCTGGTTGGCCTGCGAATGGCTGCTGTGGTGCGGGAGGGGGAGGGCCTGACGGGCCCCCGACACCCGGCGCTACAAGAAAATGGACAAAACACCAGAAGAAGAGATCTACATGCCTTTCTGCCGATTCTCTGTGGGCCGTTGTGGCGCGGAGTGAGTACCTGCAGTGGTCGGCTCGTTCGGCATCGGTGGGACACCCACACCTGCATCCGTGCGCCAACACAACAAAGGGGAGAGGGAACATGACAAGAGGAGAAGAGATCTATCTCTCGCTATGGATGGCGTGCCTGTGCCAGGAGTCGGTCCTGGTGGCGCGGGAGGAACTGATAGAACACGACAATCGCACAAACAAGAGAAAAAAACCCCAGATCTCTTCAACCTGCCATTGCAGTGACTTCATCACCCATCATACCAGCTTGATTAGCGTCGGGCGGTGCTGTAGTCGGCTGTAGGGGGCCTTCTGGCGCAGGTGGCATGCCGGTTGGCTGCACCGCCTGGATCTTGGCTAATTCCATGCTTTTGTTCACCATTGTCGACGTCGACGTCGCTCGGCTGGCCTTGAAGAGTGAGTGCTGCCCCGGCTCGATGAGGCGGTCGGCGCCGCCTCGGTTGACGGCATGGGCAACAGAGGCGACCGACAGCAGACACACAAGCGCACTGCAAACCTCCATCCCCCCTTGGAAACCGGGATCTGACCCTAGTCCACCGCACTTTGCGAGCGGTGGACAGCCGGTTGACTCCATCTGTCCACCGGTGATCTTCCCCCCCCGGGTGTCAGAGGGTGATTGGGGCAGCACCTTTCCCCCCCGTCGCCCCTCGGCCGTCCAGAACGCCCTCTCTGGCCAGCCAGGTGCGTCCCGTCCTCCGCGGCTTGAGTCCCGCCTCTGGGGGCCTGATCGCTCTGTCGTAGGCTCTGCCGCGCCGCCTCTGCACTCTGCAGTGCGTGCGGCTTTTGTCTCGTGGTTCAGCCATCGCTACCTGCTGTTTCAGTAGCTCATTGACGCCATGCCAAGCGAGTGGAGGAAGGGCAAGGGCGGCAAGCCAGAGCGCAAGGGCGCCATGCCAGAGAGCGACTGGGTGGAGCGCGTCACGAAGTACCACAACACGGGAGGCCACGAGAAGATCGAAAGGCGTGGCTTCAAGAACACCTTCTTCAGGACCCATGTGGACGACCGCATTGCCCATTGCCCTTTCTACCTCTTCGTGGAGCAGGATTACGGCAATCTGCAAGGTGAGAGGGAGCGGCCACGCCGCCAGAGAGACGGGGTGGGTGGGTGGGTGCACGGCCGGATGGCTGGCGAGGCGCTTTCTGTGAGGAGGGGGATGGATGCCTTCATGCATGCATCTCTCCTGTGTGTGTGTGTATGTGTGTGTGTGGCCCCTCAGGTCGGGAGCTTGATCTGCTCCGCACCCTTTGCAACTGCTGCTGGGCGCTCAAGTACAAGGTCGACCTGTCGTGGGATCTGCTCTTGGGTGCCGCTTCCGGCACCGTCCTCTTCGGCCGCGGCCTCCCCGACCTCGCCTACACCCAGCCCGAGGCCGTGGAGGGCAGGCCATCCATATATCACACACACACACACACACACACACACGGACAGGTGGACGGATTCCACAACCGCCGAGGCACAACGGCGGGCACAGCCGCCGAAGCACCACGGCGGGTCAAATGGCGACGCAGATGCCACCAGGAGGGCCGGGGGGAAACATTTCTCGGTCGGCACCGTCGCCAGGACGTCTTCCACAAGCGCCGAAGCACCACGGCGGGTCAAATGGCGACGCAGATGCCACCAGGAGGGCCGGGGGGAAACATTTCTCGGTCGGCACCGTCGCCAGGACGTCTTCCACAAGCGCCGAAGCACCACGGCGGGCCAAATGGCGACGCAGATGCCACCAGGAGGGCCGGGGGGAAACATTTCTCGGTCGGCACCGTCGCCAGGACGTCTTCCACAAGCGCCGAAGCACCACGGCGGGTCAAATGGCGACGCAGATGCCACCAGGAGGGCCGGGGGGAAACATTTCTCGGTCGGCACCGTCGCCAGGACGTCTTCCACAAGCGCCGAAGCACCACGGCGGGCCAAATAGCGACGCAGATGCCACCAGGAGGGCCGGGGGGAAACATTTCTCGGTCGGCACGTCCAGATCTGCAGCCTTCACAAGCGCCAAAGCACCATGATGGGTCAAATAGCGACGCAGATGCCGCCAGGAGGGCAGGGGGGAAACATTTCTCGGTCGGCACCGTCGCCAGGGTGTCCAGATCTGCAGCCTTCACAAGCGCCAAAGCACCACGGCGGGTCAAATGGCGACGCAGATGCCACCAGGAGGGCCGGGGGGAAACATTTCTCGGTCTGCAGCGTCACCAGGGCGCCCAGATCTGCACATCCCGGGAAAGGGGGGGAAACTTTTGCGAGCCGGAGGGTTGCTAGCGTTGCGGTGGCAAGGCTGCATCTTCCTGGGTACTCCGGGCCCATGTTCAGGCGCGTAGGGGGGAAACTTCTCCGTTTCCCCCCGTTCCTGCCTGTTTTCCGGTGCGTGGGGGGGAAACTTTGGTGGCGGGGGGGAAACACGCGAAGCCGCCGCCAAAAAGTTTCCCCCCCGAATATCACATCCTCAAAAATTCCTCCGCCCCGAAGAGGGCAATGTTTACAGATGGGAAGCTCGCGGTGTGCAAAGGGGGAAAATGGCTGATTCTGGTGAGGAGCATGCCTCGAAGAGGCGGCGGGTAGACGGTGAGAAGGTAGATCTGACGAAACGCGATGAGCAGCGGTCATCTCTGCCTGCGAGTAGCGGTTCACAGACCGCCGCCTCGACAGGGTGGCTGTGGCGGTGCCAGCCTTTCTATCTCAACGCGATAGTCGACTATGGGCGTGCAGGCGGTGCGAATGAGGGGTGTCTGAGCATCCGGGACATCATCGAAGGCGAATCGGGGCAAGTGCAGGAGGTAAGTGAGCATGACCGCCATGGTGTGTGTGTATGGTGCTCCCACACGAACTCTCTCTGTGTGTGTGTCTGTGTTGGGTTCTGATGCAGTTGTTGCTGGCCAACTTCATGATTGACCTCGACTGGATGGTCTCAGAGTGCCCCGTGATGCGGAAGATGCAGCGCATCACAATACTCACTGGCGAAGGTCTGTCTACGGCAGAGAACACAACACAGACACACACACACACACAGACACAGACACACACCATGGTGTGACCTGATGTGACCTCCTCTCTCTCTCTCTGGGTGGTTGGTGTGTGTGTGTTTGTGTGTGTGAATGTAGGCAGTGCCCTCGACCAGTCTGCCGGCCGTCTGCGGAAGACCGGACCGCGTGTGGAGGTGTACCGGCCCCCCTTGCCCATCGCCTTCGGGTCGTTCCACGCCAAGATGATCCTGCTGACGTTCAATGACCGCATCCGTGTGTGCATCCACACGGCCAATTTCATCTACCCCGACTGGTGAGCAGGCCCATGCAATCATGTGTGTGTGAATGGTGAGTGTGGTGTGGTGCGGTGTGGTCGTGTAGGTGGCGGAAGAATCAGGCCATCTATGTGCAGGACTTCCCCCGGAAGCAGCAGCAGCAGGGCAGCCAGCCATCGACAGACATGGAAGACATGGAGGGTGAGAGATACCAAGCAAATGCTCCATGCTCTCTTGTTGTGTGCGTGTTGGTGTGAGTCAGATCAGTTGGTGGCCTTTCTCCGCGCCACGACCAAGGCGGGCGACTGGTGCGACAAGATCCGCCAGTTCGACTACTCCACCGCCATTGGCAAGATAGTGGCGTCGGTGCCGGTGAGCGTCACAGCCAAACAGAGGGGCCGTGTTTGTAGTCCATCGGTTGTGCTCTATGGTGTGAGTTACACGCAGGGCGCTCACAAGGGCTCGGACATCAACCGGTGGGGCCACATGCGGCTGCGCGATGTGCTCAGTAGCCAACCTGACCCCCAGAATCTGCAGGAGTGAGTGGGATCCCGTTCACTGTATCCGTCTCTGTGTGTGTGTAATGTGTGTGTGTCGTCGTCTTCAGTTTCCATCTGGTGTGTCAGTTCTCTTCTCTCGGCAGCCTGAGCGACAAGTGGCTGCTGGAGGAATTTGCCGGTGCGTCAGTGAATGCGTGTGCGACGCCCACACGGACGGCATGGCACTCTGCTTCTGTCCGTCTGTCTGTCTGTCTGTCTGTGTCAGGTACGATGGTGTCTAGCTCTTCCCACCGCCGGCCTGCCCGTCCGAGTGTGCCGATGCACATCGTCCTACCCACAGTGCAACAGGTGGGTGCGGGGAGTGTGAGGGATGGTGAAGTGTCCTGGCTGGCTGCTATGGGTGTGTGTGTGGACTTCTGTGTGCAGGTGCGGACGTCCATTGAGGGCTGGGCGGCGGGCAGGTCAGTCAGCATCGATAGCATCAGTCATTTAGACTCCACCGGAACCAATATAAGTGCTGCATGTCCGTGTGTCTTGCCCTGGAGTTCCATCCCGATCCCCAGCAAGAACCTCAAGCCGTTCCTGCAGCCGATGCTGCACAAGTGGGGCACGCACACCAACACCTCCAGGGCGGGCGCATCGTCGACGTCGGCCTGTCCCTCCGTCCCCCACCCACCCGGCCGATCGAACGCCATGCCGCACATCAAAACGTTCCTCAAGTAAGGGAGATACGCACAGACACACACACACACTGACAGCACAGTACAACACACAGCTTAAGCTTCCTCAATTGGTCCCTACCCGGATGTGTGCGTGTGTGTGTGTCAGGTATGGTTATCGGAAGGATGACACCGATCGGTCTCCCGAGCTGGCATGGGCATTCCTGGGAAGCCACAACCTCAGCAAGGTGGGCGCAAGCACGACATCGACGAGGAAGAAAAACTGACCAACGGAGCTCTGTTGGTGTGATGGCATGAAGGCCGCGTGGGGCGAGCTACAGAAGAACAACTCTCAGCTGTCCATCCGGTCATACGAGCTCGGCGTGGTGGTGTCGCCGTCCACGCTGCAGCAGCTCAGCCCCCTCCTCCCACACCCATCACTCATGACGCGGTCGTCCGGGCCATCTTCATCCGCCGCCGCCGCAGCAGCATCACCACCTTCACCGCCAACCGTGCGCTCCTTCCTGTGGCACAAGACATCCGATGACACCACCAATGCGCCGCTTCCCCGTCTCTACCCAGCCACCGCCCGTCCGCCCAAGACACCATCCGGCTGTCGTGCCATCGGTGTGCCGGTGCCCTACCCGCTGCCGCCAGTGGCCTATGTGCAGGTGCGGGATGAGCCGTGGTGCGTCGATGGGAAGCATAGCGGGGTGGACGATATGGGACAGACCTGCCCGAGCCAGCTGACCAGGTTCTATGGCAATGGGCGGGCGGACTTCTGACTGACTGAGTAGCTAATGGGCGAGTGGCTTAGTACAAGGGTGTTGCTGATACTCTGTGTGGGGCTGGGCGATTGGTTCGGCGTATGTTTGTGGTTTGATAGATCGACCACATCCATCAAGTCAGTGCTTCGCACTTGCACGCACACATCCATCCATCCATCCATTCGTCCATCCATTGCTGCCCCCGTCTCTCCAGTCCATCCAATGCATCCATACGTGTAGCCACCGCCACCCATCTACCCCACTCCTCAGTTGAGCACCCGCGGTGAGTGGGCAGCCGTACATCAACACACAGCATCCATTGGGTATGTCACGTGGGCCGTCTATGTGTGTGTGTGTGTCAGTCGGTCCCTGGTAGGTGTTGGTTGGTGGGCTTGCCTGAGGATGTGGAGAAGCAACTGCTGGCCTCCCTCACGGCCGACGACTGCGGCCCCCTCCGAGCCTCATCCAAGAGCGTCGGCTGCCAGCTGGTCAGCGAGGCCTACCTGACGGACCGACTCGACGCTGCTATCCGCGATAAGGGCCTCAGTGGAGTGCTCACGTACCAGAAGCGCTGTGAGACGGTCCTGCTGGTCCTGCTGCAGTGGATCACGGCCATCATCAGCGTGGCTTCCACTTTCGTTCAAGGTCTCGTGGGTGTCGGCATTCTCTCGATGGTTTATTTGGTCATCCTCGCCTGTACCGGCGTCGTGATCTGGAAGCCCCTTGATTGTCTGATGCAGCCGCTGCGTCTATTACCGTGGATTCAGTGGAGCATCAAGCTGCTTACTGTCTTCGTGGTCCCGTTTCCCGTGATCGCAGTCAATTGATCGCAGTGGTCATTCGATTGCTCGGGGAGGCTTCCCTCATTGTGCGAGCGTATAGGCAGTTTTGGGTGGCATTCTACGACTTACCTCACCATCAGCGGTCTGTCGAGCGCCGTGTCAGGAGTGGGCTGCGCGCGGCGCTGGCGATCGGCAGGCATAGCTTCGAGTGTGGGGCGGCATTGTTCGGCATCACTGTCATTTACACCGCCTGGTGCATCGCGTGGCTCTGGTCCCCGCCCGAGGAGTTTTCAGTGCAGCTGGGCGAGAAGAGATTTCTGGACCAGCTGAGCGGCCGCGCACTACTCATCGATGTGGTCATCCCGTGGCTGTTCTGCATCTTCACGCCGGTCTGCTTGGTCATAGTGTGCATTCTAATCTGGAGCGAGCTGATGCATAAGCTGCTGCTCATCGACGACAGGGTGGGTTATCTGTTGCGGGTGCTGTACGTGATCGAGGAGGGCGGTTGCTGGGACCGATGTGTGTCGCTCATCCACTACCTCAAGAACAGCAGCCGCTTCCTCCCCTCTCTGCCCATCATCATCACGGCATACGACCTGCAGCAAGCGGGCGGCCGGGCGGGGTTCAGCTCGCGACCACAGGCGGTTCGTCAGTACTCACTCTTTGGCCACCGTCTCTCGATCATTGGCCGGCGTGTGGGTCTCATCTTTGCCAACGGCCGAGACTATATGGGCGGCTCAGACCCCGACCCGACCCGCCGACCAAACGTGAGCAGCCGGGAGAACGAACACACACTTGGGAGGGAGGGAGGGAGGGCGGGAGAGAGATGAGCATGTGGATTGTTTGTTTCCTGTCTGCTGTCTGTCTGTCTGCAGGTGGCAACAAAGTATACTCTTCGTTCACGGATATCATCGTCTTCCTGGTCGATTCGTGCAGCTGGATGGACCCTCGTCTGCGCCCCCACTTCACGCACCCAAGCCCACTCATCACTCCAACTCCCAGCCAGTACCAGCTCACGCAGGACGTCATACTGCACGCAAGGGGCCAGTGGAACGGCTGCCGCAAAGCGGGCGCCCAATGTGGGCGGCGTGACGGTGCGGGTGCCGCTGCAGTGCTTCGCCATTTTGGTCGACAGCCGCCCACACCAGGTGGTCCACACACGGGGCCGTGTGGGTGTGCGTGAGGTGGTGCAGAGGGCCCGGCTGGACGAGGCGGCTCGACACGGCATAGAGGAGGGGGCCATCAACAAGGGCTTCAACGACCACTTGGGGAATGCCGACTGTGAGTTTGGTGGGTGGTGGAAGCTGGGCCGCATCCACGAGCGGGGGCAGTGGGTGACACTCGGGATCAACTGAGGGAGGGAGGTGTGGTGTGTGTGGGTGTGGCACCCACGGGGTATGTTGGGCCGCGGAGTGTTGGCAGCAGAGCGGGTGGAAGGGATGCATAATTCATGTGTGTGGACTGTGTAGAGTTATCTGTGAGGGTGTGGTCTGACTGTGCGATGCATGTTTTGTGTTGCTGTTTTGAATTCTTCGACCAACTGAGTCGAATTCCCTGCGTGACTTGGAGAGTTGATGGGTTGCCTTCTTGGCACTCTTTGGCGTGTTATGCGTGCCTTCCGGAAAGAAAAAAAAAGGAGCGCAAGGAGAGCGGCTGTTTACGCGCTCTGTAAACACAGCTGCCAGTCGAGATGCTGGCTACGGCGTCATTGTTGACGACGATGAGCTGCCGGCGATGCATCGTGTCGGGCCGCACCAGCGATTTATGGTGCTGGAGGTCATCGGCTCGGGCTCGTTCTCCACCGTCTACCGCGGCTTTGACACCGTGACGAAAGACGAGGTGGCCATCAAGATGGTCAGCGGATGAGATCAGAGATGCGCCGTCGGCTGCCGCAGACCTCGGTCTTTGTTTGTTTACAGGAGCCGAAGAGCATCAAGATCCCTCTCCTTGCGCACGAGAGTAGGGTTTATCGCAACCTCGCCACATCCGACGGTCAGCCCAACAGCCAGCCAACAAAAGCCGCCGCCACCATCTCCCCTCCCTCTCTCCTTATCTGTATCTCTGTGTGCTGTCTTTCTCGCGTCTGTCTGTCTGCAGCGCCGATAGCAGCGGTGCCGCGTGTGTACTGGTATGGCGAGGAGGGCGAGTACAGCGTGCTGGTGCTGGAGCGGCTGGGCCCCTCCCTCGACCACCTGCTGATGCACCTGACCATGCGGCAGGGGCGGCAGGCCATGTCCCTCAAGACCGTCCTCATGATTGCTGACCAAGTGGTATGAATGGGAGCCACTAACACATTCCAATGGACGGATGGATGGATGCGTGTGTATGGCCTCTCTTGCCTCATCAGTTGGAAGCTCTGAGGTGTGTGCATCGCAACGGCTACGTGTACCGCGACATCAAGCCCGAAAACTGCCTCATCGGGATGCGCGGCCAGGCTCACGTAGGGACCAACCGCCACCCCATTGCGCATCATTCAGCTGATATGCCATGGCATGGCATGATTGGCCTCCCTCTTGCCCTTTGTCTGTCGGTTGCAGCGTGTGTATATTGTGGACTACGGCCTGGCGAAGCGCTACGTCGATGTGTGTCGTATGGGGCAGCATGTGCCGATGAGGGAGGGCAAGAAGCTGGTGGGGACGGCCATCTTCGCCAGCCTCAACAACCACATGGGCAGGGAGTGCAGCAGACGGTCGGGGGCTTATACACACACACATACACACACACACAGAGGGATGGGAGATGGGGGGTGTGAGGCATGCGTGTGTGTGGATGTTTGTGTGCAGTGACGACGTGGAGTCGCTAGGCTTCATGCTGACGTACCTGGCGATGGGCAAGCTGCCATGTGAGGAGGACAAGAAGCCCAAAGGATGCATGTGTCTGTGTGTGAGTGTGTGAGTGTGTTATAAATGTGTGTGGTGTGGTGTGCAGGGATGGACGTAGCCGTAGATGACCGACTAGAGCTGTACGACGCCATCAAGAGGGGCAAGATAGAGTGCGGCATCACACATCTCTGCGCGTCGCTGCCAGGTACACCCACACATAAGCCACGCAGACGGCATTAGTGTGTGGCTTTCTCCCTCCCTCCCTCTGTCTGTCTGTCTACACACACACTACAGATGAGTTTGCGGCCTGGTTCCACCACTGCCGCGCGCTGAGCTTCGCGCAGCAGCCCGACTACGCCTACCTCAAACAGCTCATACTCAGGTGCTTCATCAGGTCAGTCAACTGATCAGAGACAAGAAAGACCAAGTGACAGACACACAACACACACTCGAATGGCACTCGCTCTTGGGTTCTTCCTCCTGTTTTTTTTCAGGCATCAGCTGCACTTTGACCGCCTATACGACTGGAGCAGAGCACTGGTACGCAGCCAGTGGCCTCCTCGCCGTGAATCAAAGCAATGCATGTCTGTCTGTCTGTCTTTTGTCATCAGTCGCCCCAGCAGCGCCCCTTCTCCATGTCTCTGTGCGACGTAGAGCACCGGGGATTTGACTGGACCACACCCCCACCACCCACACCAGCAGCAGCAGCAGCATCCGCCTCATCCCCACACACCACAACAGCGACAGAGGACACGAACAACCAGCCGCACAAACGCCCCCGCCCCCTGCCGGCCCCTCCGTCCCAGATCCTGCCGACCACCCCGTCACCTCAGGCAGCCGTAGCGATGGACGGAGGGGAGAGCCCACCAGACTGTGGGTGGGGCGGCGGGTTGACATGGGGGTGACGGGGACAAATCGTGGCCTCTCTCTCTCTCTCTCTGTGTGTGTGTGTGTGTGTGTGTAGCTGCTGCCTCATGGATGGATGGATGGATGTGCACGTGTGCGTGGTAGTCGGTGGTCTGATGCTTGTAAAGAGGGAGACTCGCGTGGTGTGTAGATCGAGCCAGCCACGGTCGTGAAAGCAATCTTGATGCGTGAGGACATTCATTGGTCGAGTCACGTCAACACATGTTTGTATGCACCATTCACAAAGGGCGTGTCAGCGGTTCCCGCTGCACCCTCTCTCTCTAACACAGCACACACATGAGGCAAAAGTCGCCTCAAATCACAATCACACACACGTCGCATCCATCACACAGCCAGCCATAGAAGCCGCTATCAGCAGCTGGTGCAACCAGCAGCCCTTCGTCTGCTCATGCCTCATCAGGCGGGGCCTCCTCAACGCCCTCGCCGAGTTTGAAGATCTTGAAGTCCTTAACCTTGATGGGGCCGCCCACCTCGCCCTCGGCATCCTTGAGCACCTTGGACACCTTCCTCTTCGTGTCGTCCAACATCCACTCCTGCACCGACACACCACACACACACACACAGGCAGACAGAGGGGCATCATCGATTTGTGTGAGTGTGCCAGCTATGTGACTCGGCTCGGCTGACCTGTTCGGTGAGGACGACTTGTTCGTAGAATTTGCGCAGTCGCCCCTCGACCATTTTGTCGATGATCTCCTCGGGCTTGCCGCTCTCGCGCGCCTGCTCCTTGAGCACCGCCCGCTCCTTCTCCAACTTGGAGACATCCAAGCCGCCCACATCCTGACCACAACACACGACCCGCAAGTGCCCATGCATCCTCTCCCTCTTCTGTGTGACTTTGCTTACCACTGACTCAGGCCTAGCCACCGAGATGTGCATGGCGACCGTCTGGCCGACCTCTCTCAGCTTGGCCTTGTCGCCGCCCGACTCGAGAGCCACCAACACGCCGATCTGGCCCATGTTGCCACTCAGCGGATTGTGCAGGTAAGTCGCAACCACCCCATCTGCGCCATCAAGGCTCACGCCGGCCGACCGACGCAAGTCGAGCTTCTCGCCAATGACGCCTGTAAGTGCGGGCACCTCCTGCTCAACGGTCTTGCCCTCTGTGCCCTCTGGGTATTCCGCCGCCTTGAGAGCGGCGAAGTCGCCCCCCTTGTCAAAGGCGATGTCGGCACAGGTGAGGGCGAACTTCTGGAACTGCTCGTTCCTCGCCACGAAGTCGGTCTCGCAGTTGACCTCGACGAGCACCCCCTTGGCGTCGTCGGCCTTGACCACCACCAGGCCCTCAGATGCCTTGCGCCCCGCCCGCTTAGCGGCCGCAGCCAGCCCCTTCTTCTTGAGAATGTCCAGGGCGGCTTCCATGTCGCCCTCTGTGTCTGTCAGCGCCTTCTTGCAGTCCATCATGCCCGCGCCGGTCTTCTCGCGAAGCTCCTTGACCAATGTCGCTGACACAGCTGCCATCTGCAGGGACGTTGCTGCTGATCTTGGTGCTCGCCTCAGCTGCCTCAGCTGCTGCAGAGGCCCTGCATGTGTTGTGAGCGGCTGGGTGGAGGGGGAAAGGGGCAGCGGGCGAAGCTGGAAGCATTGGGAGGGCGTAAAGGCCAGCAGAATCGTCGGCAGCAAGAAGAGGCGCTTCATCAACGATGCTGCCGGCAAGAGATGAAGACACTTCATTACGTAGACCACGGTCAGAGCAGATCTGAACGAGATCTGGCACACCCTGAGGCAGACAAGTCAGCACCAGCCTCTGCCAGCCTCTCAGACCGTCGGGGACCGTTCGTGGTCAGTGCGCGCTGTTCATGCGATCCTCATCTGCAAGCTTATCACGCATTCACCATGAAGCGCCTCATGCTCTCGACGATTCTTCCCCTGTTGCTGTCCCTTACACCCTCCCAGTGCTTCCAGCTTCGCCCCTTGCCCCCCTCCCCCTCCCTCTCCCAGATCAGCCCATCGCACTCATCAGCCCTAAGGCGTCATGCGCCACCTACCGGCCCTCTCACCCTTGCGCACGCCGCCGTCACAGCAGATCTGGCGGAGAAGGTGTCAGCGGAGCTCGGCCGGCCTGAGGGCATGTCTGAGGAGGAGTTCCATCGGATGCTGGAGAGCGAGTCGAATGACATCGAGTACGGCGTGGCTGTCATGGTGGGCGGCATGACGCGCGAGCAGTTCGCGACCTTCAAGGACCTCATCCTGACTTTCTGGGAGGATGAGTCGCTCAAGGGTGCAGCTGGTGGTGCGGGAGATGACATGGGCGAGTGGGTGCTGGTCCACGACCTGCCTGTCGCGCGGATCACCAAGCGGATGCTCGTCATGCCGCTGGAGGAGTGCATCTACGACGCCATGGGGGTCGACGTCCGCGACGACTCGAGCGAGGAGGACGTCGAGGTGCCGCCGGTGATCATCCTCTCCGGGCTGTGGAACTTCCAGATCCTCAAGGTCGTGCAGATGTACAACGCCCTGGCGGAGCAGGGCAAGCTGCCCGTCGACCCGGCGTGGGCCAAGGTGGTGCCCAACGCCATTCGCAAGCGGATGTCGCAGCTGCTGGGCGAGATCCAGGGTGACCACGTCAAGGCTGGGATGGGGGAGCCCTTCACGAGCGGGGACCTGAGCAGCGAGCCGATCGACGAGACGGTGGAAAAGGGCGAGGCCAAGTGGTGGCACTTTCTGCTGGAGAAGATGCTCACCAACAATAAGATGTCCGACGAGTGGCAGGGGGAGAAGGTCGACGTCTCGTGGGCGAACGAGCCAGACGTAAGCCAGCCAGCCAATCCCCACTCTCCCTCCCTCATGTGTGTGGCATCTGTGTGTGTGTGTGTGTGCGATGGGTCCTCGCAGCAAGAAGAGGGCGAGGAGATTGACTACAACGCCGAGTTCCGACAGGCCTTCTGGCTGAGGCAGTACCTCGAGAAGGGCCAGGATGAGTACGACAAGATAAGACAGCCGGCCAAGCCCAAGGAGCTCATACTGAGGGAAATGGCCGCCAAGGAAGCTGAGGGCACCGCGTCAGCGCCGTCATCATCATGACCCAGCGCATCGCATCCACGTGAACGTCCAGTCGATTTTTTGAGTTTGTGTGAGTGAGAGTGTCTTTCAGTGGGTGTCGCACATTCACTCATAGGAATGAGATGAGAGATTTTCAGCGAGACGGGAAGAGGGCATTGGATTTGGGTGATGGATATGGTGGGTGATGGGTTGTGGGTTTTAAGACAGCCTGTGTGGTGCAGTCAGTGCGTGTGTGGACGAACGGACAAGGAGCGCCGCTGGAGTGAATAAGTGTAGCTTCACCTCTACGGATGTTTGTCGCAGTCATCCCTCTCCATGGACATGTCCAGATGATCTACACAGTCCCCTCTCCCTCCCTCCCTCCCAAGAAGCCAGACAGCATCCGCTCACACACACGTGTATCCCTCTCATGTGCACAACGAAAAAACAAAAAGTCAGTCGAGTCGTCAGCCATCCGTCCGTCCATCTGGGGAGGGACATGTAAGTATCTAACGGGGAAAACAACAAAAGGCGGTCCAGTCGGTCGAGTCGGTCGACAATCGTTACGGTAGATGGATGGTAGTATGGTAGTGTACAAATCAAATGGACGAGTGAGTGTGTCTCATATCGTTGAGTATCGTATCGTTGTGTGTTGTCTTGTCCGTCCGCCGGTGTGTTCAGCCCATCTCCATGGGGTCGTCCCGGGGAGGAGGAGGCTGCACCTGCACCTGCACAACACACACACACATCCATCCATCCACACACACAGAGTGTGTCGAGAGTGTGGCGCGACTGACCTGAGGCAGCGGTGCACGAGGCAGAGGCATCACAGTGGTCATCCTGCAGACGTTCGGAGCATCACTCACGCGAATGAACCTGACAGCCAGCCAACACACACAGACCATGGTCACATGCATCTCTCTCTCTCCCTCTCTCTTTGGGTGTGCAAACAAACGCAGCTTACAAGGCGAAGCGCTCCCAGGGCCTCGCCATGCGCACAGCCTCCCTGCCGATCGCGTCAGCCTGCTCCTGCATCGTGGGGGGCCTCGGGGGCTCCGCCGGCTCGTCCAGCTCATCGACGATGCCCCTCCTGCCGCCATTCTTGCCCTTCCTCCCTCTGGCCTTGGCCTTGGCCTTGGGTTTGGGGGGCTTCCCGCCACCACCACCCTTTGCCTTGGCCCGTGTGCGCTTGGCGATGCCCCCGACCTCACTCACAGACGAGAGACTCTTCGCCGCCTCCGGTCGACGCTTCCCGCCGAGCTGCACCTGCCAGTAGCTCCCGTCCAAACCCCGACAACCAACAACACCAACAGCGCCACCACCAGCGCGACCCTTGAGAGCAACACCTGATGCGGCCGCGGCAGCAGCTGGCTGCATGTCGACCTCCATCGGCTCGTCCCTCTTGGCACCAGCACCAGCACCAGCAGCAGCTGCAGCTGCAGCAGCAGCAGGGGGCTGGCCCACTGCCATGGTCAGTGACGGTTTGGACGGGTGGAGGGCATAGAATTTCTTGTGCTGCTGCGGCGGTGCGCCGAGCAGAGGTCCGAATGGCATGGGGCGGAGAGGGGCCAGCGGCGGGGGAGGGGGAGGGGGAGGAGGGAATGGCTGGAGGGGAGGGAGGGGAGGGAAGGGGAAGCCTCCACGCAACATAGGCGGCTTGCCGCCGACGGCCGGGCCGGGGTAGAGGGGCGGGTAGACGGGGGGCGACACCTCAAACACCTGAACCAACGAACGAACAAGTGCAAGATGGGCAATGTGCATCAGCTCACTCGATCACTCTGTGCGTGTGTGCGTGCGTACCTTGGGTGGTGTCTTCGGCTTGTTCTCAGACATATCCTCAAGCACCATGCGATTGCCACCCTGACTCCCGCCATTCACACCCCCATCACAACCACCACCGCCACCAGCGGCAGCGGCAGCAGCACCGGGACTGCCCTCCGTCTTGCCCACGCCGTCGCCAACGCCGTTCTGCACCACGCTCTCAGTGTGTTTGTTCTGCATGGTGAGGTTCATCGCGGCCTCGCGCACCCTCTCGGCCTTGACCACGAGTGGGGAAATGGGCCGGGGCGGGTTGGCAGCATAGGCAGCGAAGGGCTCGTCAACATCGACAGTGGGCTGAAGACAGACACACAACGACATGGATGATGGGAGGAATGGATGGGTGTTTAATTGGTCTGGCGGCCGTCCTCCCTCCTGTCCACCCCACCTGCTTGCGCGTTTTGACCTTCTTGCGCTTGTTTTCCTCCTCCGGATCCCACAGTGCGTCGTTGGGATCGGCAGCAAAGGAATCCTCGGCCAGTGCGCGAGCAGCGGCCTGCACCAACGACAAGCAAGCCAGACGATCGCCGGTGCGGCGCCATGTGTGTCTTCCCACCAACCCACCTACCTCGCGGCGTGTGTTGATTTTCTTCTTGCGCTTGCCCTTGCCCTTGCCCTCCTCGGCCAACTCGTGGTGCACCAGGTCGACGTCAACAGCCCCAACGCCCTTGCCCATGCCGTCTCCCTCCTCTATATCACTGTCGTCATCAGCCAACTCGCGCAGCCGCTGCCCACGCTTGTCCTTACGCAAACCAGCCCGACCCACGAAGCCGCGAGCATCGATGCCACCAGCGGCGGCGGCTGCTGCCGCGGCACCCTCAGTACCCTCACTTCCCTCCTCCTCCTTGTGCACGCTCGACTCCTGACTCGACGCGTCGCCACCCGCTGCCTGGTCCTGGTCCTTGGCCGCCGTGCGGCCGTCCCTCTTGCTGCCCGGGGGGGTGGTCGGCTCCCGCTTGGGCGTCACCGCCTTGCGGCCTTTCTTCTTCTGCACGGGTGGGGGGGTCTTGGACTCTTCCTCGGCATCCAGCTCCTCCAGGTCCTTCCTCAGACCGTTGCGACGCACCGTCGGGGAGCTGGCGGCCGCACAGAGGGTCTGGCGAGTTCGTTTAGAGCGCAGGATGGGGCCGTGCGGTCCTTTCGGCTCACGGAGGGGGTCCATGCCGCCCCTGGGCGCCGACTGACGTGGAATACGCTACCTGGAGCAGGAGGGAGACGCAGCAACTGATGAAACGGGCCAGAAGGTGTGTAGGCGCCCTCCGAGCGGAGCGGTGAGCGAGGAAAACGACTTTTTACCGTCAGTTGCTTTGGTACAGAGGAGAGTAGAGCGTTCGTAAGCCTTCTCGTACGCGGAACGACAACATTTTCTTCAGGGGGCGAGGATGCGAGCTTTGAGCTCGCAAGACAAGCAGGAAAAGAGAGAAGGAGGAGGCGTGGCGAGTCAAGCGAAGCGAGATCCATGAGAATCGAGAAGTGTTGGTAACCAAAACAGGAAAAATGGAAACACCTGACACACCACAACACACATCTGTCCGTCCGTCTGTCTGTGGTGTGTGATGATGATGTGGGTTGTCTGGTCCAGGTACTGTTCCAGCAACATCTACCCTGGTTGGTGCAGCATCTCGTCGATGACGGACTCTCACACCCAATGGCACATGACGCGGGTGTGTGTGTGTTTGGCAATCTGTTCTGTTCCATTTGGTCATCAGGTCATGGGATTCAGTTTGTGCGCAACGACGCGAAGATATTTCGTTTCTGCCGGTCCAAGTGCCACCGGCACTTCAAGATGAAACACAACCCTCGCAAGGCCAAGTGGACCAAGGCATACAGATCTTCTCACGGTGAGAGAGGGAGGGAGTGACAAATGTGCGTGTGGTTGTGGACGATTGCCTTGTGTCGTGTCGCCCGTCGTGATGATGCAGGGAAGGAGATGACCATAGACCCCACCCTCGAGTTCGAGAAGCGGCGCAACGCGCCTGTGCGCTACGACCGCGACTTGATGGTCCAGACCATCCAGGCCATGAAGGCGGTCGACCGCATCAAGACCAAGCGCCAGGAGCGGTTCCAGAAGACGCGACTCGCCGCCCAGCAGAAGTTCCGCAAGTCGATTGCCGACTCGGTGCTTGCCAAGAATGCCACACTGCTGCGCGGCCCCGCCAAGGCCATCAAGGACGAGAACCTCATGGCCGACACAGTGAGGGTGGGCGAGGCCGCCACGCAGAAGAAACGATCGACGGCGGCTATCAAGGCGGTGGACGGCAGCCTCCGGAGGAAGAAGGGGCTGAAGAAGGGTATGGTTGGGAAGGGGACGCTGTCAGGGGGAAAGGCCAAGGCGGTCAGGCGGGACAAAGACGGGGACGTGGAGATGGCATGATATTACATAGATATGACAGTGACAATGAGCGTGGGTGTGTGTTGGGACCTCTGTCAATGGCTGGCTTGGTGTTTTTCTGCGCCATGCATGACGACATGTTAGTTAAACAAGTGATGGATACTGCCTGCCGTCGGAATCAGTGCGTCTGATCGATGTAGTACCATTCGATCGCTCGAGTCTAGCTATACACACACGTCTATACGGTCGGTCACACAGTCACGGGTCTGCCAAACGCATCACGGCACTGCAGCAGCGCACACACTCACGCGAGACACTCTAGTGATGCATCACACACGCACCAACCCACCAGCCCCTACAGCTCTTCATCGAGCATTCCAGGCGGCCCACCCGCGGGGTCCTGCACCACATGCTCAATCACACCGTCATCACCTCCCTCCCTCTCCCCCTGTGTGTCTTCCTCCAGCGGCCCCGAGGCCAAGACACTCGCCAAGCTGGTCTTCTTCTTGCCCATGAAGGCCGAACGCTCCTCTGCGATCTCACTGGCAGACAGTGTGCTGGTCTGCGTGACGAAGGCCTCCTTCACGGCGGGAATGCCAACTTCGCGCGAGGGCACCTTCTGCATGAGACCAGGCCGATCGGGGGCTGGTGGGGGTGGGGGTGGGGGTGAGGGCGGCGGCGGTGGTTGTGGCTGTGGTTGTGGTGGACTCTCAGGCGGCCGTGGAGGGGCGGGCTGTGTCTCGTCTGTCTTGCGAGTCTCTGGCTCGGGTCCACCAGGTGTTGCGGCCACCGGGGGAGGTGTGGGTCCACCCGGCACAGGTGACGGAGGTGGCATGGCCGCCTCTCTCTCCTCCTTCTCTTTCTCCTCTTTTTCGTCGTCGTCTTCTTTTGGTGGCTCTTCAACTCTCACCTTGGGCAGCTCGGGCGGCTCCACACCCACCAGCCCCACACCCGCCCCCTCTGTCGCCTCCTTGGGCTCCTCGACCACTGTGACCGTCTTGGGAGGGGGAGACTCGATGTCCGGGGCGATCGCGACTGTTTTGCCCCTCCTGGGGGGCTTCTCGCCCTTCATGCGTGCGGCTGTCTGTCGGGCCCTCTCCGCCAGTGTCGCGAGCATCGTGTCCCGCTGCGCCGCTCTACGCCTGAGAAGGAGCGGATTTGTATGAGAGTGGATGGTGTCTTGTGTTGCCTTGTGTTGTCTTGTGCTGTTGGTACCGAGCGTTGAATTGTTGGATCTCCACAATGTTCTGCACGAGCGTCTTGAGGCCTTCGAAGCCCACAACGAGATACAACACGGCCATCCTGCACACACAGAGACGGACACGCAGGGCACAGAGAGAAGCTGCCTTGCTGCGGGAATCGTGTGTGTGTACCCCACCCTGAAGCTCTGAGCCACAGCTTGGCCGTGTAGTCGTCGAAGTAGAGGGCGAACAGCAGAAGGAAGAGCGTCGCGATGAAGATGAAGAACAACACACTGAAGTAAGCCAACTTCTCTGCCAACTGCAGACAGACATAACAACGGTGTATGTCGAATATATGAAATGGGGAGTTCCTTTACGTGTCGATGTCGATCTCGCTGACCTCTATTATGGTGTTGGATGCGGTCGCCCGCATGTCTACACGCTCGTCAAAGGCCAACCGATCGGCGTCACGCAGCGGCTGAGACACACCGAGAGAGGCAGAGACAGAAGGAAGGGCTGTCGGATGCATGTGAATGTTGCTGACCTGCTGCTCCATATACATCTTCCGAATGCTCTTCATGAGCGCCTGCTTGCCGTCGTCCTCCATGATGGTCAATGTGGGCGGCGGCAAAGGCGTTATCACCAGGGAGTCGTCCAACAACTCAGAACTGCACTCACACACAACACAAGGGGAATGCAGACAGACACGAGACACATGCATGGGATGCTCACTGACCTATCTGCAGGTGGCTCTGGGAGGGCTGCGAGTGTCATGGGCGTCACGGGCAGCGGCGCCAGCTGAAACATCGATGGCGCCAGGCCCGACAGGCTCATCGGCGATGCCGTCCTCCTGCTCCCCCGCTGCTCGGAGGGCACCAGGCCGGCCGACTGGATGGCGGGCAGGCCTTTCTTACGCATGCCCTTGTCCGACTTGTCCGTCGCCTGACGCAGGAGCGCACGACGCGGGCGTGATGGCGGGGCCTTGGCCGGATCACCAGATCCCTCGCGACTGTAAGGGGTCGACATCTGAACCACAAATGTCGGCTTACACATCATGTCGGCTTTTCGCTCCTTCTCTCACCCCGCTCTTCGGTGTCTCGAGTGGCGGCAGTCTGTGTTTGCCCCTGGGCGTGGTGAGGGGCCCCTCCCTCTCCATCCCGCTGCTGACCGGCCCCTCTTGCTCACCACCGCCCCCCTCAGACGGGATCGGCATGGGCAGTGGGGGGATGCCCAAGGCGATGGCCTCCCCTGGCGGCGGCGGTGGTGGTGGAGGCGGGAGGGGCACCATGCCCGGCAGCCGGGGTGACGTCTGGCCAGACTGTGGGTTGGGCAAAGCCACCGATGGGGTTTCGTGGGACGGGGGCGGAGGGGGAGGGGATGGGGGTGGAGGGAATGGAGGGGATAGGCCAAGACCTGAAGAAACAACATGGACAAGGCTCATCAGCCATGGAGGGCGTTCTTGTTGATCTCACCTTCCTTGTCCATGCCCTTATGCATTTCGTCCTGCAGGAAACAACAAACGAGAGCTGGCCAGTGAGTGCATGGTGTCCTCCCCTCTTGTGATGCCTTCCTTTCTCACGTCGAGAGGTATGGGCATGGCCTCGAGCATCTGCACTTCATCGGGGTGCTTTTTGCTCTTCTTCATCGCCTCCCTCTCCATCTTCATCACATACTGGGGCGACGAAAACGCCAGCATCGGCGGCCCACCCTTGCCCTCACCAGCCATGCCGGCCTCGGCGTCCTCATACGGCAGCAAGGGGGTGAGTGTGGGTGGCCGGTAGGGGCGCTTAGAGAACATGAGATGCAGCAGCCGTGCGATGGGGAAGGCGAAGAAGGCGCCCATGAAGCCAAGAGCGGCCCACTCCTCCTTGCGGCCGGAAAACTTGCCGTATACCAAGGCGGTGGTCGACATGCAAGCCTGGAATGTACCGGCACAACACAACACACACTGGGATGAATCGCCTCCCAGAGCCCTTTCGCCCATCTTTTTACCAGCACGGCCGCGAGAAGGCAGGACGCTTGCTGCAGCCGGGTCATCTGCAGCCAGCAACACGGCGGACAGCACTTCAGACATCAATCAGACGCAGGCAGGAGACAGACACATGCGCCCCTCCCTCCCTCTCTCGGCTGACCTTTGCCTGGCGGTCTCGGTAGAATGCGGTGATGACCAGGTGGTGCCGCTTGAGAAGTATCCAGAAGGTGCGGGCGAAGCGCACCAGGTCACTATTGGTCTTGTAGAAGATGGGGTCCGTCTGCGATCGGGGACCCGTAACTCCGTCGGCAAGCTGAAAGACAGACGGATGGATGGATGGATGGAAGGGCTCACACAAGGGGAGGAGGGCCAAGGCTGTCTTGTCTTGGTATGAGTGTTTGCAGCGTGCTCACCTGTTTGAACTTGATGGGTTTGTTGACGTCCTTTTCGTCTTGTTTGAATGCCCAGTAGTGGAGTGCGGCGAAGAAGAGGAGGATGCCGGCCATGACGTACATGACCAGAAAGGATATGTCCTCCGCCGTCAGGAAGAAATCCAACGCCTGATCCACTCAACACGCACACGCATGGCCGAGGCCGCAGTGTACATCTGTGTCTGTCTGTCTGTCTGTCTGTGTCACCTCTGTGACGACAGCAGGGACGCCAAATGGCGCCACGGTGACGTCCAGGAACTGACCCACCACACCCAAGGGCTCAGCCAGCAATGTCGTGCTGCAGAAGACACTCGTGTGGCAGGGATGGTTGTTGGCGCGTGCGACGTGAGCTGACCGACCTGCATCCCTTCTCGTTGTTGAGGATGCCAGCCCGCGACCACTGACCCAGCCCTAAGTTGCTCTCCCAATCCCATGTCCTGACACAACGTGCACACGCATGGATAACAATTTTGTGAGGGGCACGGCTTACCAGCAGGTGGCGACGGCGAATGACGAGTGCTCTGTGAGTGTGTTGACCGGCTTGGCCTCCTCCTCTACCGCCAACTGGGCACCAGCCTGAGCACACACACGGACAAACACACACAGATGAGGGCCGCAACAAACCACGAGATGGGTCTGGTCTCCCTCTGAGCGCTTGTCTGCTCTCAACGCACATCGTCGTATACGGCGAAAGCCTGCATGATGAAGGGGCCAGCGGGGCCCTTCTCAGCGTACGCCCACGGCTGCAGCTCCATGGTGAACATGACCTTGCAGTAGCCGTAAGATCGCTCCTCACCTGCATCACACACGACACCATCGGACACGTCCCTTTGTGTACCCCCGTCCCTCTCCACCGTCAGGTATCTGCCAGTTTTCCGACTGGAATGAGAAGGACTCGTCCGACTGTGTGAGATTGCGGGTGCGGCCGACGCGCACTCTGCCCAGGGGGAAGTCGAAGTCCTTGGCCTTCTCGCCGGGATTCTGGCACACACACACACACACACAACACATGACTCCTGCACGGATGTCGGGGTGGTCTGCGTGTGCGTGTGTGTTTGGTTGCTCACGAGGAGTCTGAACACCGACGAGCAGACCTGGCTGATCATCGACGCCAGCCGCTTCACCGTCTGGTATACACAGAAGAGACACAAAAGAGACATGGACCCACCCACCCACAGCAGCACCTCTGTGCTGCTGTGTGTGTATTCTGTCTGGTTGTCTTGGTGACCGACCAGGCCCTTTTGGAAGAAGACTTTGGCTTCCTGCTGTGTCGTGCGGGCACGCTCCTCCTTCCAACGAAGGCGGGACACACTGACATTTGGAATGCAAGTCACGAGATACACACCAATCCATGTGGTTTGTGCCAATACTGTGAGTATCATGTGCTCACTCCCTCTCCCCTGCCGTCAGGTAGTCCGACAGGTTGATAAAGAACTGGAAGTCCTGAGCCCGGAATGTCTGCACACACACAGCGAGACACCTCCAGTGTTGATCGCCCCCGCAGTCATGTGGTGTGTGTCCCCCGCTCCACTGACCGTGATGTTCTCTTCGCCTTCGTATAAGTTCTCGATATACGATTGCCAGCTGATCTCGAACTCCTCCTGCTCGATGAACATCTTTTCCAGCACGTCAGAGCTTTGCCCCTCCATGGCGTCGCTGGAGAAGACGCGCATCTGCTGACCCTGAGCCGCCCCTCCTCCACCGGCCACCTGAAAGTACTGCGGCTGTGCCGGAGGCTCCACGCGCACGATGCCGTAGCGGCCGCTCGGGAACGACTGTGACGTGGGGGCGTGGTAGGGGAAGGAGACCGGCGGCTGAATGCACACATGGATGGATGGATGAGCGTGGGTGTGTGTCTGTCTCTACAGGTGCTGTCAGCTCACGAATGGCGCCATCTGCGGTATGTTCTTCGGCCTCCCAGCCATCCATAGCTGCAGCCGACGGTAGTAGGCCGCCCCCGCAGGCGCTCCACGCGGCTGTATGGGTGGCGGGTCATACCGCCCTCTCGGCTGTGGCGCCGCATTGCGGTACCTGGCCTGCCAGTTGTTGGGTGCGTTGGGGGGCGGCCAGTCGGATCGCGGGAAGAAGACGTTTCCCTCGGGGTCGCCGGCGTTGACCGAGTCGAAGCTGAACGCGCTGGCCTCGTCGTCTGAGGGGGCCATCATCTCGCCGAGAGAGTTGAAGATCGTCCCAGCCATCTGGTCCTTCTCCTGCAGACAGAGAAGAGACACGATGGCCATGCGATTAGTTGTTGAGCTCCCGTGCCATGTGCTGGCGAACGTACCGATTCGGAGAGTGAGTCGTCGGCTGTGAGTGTGCTCTGCCAGCCGACCATGGTCTCCATGAACTCCACCATCCTGTCGGTCGACCCCACCTCCTCTGCCAACGCCAAGGCCACCTGCTCAACACACAAAGAGATTCTCGTCAAGTGGGTGCGCATCCAGGGGTTTCTCGCATTCATTCACCGTGGCGTATGACCCGACAACAGACGGCGTGATGGCCGCTTTCTCGCTGCCGCCGATGAGCACATTGAGGATGCCGTCTGCGTGCATCTCACTGATGCGACGCTTGCGGGTCTTACGCTGACAACACACGAAGGCAAAGCCAGGGAGTCACATTGCGGGCCCTTCACTGCGTTCGTCTGTCTGTCTGAGTGTGTCTTGCCCTTCTGGCTTCATCTTCGCCACTTCGTGGATGGGGCGTTGGGGGTGCCGTGGTGGCGTTCGGATCGGGGGCAGGGGTGCTGACTGGACTCACACCACTCCCCTGGCACAAACACATACACGTGACTAAGATGGCAGCCTGCCTTTGTGCCTGTGTTGGGTCTGTCTTACGGAGCTGGGCCCTCCTCCGGTGACGACGAGCACGGCCTGCATCAGTGAGAGGGCCGCTGTCTCAGGGTCACGGTTGCCCGCCTCGGCCAACAACTCGTTGAACAAAATTCTCTTCTCCTCATTCTAAATCCGATAGGGCAGCCAGCTCAACACACACACACTCGATCCACATCAGTGTGAAGCTCACCGTCGGTGGTGGGTATATCTTGTGAGTTGTCTCGGCATAGGTCATGACGCCGTAGAATGTGTACACCTGGGGAAGAAGATCGACATGTGCAGCAGGCAGTTCGGGCAGATTGAGACGGCTACCTTCTGTCGGATGCTGTATACTGACCTCGACGAAGATTCGCACCAAGTAGTCATCGTCTGCGTTGCCGGCAGGAAGGGCATCGGTCCGCTGAGTAGGGGACGCTATAGGATTGGACCTGACATATGAAGACAGAGAGAGCTGATCACGCCATGCCACTTTCCTGATTGTGGTGGCGGCTGTTTCTCACCTGAGGTTGACCTTCTGCCCTCCTCGGATGAAGCCAAACTGGTAGGTGAGTGGGGTGTCGGATGAGCTGAAGTCGGTGGCAACGATGGTCTTGCTGTCGTATATGGAGGAGTCCGCCGCCTGCAGAGAGAGAGAGAGAGACACACACACATGCACACGTGTGTCCGCTGTCACTCTTAAGCGTCTTGCCGTTGCTGACCTCTTGCTCGTCGACGAACAGGGCGAGAGAGCCCATTGTCTGATTGATGCGTGTGAACGATGGAACAGGTGCGAGAGACCCTTGGTATCTTCCCCTCTTCTTACCGGCGGCGGCCCTGCGGTTTGAACGGACACCTGAGCGCATCCGGTGAGGGGCGCTCTGTCGGGAAAATAAGGATTGGACACCGTCACACACAACCTGCAACCACAACGAGAGGGAGCATTTTGCCGGCCTCTGACTAATCCCTGGGTGCCTCAACCCACACGTACCTGAAGGAATATCGAGCGTCGGGTCCGAGCACGTCCGGCACCAGACTCAAGCTGCGAGAATTGCTGCAGAGACAAAGATGCACACGCGACACATGTGTATGGGTCTGTGCGTGCGTGCACTGCGTGCGTACGTCGGGTCTGACGCGAAGGCGTCAGGGCTTCTCGCCGGTGTGAGCTCGTCCGACATCAGGAACATGCTGCGAGGCACCAAGTACTCCTTGCCCTGGGCAACACGGCAACATCATACGCCGACAGCAGCCAGCGAGCGGGCATGCAAACAAAGCTCACCGCTTTCTCTGCAGCGGCTTTGTCTGCGAGGTTCCACTTTGGGTTTGGCACCTCCTGGAATATCGTCCAGTTGTAGACAACCTGACACACACAAGCCAAGACCACCCTCAATGGCTGTACCTTTGGTGCGGGCGATGGATCTCACCTCGGGCTTCGATTTGTCGATCTCGTCTCCCGCCTGGAGCCGCCGGATGGAGGAGTCGGGCTCTGACGTCAGGTTGAAGCGGGCCTTGTCTTGGTCGGCGATCTGGCCTGAACGACATGGATGAACACGTGTCCACGTGGCGAGCGAGGCTGCCGTGTGTGTTGTTGATGCCTGATATCCTGAACGCTTGTGTGGCCACGACGGTCGAGTCGGTGAGGGGGTCGATTACCACCTGCACACACACAGGAGAAGAAAAGGTTGTTTCCTTTGCTGCATTGCTGGAGTGTCTCTCACCTGTGGTGGCGAGACAGCTGCCTCCAGGATCGTGATGACGGCCTGACGGCACGAGACACATGACACACGCGTGCTTCGTTCGTCATTTGTGTCGGAACCCATGCCTCACAGTTGCGGTGGCGTTCCTGCCGTCGGCCTCTGTCGTGACGCTGAAGATGTACTCACTGCCGCCGAACAGGGCATCTTCGCGACGGGTGTTGAATATCACCACACCTAAAGACAGACGCACACACAGCCGCAGTGAGACACAGAGAAACGCTCTTGTCTCTTTCGCACCGGGCACGTAGTATTTGCAGATGTACGTGCCGGGTACGCCCGCCGCGTTGGGGAAGAGTGGGACAAAGTATGTCTTGCCGACGTCTTGGAAGGTCTCCTCCATGTCCAGGTCGCAGTTGGCCGGCTGCGGCAGCTGTGCGGTGGTGTACGGCAACACCTCCTCGAAACACGGCCTGCATCGGTCAACCAACATATCTCGGTCAGCTCTGTCTGTATCTGCCTGAAGTGTTCTTCGTTGCACCGACCGTCCATCCGGCGTGATGCAGGTGAAGTTGAAGAACCAATTCTGCGACACAACAGGAAACACACCCCAGCGAATGAGACACAACATAGAGGGGCGCATGCGTGTGCGTGTGTCTGACGGGCGACTCCTCGATGGGTTTGTCAGGGAAGTCAGGGTCCACCGAGTCCGTGGCGTCGATGGCAAAGTAGTGCAGCTCAGACACCGAACGAGATCCGCCGCGAATGCTCGCTCTGAAATTCAGCACAAGGGATGCAGCATGGCCGGCCACACGTGTGTGTATGTCTGTGTCTGTGTTTGATGCCTGATGGGGCTTTTCTCCACGTTGACCTCCACCGAGTCGAATGTCAGCGAATCAGGGTCGTCAAACGACTCCTCGTAACCGACCTGACTCCCAACACACAAGACACACGCATTGCGTCAGGCACAAAGATGGGTGCGTGCTCCTCGGCTGACCTGACAGGAGAAGATATACTTAGTGCCTGGTATGAGTGTGCCTGCGGGGATGACCAGCGACGCTGACCCCGTTCGCAGATTCAAGTCCTCCAGGTTGAGAGGCACAAACTCCACTGACCCTGCACAAACACAGAGCAACCACAAGCGCGCCAGCCTCCAGCCTCCTGAGGTTCGTGTGGTATATGCCGGTGGCGAGGACGGTCTGCTGCTGCTTCCCCCGCCATTCAAACTTGAGCTTCTGGCTCGCTATCTGCCACACCAAAACCAAATGGTGACCTGATCTGCACGCTGTGTGTGTGGGCGTCTCATCCTTGGCTGTACCTGTGTTGAGTCGAGCCCTTCACATCTGGATTTCTCGGCCTGGACACTGAGTGTGAGGACCTTCCTGCGGAAGGTCGGCACGCTCTGGGGGCCCTGAATGAAGGCCTGCGGGGCGGGGATCTGACGCTTGTAGAACTCTGCGAACGGCAAGGAAGGAAAGGACGATCGATGAGTGCATGGATTGCACTGCCCGCGTGTCTTGTCTTGTCTTGTCTTCTCTTGTGCTGTGTGTGTGACCGAGTGTGGTTGAGGTGGTTCGCGGGGGATCGCCCCACTTGGAGGTCATTGTCACCTCAATCATGTAATCGCACCCTCCATTAACAAACACATCAACAAGACACACGCAGGCTTTCACGCTTCACAGAGCGGTGGGGGCACATCTGCGCTGTACCGACCTCTCCTGAGGTCGTTTGCGCCGATGTAGACCTTTTCAGAGCCGTACAGTGACCCGCTGCCCGCCGAGGAGCCCGCAAGCAGACCCTTGATGATCTGAACAGACGCCCACATACGCAGAGAGAGAGAGCGGGACTCCCACAGGCGTACGTGCCTGCGTCTGTGTGCGTCGGTCTCACCGTGACGAATCCCGGTCCGTCTTCGTATTCGGTGATGTCTCTGTAGAGCACGTTGCCGTTGTCGAAGTAGCGGCACTGGGCCCTGATGAATTTCCACTGCCACGACGGACGGCTGCCGTGGTTGTAGGACGACGACGCGTCGATCGTCATCTGCACACATGGCGAACGAAGGTGGCTTACATATCCCTCCCTCGGCGTGTGTGCGTACGGGGCTGCAGAGGTCGATGTTTCTCGGGATGGACACGACCACCACTGGGTCTTCAATCGGATCAGGCTGCTCAAGCTGCACAAGGCAAGGAGGGAGACAGACGCAATGGTGGATGGTAGCAATGATGCATGCGCCCTCCCTTGTGTGTGTGCTTGAAGCCCACCCAGCTCACCTTGACACCTCCTGACGCCGCGTTTGACCACTCGCCGTCGACGTGTGCATACACCGTCCTCTCGCGCACGATTATGTCGTCACCAGGGTTCGGTGTCAGATACCTACAAAGGACATCTATACTTACTCGCGGCTGCGCCTCATCCACGAGTGGGCTCACCTGGCGGGCAGTTGTACTTGCACGCTGGCTGCCGTGGTCCACTGACAGGAGGTGCCGTTGCCAAGTGTCCCCAGAAGCGACGCCGTGTGAGGCGCGAAGACCTTGCTGCAGTCTAACAGACCTGAGAAAGCAGCCAGGCGGCACAATGGGCGGTGCTGCTTTCATTCTTTCGTTGACCCACCTCTGTGTTGAGTGGACCAGTCGACGCCATCGGGGATGAAATCTCCGTCCTCGTCCATGGGCACAGCCCCCTGGATGGTGAAGGAATCGAACGTCACGTAGATCTTCCTGAAGCCCCAGACACACATTGGATTGCCCGAGTGTTGGCTCGTCTTCCCGCTCATGTTCACCTGCCGTCCATATCGAAGATGGCCTTCTCGAGCTGGGGCGTGGGGAGGGTCAGGGGGATGATGGGGTCGCTGTTGGTGAGCAGTGTGGTAATCTGGTGAGAGAAGAAGCGCGTGCACAGCAGATGGATCGCTGCTGCTGCTGCATGAGACATGACACGTGTGTCCACCAGTTACCACATGCGACCCTCGGGAAAGCTCCTCTGCCACCTGCACTCACGCAGGCACAGCACAGACAGGCAGCCATATGTATGTCTTTCTTATCTCGTGCTGCAGTGCAGCCAGCCACGGAGTCACCTCAAGGTTGTAGTATTCGCGTGTGAATCCGTCCCTTGTGTTGACCTCCACGATCTCCCACGGCTCAGAGTAGTCGGGGGAGTCCTTGGTCACGAAGAACGACACGTTCGTCAGGTGATCCGTGCATGTCGCACCGTAGAGAAAATGCCTGGAGGGGGTGGGGTGGGCGATGGATGAGAGAAGCAGGCGGCTTCCACTGCTTGCGATGGTTGGCTTGCTGGCGTACTTCTTTGCGTATTGCGTTCTTGTGGTGGGGTTGACAACCACCGTGCCGCCGTCGACATAGGTGTCCCGGAACTCAGTCAGCTGACAGAGAAAAGAAAGAAAGGACAATATGATGATGGATGGATGGCATCTCCTGTTTACTTGGGTATCGTTGTCTCTGTACGCTTGGCCTAGCTTGACGTAGTGGTAGTTACACGACCGATAGTCCTGCCATTCCCCCGCAGTCGACAGACACACATGGTGAGTGAGACACACGTCTCGCTCCACGTGTGGGTGTTCTGTGTGGCACCTGGAAGGTTGGGTCGCATGAGAGGACGGCGGCGTAGAGGTCGTGGTACTTGGAGTTGCTCTCCAGAAGCGCCAGCGGCTCCTGAACCGGACGACTGCACACACAGAGAGAAGACAATCATACATACCCTTTTTTAGCTGCAGAGTCGAGGTGGTGTTGACTTGAGGAGAAGCCGTGGAGTGTCGATTGCCGGCTGGCCCGTGATGACGGTATCCAGAGTCACATTGAAGTCAAACGCATACACGTTGTGACTCCACGAAGTGAAGTCGTACCCTCCTACCAACCTGCAGTGACACAGCCGACCAGCAGCCCAACACCGGCAGGCTTTTCGTTCCTTCATTGTCGCATTATGCTCACATAGGCGCTGCCACTAGCTGGGAGGCTGACAGTGCGAAAGGGGAGGTGCCTGATGAAGCCGTCACGGCCGGTAGTGCGAGGTAGTAAATGTCGAAGAGCGAATCGACGGCGGCGAGCGCTGCGTTTATCCGTCCAGCCACCACAGGACAACAGGCAGGCTCCGTATGCACAGCGGGCTTTGGTCCGTGCCGCCGACCTGTGTTAGAGTAGATATCTCGCGTCTGGCTCTTGATCTCATTCGGCAGCTCCAGGGTGGTCGTGAATACCTGACACACAGAGGGAGAGGAGAACAGACCAAGAAGGCTCGGGCTGCACGTCATGCCGCTCGGCTGTCCGTCCACCTGAATGTTTTTAGTGTCTCTCGAGTCGAATCTGAACATTTTGATGTTCATGCTGAAGTTCTCGAGCCGCTGCTTCTTGGTCCAGAAGGGCACCTCAAACCCCAGCAGACGGCTGTCGTCAATGTCGTACTTGAGACCCTGGACAGAGAGAGAGAAGCGGCATGTGGTGACATGGACAGATGGACACACTGAGGGAGAGTCCACCCACCATGAGGAGGAACTCCTTCAAACGGACTTGATACGGGAACCTTCAGACATCAATACACAAAATCAACAATAACGTTGCGCCATGTCGTCTCCCTGTCTCTTGTGTGGTCGGTCAGCCAGACATATAGGTATCCGCTGCACCGGTCTTTTCTCACATGGGTCTTCCGTCGCTGAGTGAAACGGTATGGACGTAGAAGCGCATGTCGCTGCTGATGACGTTGCCGAGGTTGTCGTACGTCAGCTCCTCCATCCCAACAGTGCGATACAGATTGAACCGCTGCAGACAGACGCAATACAACCCACCCACCCACACACGAACAAGCATTCTATCTATCGGTGTGTCTGGTCTGGCTAGGCATATATCTCATCTTTCCTACCCATGGGTCGTATGCGTCTCCGGCCGTGGCGTGGACGAAGTCATACATCTGGTAGAGCGAGTACATGTCCGGCTGCAGCACCCCGCCGCAGAAAAGCTTGGTGCCCTCGAAGTAGCTCGACGGACACTCCATCTCACACAAATCCTCGTCGATGATCTGAAGCTGCACAACACAACACATCCCCACAAATCCACGCACGCATCGCATACCAGCCTACTCCTCCGGGCATCAAGTGTCTCACGTTTCTCCTGGAGGTGAGGCACCAGCAGCTGCTGCCCCTGACCACAGCCATCGAGAAGTCACGAATCTCACAGGCCTCCACACACGCAACCGGGCCGTCCGTATCGCCCAGCAAGAGCGAGTTGGTCGAGTCCACATCGCCTTGATAGCAGCCCAGGAACGTCCAGGGACCTGACAGACACCACACACATGCACAGGCACCCGATGGGAGGGCCTCGAGGACCAGCCCGTCCCTCGCCCCACTGAGTCGCGAGCGTGCTGTGTTCTTTGGGTCAGGGTTGAGCTGCTTTGCATATGTGTTGGACGGCAGGTAGAGGGGCGTGATGGAGCCCCCAGCCGCCTCCACATCCGCCCAAAACTGAACAGACTTGAGACTCAGACCTGAAGGGACACACCAACACACACACAAGAGCAGACAATGGACGACAGCGGCAAGAGCGATTGACAGATCTCTCTGCGCATGCTTTGCGCCGCTCTGCGGGCGACGGCTGGCGGCCGTCTTACCACTGCAGAAACGCAGGGCCGCTGAGAAGACGAGGACAAGGGCGAGGGTTCTGGCCATCATGCATCCTCAAACACCGTGCACCATGACCAGCGCAGCTCCAGCCTCACTGCCACGCCAGCCTGACGCCATCTGCAGCCGAAAGAATAGGCGCGACCTCACCGAGTGCAGGGTTTGGGTTACAGGGTTTGCAACGCCAAAGTCATCCGGAAAAGTAGAGATGGGAGTGTGTTGATGGGAGTGTGTTGATGCGAGAGTGTGTGGTGGTGTTTTGACGATGACCGACGGGGGGGTCAGTTTGCGGACGTTGCTGGATCAGCAAGAGGCGCTGTTGGGTGGTCGGTCGGTCAGGCAGCTCGACGAGCGCGAGTACGCCGCCTACATGGAGAAGGAGAAGCAGATCACCATCGCCCTGCAGAACAGCACCAGCGTCGAGGTCGATGACGAGATTCTCCAGGCGGTGCGGACCGTCCACGAGCGAACCAGCAACCAGCTGGCAGCTCCAGGCGCCTCGTCGTCAGGCGGGTCATCCTCATCCTCGTCGGCATCTTCATCGCGTTCGAGTCGCAGCAGCAGCAGTAGCCGGGGTCGGCACCGGTCAGATCTGGTGGAGCTGTCGGTGCGGGGCACCCGCTTCACGGTTCCGCTGACCACCATCGCCGTCGTGCCCGACTCCCTGCTGGCCACAAGCATCCACGGCGGCTCACGGGAGCTCGACATCTCACCCCGATACTTCTCCAAGATCCTCGATGCGCTCAGGCGCGGCCGCAGCAACCGGACGTCGTCGATCGACTCGCTGCCCGAGGCGGACCGTCCGGCGTTCGTGTCGCTGGTGCGGCAGCTGGGGGTGGAGAAGCTCTTCATGCGCCTCGAGACCATCCCAGAGGAGGCCACCGACGCCGAGGCCGCACAGGAGGTGCAGACCGAGGAGACCACAGCTGTGGCTGAGGGCCAGCAGGCCGCCACCGCCGACGAGTCCGGTACGCAGACTCACCCACGGAGCGAAGGGATGGGATACATGCCTGTCTGTATGCCTGCATGCGTGTGTGCGTGTGTGTGTGTCTGTGTGCGATGTGTTTGACAGATTCGCCCCCGGACTCCCCGCACCCGAATCGCATCGACATCATCCTGCGTGGTCAGCGCGTGTCGCCCGTGGACGCCATCACGTTTGAGGAGTCGATCAGCTACAGCGTGCACCCGGACGGGGTGCTGCTGTCGTGCCTCGTCGAGGCCGTCGTCGAGACCATCAAGGGGGCCGTCTTCTACAGGCTGCTCTACCAGATCACCGACAAGGAGGCCGACTACCTCAGGCAGCTCCTCCATAGCAGGCCGCCACCCAAACCCACACGATACACTGACGACACCGCCGCCGCAGACGAGGTCGAGGACGCACGCGCAAAGGCGCCGACGGAGCCCCCCAGCCCGCCGAACGCGACCTCGTCCAACAACGGCACGTCGACCAACGCTGCCACATCCAGCAACGGCAGTGGGAGCGGCAGCAGCGGTGCCGCGGCCACCACCACCACTGCAGAGGCGTCACCATCCCAGCCATCACAGCCATCCCCGGCTGACACGCCCGCACCCACACAGACCCAGCCGTCCTCTGAGTCGGCGCCCCCTCCCCCTTCCCCTCCCTCCGACCCCCCACCCACACCCACACCCACACCCACACCCGCACCGGCCCCGGCAGACTCGCCCGCCGCACAAGCACCAGGAGAGGCGGAGAGTGCGGCCAAAGAAGGCGAGCAACAGAGGGAGGGCAGCGAGGCAGTGGCGGCCAGCAGCAGCAGTAGCGGCAATGGCAATGGCAATGGCGGGGATCAGGCAGCAGCAGCAGCAGCTGCTGCGGAGGGCGAGGGCCCATCGAGCCCGCCGACGCCCGCGCCGTCGTCGATAGCTGAGCCGGTGCAGATGACGCGTGCCGAGAAGATCGACAGGAAGGTCGAGCTGGCGTTGAAGGGCAGGGTGCAGGCCTGCCGCATCAAGGACCACCACACCTTCCCCGTCGACCACTGGAAGGACATTCACATCCACGTAAGTCACTCGGGGGGTCGGGGGGTCGGTGGGGCTTGGGGGGTGGGTGGGCTGGGCACCATCACACGCACGACAGACCACCCACATAGATATGATGGGGCTTTGTCTTCTGTCGTCTGGTGTGGTGTGTGTGTGGTTGTGTCTGTCAGACGATCTCGATGGACGGCGACGTGTGCGCGTACAGTCTGGCGGACCTGATGGTGGATGGGGACACAATTTTGCGGGGGGACGAGCCGTGCGGCGGGCTGCCCAGGCAGATAGTCGTAGAACTCACTGTCAACGTCGAGATCGACGTCAACGGCAGAGTCTAGCAGCCCACACCACACACACATACAGGCATACAGACAGACACCTAGACAGAGAGGGAGAGAGATAAGGTGGGGCTGGCAGGTGGGAGGGGAGGGGGGTGGAATAGAGAGAGAGAGAGAGAGAGAGAAATGGGGGTCTTGGTGCATTGAGATGAGGTGTGATTGATGTGTTTTGATGGATGCTTCATACGTACGCGCGGCTGTGACAAACGGACGGGTCGGATGCGGCGCGTATTTTGCGCACTTAGCTTATTGGCGCCCTGGTCGGCCATTGCACCCCCTCCCCCCTCCCTCCCTCCCTCCCTGTCTCCCTCCCTGTCTCCCTTCCTCTCTCTTGCTTGCATAGCTGAGTAGACAAGAGAAGCGCCCACCCGGAGGATAGATACGATGGCAGATGGGTGCGTGGGCGGCCGGCCCAAACAGACACGGCCTCCATCCATCCATCAGCCCGACTCGTTTTTCGTCCTGTCTATCTGTCTGTCTGTCTGTCTGGCTTTCTGTACATATCCTCTCCCTCCCTCTCCTGTCTTCCTATAGTCTGCCTCTCTCTCCCTCCCTCCCTCTCTCTCTCTCTCTCTCTGTGGGTCCCGGCTGTAGGCTGATTCGTGAGTGTGTGTTGGTGTGGAGGTGGGTGGGTGGGTGGGTGGGAGAGAGAGGGGAGGGCTGAAGGGGAGAAGTGTCGTTGTCGTGATGTGGTATCTCTTTATCTACTTGCTGCTATGTCCGTGTGTGTGTACCTTCCTGCCTGAGTGAGAGAGTGAGTGTGTGTGCACGAGATCATGGCTGCAATGGAACGGAACGGAATGCCAGCTGGCGAGGGAGGTGGTCGTCGCCGCCCAGACAGACGCTCAGACGTTAAGACAGACAGAGAGAGAGGAACGGCAGCGTTTTAATGTCGTTGTTGCGCTAGCGAGCGGGCGAGCGAGCGGCAGCGAACGGCTCCCTCTTGTATCTCCTCTCTTCGTCTCGAGACGTCTCATGCTCTCTCTAATCTCATCTCATCTCATAGCAGGCCATGGATGCAGTGCACACCTAATTAGCCAGCGAATGACGGGTGGGCGGGGCGGGTGGGGCTGTGAGTGGCCATTTTGTTGTTTTCGTTGTTCTAATTTACTTTTCCTTTTGGTCGAACCGCTGCTGCCATTCAGTGAGTGCGTGTGAGTGAGCGACGGGGGGAGGGAGAGGGGGAGGGGGCAGAGAGAGAGAGAGATGGGGGGCGGGGGCTGAGGGCTGAGAGTTGGGAGCATTGAGATCGCCTGTGCGGAAGTATTTTCCTGGCTATTGTCTGGCGGCTAGTGTATACAGCAATAGAACAGGCGTGCAGCGATCGATCTCACACACGGAATGGTTGCCGGAGGGATGGGAGGTGATGTGATGTGATGTGTCTTGTGGTGCTGTGTTGTGTTGTGAGACCTCTCCATGTCTATTTGGCGCTTCGTCGGGGCGTGGGACGGTCGGAGGAGGGGGGGACACATAGGTCATTTCACGACGCATGGACACACGCCCCCCACACACAGAGGGAGACGTGGGCCCCGTGTTGCCCGCTGCGTGCCCCTCTCTCTCTCTGACTCTGACTGCTGCTCTCGCCTTGTTCCTTGTTCTCCTTCTAAAGACAGAGAGGGTGAGTGAGAGCAGCTTTGGATGCCATCTTCTATGCAGGTCGGTCCGTGTGCGATGTGGTGTGGTGTGGTGTGGTGGTGTGTTGGTATGTTTTGGTATGTTCTATAGCTTAGCGACGTCTGTATAGGGCGGGAGAAGGGAAGGAAGAGGAGAAACGCAGAGAGAGAGAGGAGTAGCAGGCTCTCTCACGCTCACATGGATGCATTGACGGGATGGGTCTATGGAGTGCACAACACACACACAAACGAACGAACGAATGCACAACTGAGGGAGCCAGTAGGGAAGGGGACGAACCAGCGGGTGGGAGAATGAGTGACTAGGGGATACTGAAGAGAGAGAGATATACCCTCTGCTAATTCGCTGTGCTCAACGGACAGCTGGATGGATGGATGGATGGCGAGAGTGTCCCTGCCTGCCTGCCTGTTTGCCTGTCTGCCTGAGTATCTATCAGTCAGTCATATGTACCTACCACACACGAGCGATCGGTTGTTGTTAAGAGGACTGGGTGGGGGTGGGTGCCTGGGGAGAGTGCTGGGGTGCGTGTGTGCGTGAGGGGGAGGGAGGGAGGGAGGGAGTGACCGGGGAGTGCCGTGCCTTTTTAGCTCACTTGGACTTGACTTTGTGGATTTGTGACCTCACTCGCCCCGCTGACCGATAGAGCGACTGCTGCATGCATGGATGAACGAATGGTGTCTGTCTGTCTGTCTGTCTGGCCTGACCACTTACCCATCGCCCGACTGCCTGCCTGCTTCCCTGCCTGCCTGCTTCCCTGCCTGCCTGCGTCACCTGACGCCCCGCTTCTCTTACCACTTGCCTTAATTGCCGGCACTTCTGCCCCTCCCTCCTTCCCCTCCCACTCCCCCTCCCCCTCCTTCTCTGCCTCGCTGCCTAGCCGGTGTATTTTTTCACCTCTCGTCTGCATGGCGTGGCGGGGCGTGGCGTGGCGTGGCGTGGCGTGGCGGGCGGCGTCTCGCTAGCTAGCTGGCCAGCCTTCCCGCCGGGCAGGCGGTGCTATGCGGCCACAATCACAATCGTACTTACGTAGACAGGGAGAGGGTGGGCGGGGGCGGGAGGGAGGGAGGGTGACCCACACGCACACACATACACATACACATACACACATTCCTGAGCACACAGAAGCCGTGCGAGCCAGTGGTTTTAAGAGGGGCTGGCTAGGCTGAGTAGCTGAGGTCCTGCCGGCTGGCGGACCGACCAGCGAGCGCAGGTGGGGTGGGATGGGTGGATGCGACTCATTTTTGGCCTGACTGACTGACTGACTCACTGACTGACTACTCATACGATACGATGGATGACGACTGCCTAGCCTTCCTTCCTGCCTTAATACAAATGCATGCGGCACTGTGGGTGGGGTGGGGTGGGGGGAGGGTGTGTGGTGTGGGGCAGGAGAGAGAGAGGAAGTCGTTTGTTCTGACGTGCACGTGACGCCCGGCTCGATCGATTCCATTGCATTTTTGGCTCCGCAGGTTATCATATCAACCATATCGCCACACACATCCACACACACACACACATGCATAGACACACGCACACACACGTAGAGAGAGGAAAGGGCACGGCGCAGACAGGGCAGGACAGATCGATGGTTGGCAGGCACGGGCGCACACCCTGACGACTGGACGGATGGATAGATGGATGGGCGCATGGGTTTCCGCGAGGGTGTGGGTTCTGTTTCTTTCTTCCTTTCTGTTTGTCAATGAGCGATGGATCGATTGGTGTGATCGAGAACAGACATCTACATGATGATATGGCTGACCGACCGACCGACTGCGTGTGGCTTGCGTGATTGGTAGTATGGGGCGTGCAGCAATGCTGCGTGCACTCGTCGCCTCCTCCTTATGCTATCCTGCGCTTCAACCTGAATGGCTGGCTGCTGGTTTCTTTTGCCTGAATGCATGAGTGAACGTGTCTGCATAGCATAGCACATATTATCCCACAGCCGAGCATTATTCTGTTTGTGAACGATGAGTGTGTGAGTGCATGATTGATGAGATAGATGTGCGTGTGTGGGTGTTTATGTGTTCTGTGTGCCTGGGTGCCTGCGGTGCGTGTCCGAGCAGAGAGCAATGCAATGGGGACGCCCAGCGACTGATCCGTACATACCATGGACCGATCCCGCGAAAGAACCATCAACATCACATGATAGCATCATGGTGGGGGGCTCACTGCAACCACAGCACTCCTCTGTAATGAATCAAATCATCCCTCCGCAATTCCTCCAGCAAATCTGCGATCTCGGCCTCTTGTGCAGCTCTGGGGTGTCTGTGCTGTCTGTTGTCAATGCTGCTGTGGCTGGTTGCTCTCCATCGAATCGCCTCTCTTGCAGATCTCGCCGATTCGTCCCATCCTGCTGACAAGAGGAGCACATTCTTGACTCCTCGGCTGCAGCCTGACCTCGTGAGGCGGCATCACACTCAACACGTGACGACTCGCTCGGCATGGGTAAGCAGGGTGGGAGTGAGTGGACAGCCTTCCCACACACAGATGAATGAATGAGTGCGTGAGTGTCTGTGTGCTGTGTCGGTTTGCCCAGGGGCGGCGCAGGCGGGCGATGCCGTTTGCAAAGGAGGCTTCTCTCATCGAGGCTGAGGCCGGTAAGACCGATAAACACGAAACGCATCTCTGTCTGTCTGTCAGTCTGTCGTTTCCTTTCTCTGCGTGTGGGTTGGCCGTGGTGTCTGCAGGGATTGTGGCGCCTTTGCGCGAGTTTGATGAGGCCGGTCAGAGGGACGACGAGCTCCTCTTAAATCACTCCTACGCGGAGTTCCGGGCAGCGAAGCAGCGGCTCGAAGCTGCCAAAGACGCGCTGGCGGAGCGACTCGCTGCAATGAACGGTATGTGTGCACACGATGGATGGATGGATTGATGAATGGATGGGTCCAGATACTCTGTGTTGGCAACTGGTGGAGCTCTACTGGGCGTCCGCTTTGCTTCTGAGGGCCGGGAAACGCGAGCTCGAGGATAACGCTGGAAAAGCAGCAGTTGTCGGGAAGCTTCTCTCGCGAGTCTTCGGCAGAACGCTCTCGCGAGTTGTGGAGGCCGTCTGGGGGGAAAAGGCCATCGCAGCGCGCATCAGCGGCTTACGAGCGGAGGCCGAGAGGTACGATCGCCGAATGGACTTGATTATCGAGGATCTCGCCAAACGGCAGCAGGAAAACGACCTGAACGGTCGGTCGGCCGGCCAGCCAGGAGACTGAAGCACATGTGGGCATTAATGTAATGCAGGCACCGCCACCCTTGCGATGCTCGAGCAAGCGGAGAGGGAGTTCTGCGCGACAATGGCTATGGTACAAACCCATCCCGACAAGTATCGACCGAGAAAGGGAGACGATCCCTGGGGCGTCACGCGCCAGGCCTTTTCCAAGTTCAGCCGCCAAAATGCGTGGCACAGCATCTACTACATACGCCGACGTGCGCCCAATGCCCGTAGGTGCAGTGCACATATGTGCTGTCTGCTGATCTGATCTGCCTGTGCGTTCTCCCTCCTTGATGCATTGATTCATTGTCACTGTGCAATCAGCGCTGCCGCTGCTGATGAAACAGAAGGAGAGGGCCCGCGAGATGAAGGAATGGACGGAGAGAAGGGGGGCACCGTGGGGAACTAGCGAGGATACGCAGGAAGTCCTGGAGCTGTACGAGCAGCAGCTGAAGGAGGCTGACGAGCGCATCAAGGAGAGGCTCGAGGCAATTGGAGTGGCGGAGCCGGCCATCGACACACAGCGCACCGCAGCGAGCAATAAGACCTCAAACAGGACGACCGATGAGTTGCTGTGACTGGCCTATGAGTCAGAGGACGGGCAGGCAGGCCGTGTGTCAATCAGGTTTTTCCGTCGTAAAGGTTGTGTGTGCGTGTGCGTGCAGTGTCTCCGACAGGCAGGCAGGAAGTCAAGCACATACACACCACAAGATAGCTAGCTAGGACGTCTCCGCGTGTCTTTTCAGTGAGGGAGCCATGCATGGCGGTGGCCGCTCAGTCGGACAAGCATGGCCGACAAGAGGGATGTTGCGTCTGTGGGATGAGGAAAGGGGGACGGGGCGGTGGCGACTCGGAGTGCATATCCGTGACTGCACACATGAATTACCTGGCGCATGCACGACACAGGGTCACGAGCGACCACGGCTGAAATGCCTGCAACGCGAAAGATCCCCTTGCGGGCGGATCGCCGGAGGCTGTGCGAGCTTGACTTCGAGACGCGCTTACGAAAAGAGTCGTTTAGATCCGAACAAGGGCCCTAAGGGACAAAAAAGAGAGGGCTCGCGTTCGCGAGCGTCTATCTGGTAGCCGGTCATGGCGTCCACGTCGAGCGAAGTCGATGAGGTTCTGAGAGCATGGTGCACGGACAATCCCCAGGTGATCGGCTATGTCGTCATGAACTCTGACGGTGAGTGGACCCACAAACGACCAGAGTCACACGGACAGAGCGCCATTCAGCCGGGGGGAAAGGCAGCATATCCGCAGAAAGACAGACAACGGGCAAATGGGGGCGTGCAGATGAGGGCAGGGAGGCTGGCAGGGTAGCTCATGCGCACAGAAGCCAGGAAGGTCGCTGCTGGGCCGACACACGCGAACAGAAAGCCCGTCACTTTGTAGTGACTGTCCTCATGGGGCCACTTATGCTCATCTCTCTGGCTCAAGGCTTTGCTCCGTCGTTTCCCCCCAGGCATCCCAGTCAAGTATCACGAGAAGCTGCCGTACGACAAGGCCGTCCAGTACGCAGCCCTGCTATCGTAAGGGACGCGAGGGAACGTATTGAGACGTCGAATCGCTGTCGCTCCTGTTTGTCTGTGTGTGGGGGGTCGGGTCGGATTTCCTCCTACAGGGATTTCTGTACGAGTTCAAGAAAGTGTCTCAAGGAGCTGCTGCCATATGTCGAGGTACGGGCCATGCACTAGGCTCATACTGTGTCTCGATCTCTCTGCCTGTGCGCTTGTGTGGTGGGTGGCAGAACGACTTGAATGCCGTGAGGATACGCACCAAGGAGCGCACAGAGATCATCGTGGTCAGCGCCATGGACTACGTGCTCATCGTCGTGCAGGCGAGTGACAAACGAACGAATGCACACATAACTCAGTGGTTCATCTGTGTCATGTCTGTGCGTTGCTCTGCTGTCGCTGCCTACAGAACTGCAGTGGCAAGCCCATTAACTACGATGAGGGCGAGGCCGCCAAGCCAGCAGAAGCGTAAGGGCGGGCCTCGTCTGTTGTGTGCGTGCTTATGTGCCCGACGTTCAATGCAATGTTGACCGCTTTCATGCCTCCATGAACTGCTGCTACCGTGTCCTGCCGCTCTCTGTTCCACCCACTGCACACACTTGGTCCCGCCCCTCCTATACACCTATCATCCCCCCACCTGTACCTCTCTCTCATCATTGCCGCTTCGTGGTCATCAACTCCCCCGCCGTGAGCACGCTCGTAGCCAGCAGCCCCAACTGCATGAGCGCCAGCAGCGGCCCGCCCCCATTCAGCTGCTTCCGCTTGCTAGGCGACGCCAGATAAGACCACCCGAAGCACACACGGCCCAGCAGGTACCCCACGCCGAACACGGCCGCCATGACAGGGTGGCGGAGACCGCCCCACCCCAGCAGCACCAGCACAACGGGCAAATTCTCGGTGTAGTTGCTGTGCATGCGGATGGCGCAGTTGAGTCGGAACCAGTCGACGTACGGCAGCTGGCTGCTGTACACGCCGCTGCCCATGTCGGGGTAGCCCTCCGGGTCGATGCCCTCGCCAAATGCCAAGAAATGCTCGCGCGCAATGGCTACCCACGGAGGGCGAGAAGAGGGCGGCAGGTGCGATGGTTGGAAGGGCTCAGAACTCGCCGCTGCTGATGGCGCCTCGTCACCATCGGCTGCCTCGTTGTAGGTCTGCTGCTGCTTGCTAAGTGCCTCGAGTCTGAGGATGTGCCGCCGGATCTGGGCCACGTACAGACCTTGGAGCGTGCTGCACACAACACAGCAACAGCCACATTCCGCAGACGGAGTTGCTGCATGCTTCATTCTTCTCACCAGTGTGTGACGAGGGCGCTGCCCGTCACGATGACCCATCCGTAAGCGCGCGGGTTGCTGCACAGAGGTGCAGACGAAGTCATCGACAGTCTCTCTTTTCCCCTTCTCGTGCGAGCTTGCGATTTGCGAGCTTGATCGCGAAGGAGTGACGAGAAGGCGTCAGATAAGCAGTTTCGGCGTCTTCGTTGCTGCGTACACCGTGCTGAAGAATTGGCATCAGATTCGCGCGAAATCTCACTATCTCTCCAGACAGCCGTCTTTTCCCGGCGACACATCTCTCTCTGTGCGACAGCCACGAGCGAAGCGCGTCAGCGGCGAGTCAGCAAGCAGTCGACGGGCAGATCGAAGCCGTTCTTGACTCGGCGGAAACCAGCAGAGCACTTGTTGACCCCAGGTGTGACGTGTGACGGTTCTGTCTGCTAAAGGAAGGTACAACGGACAGCAGCAAGGCACCGTGCTGCGCTAGTATTGGGAATCTCCAGTCCTTGTTGCGTTGCTTCGTGTGTGTCTGTGGTGTGTGTGTGTGTGTGTGGGTGTTTCCTCCAGTCAGCACAATGGCCGGTTGCTGTAAGGGCTGTGGCGTTTGCGTCGGCCAGTCCATCCTGATCTTCAGCGGCCTCCTCGAGATACTCGCCGGCGCCCTCCTGATCGTCCTGGGCACCTCGGTGATGCCTGATTGGGCGACCGAGTCGACAGACTTCTACCACTTCCACTCAAAGATGGGGTTCCTCATCGCCGGCATCGTTATCTTAGTGGTGGGCTGCTTCGGGCTGCTGGGCAACTACACCAAGAAGTGAGCATGGCATGGCAGAGAGAGAGGGAGGCCAGACGGGAGGGTTGTCTGAGGGTCGGTCAGTCATCACACACACCCCTGTCCTTGCTGCCCTTGTTGCGTCGTGTGTGTGTAGCTGTTGTTTGCTGGGTATCTATGTGATTGTGAGCATCATCATCGCCCTCATCGTCATGGCCACGGGAGCGACGCTGATGGTCTTCGGCTACGCGGGCCCGTCGCAAATGCAGGCGGCCCTGTGTGACGACGACAACGACTTTGGCAAGTGGTGGTCGGCCGCCGAAAAAACCGTCCTCGACGAATGTAAGACACACCAACACACCCGTACAGGCGTCTCCTCTCTCTCATGTGTGTGTGTGTGTGTGTGTGTGGATGGCCTTCATTCAGGTGCTCCCAAGGGCCACTACAACGCCTTTGCCTGCGGCGACGCCTTCATCGACCAGTTCGAGTCAGAGCAGGGCAGCCTCGATGAGGGCCACCAGCTGCCCAGAGACCAGCTGAGGTGTGTAAGCAAGCACCAATCAACCACAAACGTGTCACCACCCCAACACACCCCAACACTCTCTGGTGCCGTCTGTCTGTGTGCAGGGAGTTCCTGCTGGTGGGTCAGAAGATTGAGATGGGTTTGCAGTGCGGCGGCTTCTGCGAGTCGGGAGCGCCCATCTTCTC